TATCTTAAATAAATTTTTATAATAAATTTAATTTTTCTTCTTTTCTGCAATAAACTAAAATTAAAATTTTAAAAATTGTATCCATTAAATCTAGCAATTGCTTTTTGATATTTTTCAGTAAAATTCATAAAAATTTAGGATTTAGGATTTAATAAAATTTTTTAATTTAATAAGCATATAAAATATTATAAATAAAAATCGAACCTTATTCAACAATAATTCTTCCAACCTAAACGAATCGACTTATATTTTAGATGCCTTAGATTTGTAAAGCGTCAGCGTTTAAACAAAATTATTTATTTTCTCTCGACAGAACAGAATATTTTAAATTTGTTGTAATAAATTTAATTTTCTTTCTTTCTGCAATTTCAATAAATTAAAATTAAAATTAAACTTTGAGTCATTTAAATGAAATATTTAACAATGAAATTATAATTAAGTTAGGAAAAAATTTTTTATTTCAGATTTCAAATTTGAATGTTTAAATAAGTGAACAAATAATTAGTAAGGAAAATAATAGATACGCTTTTAAATTAAGAATATAGAATATAATTAAAGCCAAGCCAAGGCTTCATTAGCCAATAATTATTTCTTCAAGTTAGATTGGGGTTTTCAATTGGACTTAAATTGAGAATAGCATCAAGACTTTGAATACGCTGATGATGTAGTCCTTTTTGCTGGTAGTTATGAGGAAATGCAAATAAACAATGTATCAACAACTGCAGCAAAAATCGGACCCAAAATCAATACAAATAAAACGAAAGTACTTTCGTCTTTCGTCTTATATATAAGATGCTGATAAAATACCTATTTTGTCAATTTACTATCGGTTGAAGAAGTGCTGGACTTTAAATACCTTGGATCCACTCTAATTCCAAATGGCCAAGCAAAGGATTAAATCGTAACCCGGATAACGGCAGTTAGAATTTTCAAGTTGATGAAATCTTTATGGAATCGTCGCGAAATCACCATAAAGACGAAAATCCGTGTCCATATAGCAGCAAGTCGTTCGATCTAGCTATAAGGCTGCGAAACATGGCCAATGAGAGTGGATGATATAAAGAATTGAATTTATTAGCCTTTGACCACTCAAGTCTAAGGTACATTCCACTGATCCGCCGAGCAAAATCACACATGATTGTATCCACTTTCGCTCAAATACCACTTGCTTTAATAATATTATCACAGAACGCCGCCATCGCTGGTTAGGGCACATTCTCTGTCTTCCAGCACAGCTACAGCAGTTGACCCGTTATTTGCTAAACCCTGTGATGGTTGGTGTCAAAAGCGAGGATGACCAGTCAAGACCTGGACCAGCGTATTATATCAGCGACCCACACAACATAAACTCTCTTCCCGCAACCGCTCTACCTGTTTCAGTTGCGTTGATGTTAATGTTTATTCATGTGATTTTGTTTGCGGTTGCCTTTTATTGCTGGGGTGAGAGCAATCCCAGGAACATTCGAACGTGTAGGAGGATCGGACCGAGCAGGTTGGAGACGTTTTACTTTTCTAGCCAGCTGAGCCAGCATAATCAATAATGGTGAAAGCTGTTAGAAGAAGGCATTTTCAATAAAATTATTTAGACTATTGTCACAGGAACCATTTAAATTCTTTGCCCTATTATTAGATTTTATAATTATCACTACAAGATTATGCGGATTAATCTCAGCATTAAAACAATAAATAAAGTGTCAATGCTTATTTTTTCTAGCTTGAGATACATCACATATGAGGCATAAAAACCCACACTAATCTCCAATTTAAATATCCAAGATCGAAGATAAGACAAAGTGCCATTAGTACGAAATAAATAATGGTTTAATTAAATTTTTAGAGAATTATTATAAATAGTAATAGGAATAAAAGAAGAAGAAGAGGAAATAATTTAAAAGGAAAAGGAAATAAAGGAAGAAATAAGGAAAAAAGGAATAATTTTATATTTTCAATAATCTAAAAAATATTACCAAAAAGTTATCAAAATTTTATAAATCGACTGTACTTTTAAATTTATGAGAAGTGTATCGAAATGGAATCCACTGAAATTAGAAAATCTGTGTTCATTGGCTAAAATTGTATTTTAATTCCTTTAACATCCCATAAAAATAAATTATCATCAGAGATCATTTCAAACAAATACGCATGAATCTTAAAATTTCATTATTTTTCTTTTAAGTAAATGCAAAAATTTGTGGAAATATTAAGCGATGTAGCGAAAATCGAAAGAAATATCGAAAGCAGATCGCACTTACCATGCATGATAAAATTCGCTTTTTAGCCGAAATTAGCTTATCATTAAAAATGGAATACAATGGGTGCTTTCGGAGATTTTCGGAGACTTCCATATTAAAATGACTCTCTGGTGGAGAGGGAAATTTAGGTAATATTTTCAGTATCTCGCGTAGAGATAGTATAAATTTTAAAAAATTCAAATGAGAAATGCGTCGAACTGCATAATTAAATCAAATTAAAATTGAATGAATTAATTAAAATTAAAACGTATTTTCGCATGAAATTTATCTTATCACAATTTATTTGCACGTAGAAAATTTTATTTTTTCGATAAATATTATCAGTTTATCAAAAATATGAAAATCATGAAATTTCGAAAAGGATTGATTAGATGAAAACTAATCAAACAATTCATCATAACTCTTAGGAATAACTGAGATATAGTTTGTTTGGTGAGCGACGAAGAAAAATATTCAAATGTGTTTAGTAATGGTCCAAGCTGACTGCAAAAGATTCTGTGAGATAAAGTCCCTGGACAAAGAGCCGAAAAGCTGTCGCTAATAGTAGATTGACCTGGTAGAAAACAGCGGTGGAGACCAAGATATAAGTTCTATTGCTAGTTTGAACCTTAAACCGCGTAGAGTTGGTTGTGGTCACAGAAGGTATTCTGATCCATATCAGCAACTTTATCAGTTACACATGCAATTTATAATTTTATAATTTGAGCCAAATATCCAAATATTTTATAAATTTATAAATTTTAATAATTATTTTAGAGATAATTATTATGATCATAATTTATTCCTTATAAGGTGTAGTGTAGTTTTTAATTTTTATTTGTCAAAAATGTTTTCAAATGAGATGTTGGAAAAAATTTTCGTTCTATGGCAGACAACCGGATTGCAAACAATGCGACAACCTAAATATCTCATTTGAAACATCGGATTAATTCTGAGTAGTGTTTAATAGTTTATTCATCTTTTCTATTCTTTTTAATTTTCGCATGGCTAGCAGCGAGAATATTTTATAATTCTGATAGTTCATCGAAATCTATAACACTTTTTTTGACTTCTAATACCACTAACTATTTTATTTACTAATACTCCTCACCATTATTGTTTAAAAACGCTAAATTTGTAATTTGTGGAACCTACCGGTTCTTTTGGTATATTAAAATTTTTTAAAATTATCACTTATCATCATTGTCATTCATTATCATAGAGGATTAACTCGCACCGCACTGAATAAATATGTCAGTATCTGGCGAAAGAAATGCAGATGAGCCGCTAGGATTTTTGGACACGATCTGCGGCGAAGGAGCCCCACCACTAATTATTTACTACTACTATAACCATTGTTTTTTTAGTAGCACCTTAGTCGGCATCACTTCATACTTGGCACTACCACAGCTAGTATCATTAATTATTAGTAACGCTATAGATAGTACCACTATAACCACTATTTTTTTAGTACCACTATTATGCAAAAAAAAGATTTGACATATTCGAAAATTTTATAAATTATTGGAAAATATATCTAAGACAAAATAAGAAAAACTAAAACTAATCTTCTGGCTCATAAACTCATAGTTAGATTTTCCCTCAGATCGAAGTAATTCACTTGTTCAAAAAAATCTTCAGATTTAAATGTCGTTTTAAATAATTGGAATTATAAAAAAGAAATCCATTATATTGTTTAATATAACTTTATTTTCATATTCTTGAATGGTACTATTATTGCAGATTCAGAAATGATGACAGAGATGAAGTTTGATATGATAAATTTGATATGAATATTTGATAAATTTTAAAATTTCAACGCAGCAATGTTAAACAAAAATTTAGCACAAATTTTATTTACCTTGTTCCGCAGCAAAATTGCCATTCTTAGCTAAAAGCTTTAAAACCAGAAATCATCCGTTCTAAAAATAATTCGATAATTTTCTATTTTAATTTACACCATGATTTTTGCATTTTAATACTTACAGTAATGCATAAAATTCCGCTAACGAATTTAGTAAATTTATAAAAAAATTTTTAAAATAATCTCATTTTTATTCGATTTATTCAATCTTAATTCTCTATGATAATGAATGACAATGATGATAAGTGATAATTTTAAAAAATTTTAATATACCAAAAGAACCGATAGGTTCCACAAATTGCAAATTTAGCGTTTTTATTTATCGTATTTGTTTTAATAAATAAGCATTTTGCGACATATCAACTAATTTTTATTCGCTCTTTTTATTGGCAAATAAATTAAAATTCATTTTTAAATTTTTTTTATCAAAAATTTGAAATTCTCGAAAATTTTTTTCTTTATTCTAATCGAATATATAAATAAAAGAATTTTTTTTTCATTAAAACAACAAGCCTAAAAACTGACCAACTAATATTTTATCCTATTAATTATGTATAATTATTATTCTTGTATATTTTTTAAAAATTTCATCCATTTTATCGCTTAATAAATTTTCTGTCCCACAATTGTCCACAACTTCGGCTCATTTCGGATTCGGCAAATTTCGCCTATGATTCACTTACTGATTTGGAGAATACAAGTGTTTCGCCCAGCGGATTTTGAAAGACTGGTTTACGTCTTAATTTCTGTGCTTCTTAATGAGAGCAACAACAACTCACTGAGCAATCATTTTATCCTTTATTAAAATCACTGAATTTAAAATGAACGAATATAACATAGATGTGTGAAATTTTTAATAATTTATATAATTATATTTAGTATATAAAAGATTTTATTTGCTAACGATGCTTATACTTATATCATTCATACATTTACTATTAATTACTCAAAGCAGTGTGCAACAAGATCAACTCTTTCCATTGTTAAACTTCAATTTTTTTGGTGGGCAACAATCGAATTACGATATTGCCGATCACCGATTAAAAAGGTGTTGTGGTCGTTTAAATGAGGCCGATGCACATTGCAAAAGTAACTTTTGCAGTTTTGACGCAATTAATTCGAATAATGTAAGTTATTTTACGACGAACCAAGATAATTATGCAGATATTTTAGCAAATTTTTTTCATTGGAAGGGAAAAATTTTAGCTTATAAGAACAATATGATTTAAAAAAAAAAAACTGATCACAAGAGAACCTGAAATATCTGATAAAATTCACCAGTAGAGATACCGACTGACCGATAAGCTAAATATGCAGTAAAATCTCTCAAGATCATTTATTTCTCATTAAGAATTTAAGCGACAGATAGAAATTTATTCTAGTTAACTACTTACTACTACTTACATAGATGTTTGTAGGCTTTATTATTTCTAATAATTTGTACACCTCGTGGGCCAACAGTTGGACAAATGTGGGATTGCGTATCATCACGTCAGGATCATCGAGCATGTTGTCAACAAAATGGAGTTGGGCAAGAATGTATGGTCTATTGTGAAACAACAAACGGTGTGCCAACGGAACCAGCAAAATATTTGCAGTGTTTACGATACTTCAATCCTATACGAACTTGTTTCAAACAATATCTACACAATCATCCAAATATGTTTGGTGAATTTTGATCTCTGTTCTAAGAATAATAATTTTCGAAATATATAAATAAGCCTATTTAAAAAATAAAAAATTTTTTGGAAATCTTTAAAAATTAATTTAAAATTATTAGTTTGAACTCGTTGAGTTATAATGAAAAAGAAATAATTATGATGATTTTTTAAATATTTACATTGGTTTCAAAAATAAATTCAAAACAAAAAATGAAGAAAAGTAATTAATTATAATCTGTAAATATATTATTTCATAAAAAGTGTGAAATGACAGAAGTCGAAAAAGTAAAAAAATAGTAAAACTATTTAAAAAAATAGGTAATTTTGGATTGCATTCATACTAAACAATAAATAGATAAATGATAAAGTGATAAAAGATGGTGAAAAAGATAAAAATAAAAATGAGAGAAAAAATTCAAAGCATTTCGAATATTTATATTTATATAATTGAATTGAAATTTAAAGAGAAAAATTGTATTCGATAAAGAATTTGCTCAAATTTATAATTGAATTTAATTGTCAAATAATTTAATTAAATTTATAATTGAATTTAATTGTCAATAAAATTTTTTTTATTTAATTTTTCGACATAAAAATATCAAAAAATTAAAAAATTATTAAATTTTAATTTTTAAAGAATTTAATATTTGTTTTTTTGATATTTCATGATCCAGAGGAGACCGAATTATCATCAAACCTTAGCAAATACCTTAACAAATTTTCTGACATTTCATAACTGCTACATAATTTTCACTAAAGGCAAACCACAGTAATGAAAGCAAATCACTAATCTCAGATACAATCATTCTAGATTTCCAGTCATCATCATGTTAACCTTTTTATCATCCATGACTGCTGCTATAGCAAAAGCCTAATACAAAGCTTGGCTGATATCAAAAAGACAATGAGAGTGGAAGTTAAAGATACGAAAAGTTTTAAAAGGACCTAAATGAAAAAAGAATTTGCTAATGGGCTATAGCGAAAGGATATAGCGAGCTATGGTGACTAGGGAAATAATTAAGATGCTTGCAGTTTAGGAAATTTTCACATGATTTTCCTAAGTTTTGCGGCAGATCAAGTGCATTCAATATGATGAGATTATAGCCATGATTTTTTATAGGCAATATGAATTATTAATTAATATAACAATTTTTTAGAAGTTGTTGAAGAGAGGAAAAGGAACAACGCAGTTTAACAATATATTAAGGTAGCACAAAGATTCTGATCAAGTTTAAGGAAATGGTATGTCAAAAACATAAGGCAGAGTTGAATGGGTTGTTGAAAAAGATTAAAAAGGTTTTTAGGTCACAGCAAATACTGTGAAAAAAATGAACTATAATAGTGCGTAGATAATTTTAAAATGCTATTAATGAAATATGGTATAAGATTATAGCGAGATTTGGACAATAAAGAAAAGATATAACAGGTAACGGAGTTTGGAGACTGTAAAGAGCAAAGGCTTCGAGGAAATTAGGAAGCAAAAAAGGATTATATGTGAATGATAACGAAAGGTTTTGGCAGATGAAGGGCGATTGAAGAGGAATAACATGAGTAGATTTTGAAAGTTTTAAATTTTGACTGAGCACATATGAATATAGAAATAGAAAATTGGTATGTAGGGGTGAAAAAAGAAATTTCCTAAAATTATTGCTAAATTGGCGAAAAGACAATTTTAAGGAAATCTACAAAAAGAAATCCCTTTTTTTCTCCGGTAAGTATATAGGTTATTCTTAATTCTCGAATTCTACACCAGAAGTGTGGAAGTTTGATGGTTCTCCGTAGTATCGTAGCTGTTTCTATTTCTTTTGAACGGAGATCTCTGATGTTGCCCCTGGAACCTTTTGAAGGCACTTTTCTAGTTTCTATATGTATTATAGACAAATATATAGTGTTTAAATAAATATATATTTTGACATACGCCTAAGGACTTGTGGTACCCGTTGGTTCAAAAATTGGATTAACGGTAGCTGCCTTTAATCTATCAATTCTTCAATCATTGTTTAATCTTTTCTACTTTTTTTTTTAAATAATAACTGAAAAAAATTTAATAAATTAATGCCTAATTTCGATAGAATTATTCAATTTTTCTTCGCCAAAATATAACGATAAAATTAAAGAAAATAATTAAATGGCAACCTTTTTCATCCATTGAAAAATTTTCTTATGCCAAAGAATGAAATTATTTAATGCGAATTGTTTTTTTTGGAAATTTTTCCTATTTTAAAAACCAGTTTTATGAATATTTGTCGCAAACTTTTCTGAACTGCAAAAAAATTATTCATTTTATATTTTATTTAAAATTTTATTGAATTCTCGACCCGTTTTTTTTTCAATCATTTTATGATTAATGTAATAATTTTTCTTTTTTTGCTGAAATAAGCCTAAAAAATGGCTTTCTGGCGGAGAGGTGATACTAATGGCGGAATTCGTACAGTGGGTAAAAGGTGCACAAATAATTGCCAGAATCATTGAGCTATTAATTGCTATATTAAAAATATTCTTTCCTCAGGGTATAATCATCATTTCAATGTGGTCGTCTTGTTTTGCATTGTTTATTATCTTATTGCATGGTGCTAAATTTTTGTATGTGGCATGTCATGAAGAGATACTCTGGATAAATACAACTTATCAAGCGATTGATCATCATATTGATATCGACCGATTACGACAATGTAGAGCATGGAGATTGTGGTGGAACGCACAAGTTCGTTGATAATTGATAACAGATTTTCTTTCTAACACTAAAAGATGATACAAAAAATTCTCGATGTTTTAATATAAACTTATGTTTTTGCCATATTTCGAAATGTGCCATATCTTTGCCATATCTTGAAATCAAAATAATGGATATTCTACCCATTCTACTAATTTGAAATTTGCTTTCCATTTAAAAAATTATTGATTGCAGGCAACTGATAATATATCTCCCTACGAATTTGACCTTATCACATCGAAACGTATAATACAAGAATTCACTAAACCGAGTCATCTAAGGCGTTTCGACCTTCCAATTTATTTATTACATTACCATACTGTTCGTAAATATGGTTTTTTTTTTTTTAAATTTTCACCAGAAATATTTGTTTATTTAAAAATAATTTTGCATATATTAAGTGATTGTATTTCAAAAAAGCTAGCAAGCACTGTACCATTGCGAAAGCTCAATACTTTGTTAAGAAAAACTAGAATATTTTAATTTAATCAATTTATAGTTTTTAGCGAATATTAGCATTTTTTGCTAATAGCACTCATTACTTCTCTGGTTTGTTCAGCTAGTTAGTTATCTTTACCAAGAAGTTATTTGGGCGAAGGAAATATGGATTAGTTTCCAGCATCATTCTGATTTTTGAATGCTTTCTTCTACCCCATTATGGATATTCCGAAATGGGAGCAACGACTCATCGAGCCATTTAATCTAATTATAAGACCTAGCATTGACAAAAATTGGCCATAATTGTTTAAAAAGTAAGCAGCTGGCGCTAACTAGTAGGGTATTGAAGATCAAATTTAAGTTTAACTTTCATACTATCTCATTCGTACTAATTTGGTGATTCAGGTATTTTCTCAGTGAAAATACCTAAAATGAATCAACGAAGTATTTGGAAAATAAATACTTAAAAAAATATTTCGATGTAAACTTAAAATTGGTACTAAATTTTCTCAAATACTTCACAAATTCGAAGTTTTGTGATATATTTCTTGCTTTTGGTGATCCGTTATACCTTTGCCCTCTATCTAGCAAAATAGCCTTGGCCTCATCTAACAATTATTACAGCCAAGCAAATCAGAAATTTTGCATGCTGCACGAAAAAAGATAGGGCAACTAAAAACAATGATTGTAGCTTTAACATATCTTTCATATTTTCTAGCGCTTTCCTCCACCTATTCCTTCGATATACTTCTTGCATACCTGTAATATTCTTAATTTGATGCAAAGCCAGCAATTTTTATGGATATATTTTTAAAATTAGTTTAAAAATGAACCAAAAATTATTTTAGAAAATAATTGTGAATTTTGAAGAAATCTGCAAAAATCATACTCGTATTCTATGGATTAATTCAACTGAAATTGCCGAGTATTCTTTTATCATTGAATTTACTATTCACATATTTTGTTTAATTTATTATTATTTATTACTGAAAATATTTAAGCTGAAAATTAATCCTTATTGAACAGATAAATACGGCTCAGTGTGCATTTTGAACCAAATTTTAATTTGGGTTTTGCCTTTGGCAGGAATAATAGTAAACCTTTACTTTTAGGAAGCTCAGGTGGTACTTGGAAACTTATCTCTATTTCCGCTTCCTCTAGGCTTTTTAGATTCTAAAATTGCCTCATCCTGCCGATACCCAGTGATGTGAGCTTAAACCAGAAATGACTGATAGCCATTATACTTATACTCCTTTTTTTTATTACTTTATCACTTAAATTTTTCAAATCGAATCACAAAATAAAATATATTTGAATTATTGAATTTTTTAAAAAAAATTTGTAGGAATTATGGGATAAATTTATCATTCGTTTGCAATTCGTACGAAGCGATAAATAAATTAAGATCGAAGAAAATTGAAGAGAATAACGTGGATAAAAATATTTCTGCGAGATGGAAAGATAAGTGAGTTCTCCAGCGCATACTAAATTCCCTTAAGTTAATCCTGAATTAATACTGAAATACTCTGTAGGTGAACCTTGATTAAGAACCACTATAAATTTCACTTCATCAATCCAAATTCTGCAAAATTTTAGAATTTTAGGATTTTTCACTAAAATATGTGGCCAATTTATTTGCGGCCAATTTATTTATTTGAGATCAGAATACAAATACTTATTGTAAAATATTTAATATTTTGCGGCCAATTTATTTATTTGAGATCAGAATACAAATACGAAATGAATATAATTCAAGATCAATATGACATTGCTAGGCTATACCCAGACAATCTACTAGTACCACGAAGCACATTGCATAATGAAGCGATTTTTACGACGACAATTAATCCATTTATTCAACAAAAAGTTTGTATATGACAAAAATTTATTTTTTTTAAAAAATAAAAAAAATTTTTTTGTTAAAAAAAATAAAAAAAAAATAAAAAAATTTTTTAAAAAAAATTTCAAATTTGTTATAAATTTACAATTCTTGTAAAATAATTTTCGATAGTGAGCCTTGAATCGTTTCGAATATAAACATTAATAATTTAATAATAATTTACCCAAAAATTTTGGTAAAATTTCCTTACTCAGTTCAGTTATTATTCAAAACACTTGTTCAGATGACCAGTAGCTATTTTTATTATTACTATTTCAATAAATATGACGTATATTCCAGTAAAAGTGAGGTTCAATTTTGCATATTCTAGCGAAACATGCGATTTTCAGATGGCTGCAATGGACATGGAAAATGATCCTGTGCTCATGGTACGTGACCAGATTATGTCCCATCTTTTACAACTGAATATACCTTTGATACTATTTTCACGACATGAAGCTATTGCTATTCCACTAGCGAAAATTTGTTCGATATCTCATGATGCTGTACAAGCGGAAGAACGATCAAAAATTTCGAGCCAAAGCATTGGCTAGTTAAAATTTTCTTTTTTCTATGATATATTTAATTAATTTATTATTTTATAAAAAAAAATTTTCATTTTAGATAGAAGTAAAAGTATGGGAATTGATTTAACAACAATAAAATTTGATATTAATCAGTTCGCATTGATTATACAAAACGATACGAGAATAAAGAATATTTTAAGAGTATTTGATGAAATCGCCAATTTGCAACCAATTTCATCATCATTAATATTGCCAATTTTAGAAGAAACTAATTACGATTGCAGGTTTCTATTTAACAAGCCTAAAAAAAACCATGAAACCACGAAACCTGCCTAAAATCCATCATTGGTGCTTAGTCGGGATAGTTTAGTGGTTTATTGCGAAGTGCCAATGGTAGGGTTCTACCTATAGAAAGGGCATGGTGAATCTTCCAAAAACTCGGCAGAAACTGGCACCTCTACTTCTTCCGCCAAGTAGCTCTTTGACAATACCTATATGGGTCCGATAAGCCGGTATAAATGGTGAGTGAATGGTGAATGGTGAGAAAAAAAAAACTATGTTTCAATATAAAAAAAGATTTTGGTGCAATAAAAATGAAAATTTCCTATTATCTATACCAAGTTTATTGACCATTACATATATCCAAATGAATATTTAAGTCTGCTAAGATTTAATATATATGTTTTTTTGGTCTCCGCCAATCTTTTTCTCTGGCCAAACTGTTGATGTACGCGTTGGAATCCACATACAATCGGTGTCAAATTTTCAACTCAGCACGATGGTTAGATGAAATTTGAAATTCAGTGTAACAAAGAAAAAATTGAGTTTGTCAAAGTTTTTGGTCTTTCGAATAGGTCCACCAGCTTCATCAAGAAAAAAACTACGAAGAAAAATTTTGTATTACAAAAATTTTTAAGCCAAATTTTCTTAAGATATCAGTAGAGCTCACTGAAATAATTCTTTTTAAGAACAATTTCGGTTATTTTCGATTTAGCAATAATTATGAAAAATTATCAGTGGGCATAATATCAGTCGATATTTTTCACTAATATATTTCTTCTATTAAACTATCGAAAAAAATACAATATTAGAAAATTTTTTAAGCAAAATTTGGCCTTATAAAACATTCCCTTATCTATATAAATTATAATTTATTGACCAACTAATATATTGGCTTTATCGAAGTCTTTAATTAAGAAATAGTAGTCAAATTTGAAATTTTAGTTTGAAAAGTTACCGATTATTATTTTTAATTTATATTATATATTTTTGCAAAAAGAAACCAATAGATACAATTTCCATACAAAAAAAAAAAGGTTGAAGGAACCACTGGTCAAGATAAATTAAAGTACTAATATGCCGGGAGACGCCAGCAATTCATGAGCATTTTTGTCACCTTCCTGTGAATTCTTAGCAAAATTTGTTTGATCTAAAAGCTTGCGGAGATAAACTAACCAACGTTTTCAGAAAAATTCTCGTAATTTTAGGATTATGACATGGATATTTGGTTAAGAATGGCATGGAGAGATCCACGTCTGATACATAATCTCAGAATGCCAATACTTATCAATGATGAAATGATATTAAAGTTAGTTCAAAAATATTTATTATTTCATAAATTACTCGATTTTATATCATCCATTCTTAGAATAGAAATACTTTATTTATTTATTACCAGCAAGCAGAGCGACAAACGCCATCTGCTTATATTAATAATAACAGTTAAAATAATAAATAATAAGAATTAATGGCAAAAAATAACAATTTAAGGATGAAATAAAGAGGAAATTATAAAAATAATGTAATATAATACAATTTGAAATAATCGGATGGTAAAAAATCGAGATTTCACCTATCCTGCATGATATGAATTTTTAAATAATATCATAAATGATATTATCTAATCTTTTTTTAAAGATAGCTAGGGATGCAAGCTTATTCCATCAGTTGCTGGGATAAAATACTTTAAAGCCGGCAGCTCCGATACTCACACTTTCATGCCGAAAATTGATTGATGTAACTAGTTTTTTTGCACTTAAGTTGCTTATCTTCTCTATCAACATTTAATCCAAGTCATAGTGCGGCTTACTCGTTTTTGTGGTCCTTCACTACCAAGTTTAGTGTATATCGAGATACAATCAAATTTCTGGGATAGTCGACGAATGTCGAAAGATTTGATAAAACCGTGGATCTATTCTCAATGGTTTCATAGCCATTTGGCACTATACACAATATTTTTTAACAAAAGGAATTTATATATACCACTGCAGAAAAATCTGGCGACCAGCACCTTTCTTCGCAAATGCCAAACGCTCTTCTTTTCAGCGCGTTACAATGCTGAATTTTTATATGTTTGTTTTCCAGGATGGTGAAATTTTCATGGATATCCGGTAAATTTTTGATTGAAAATACTGTATTTGTTGACAAAAAACAACTGAAATTGCTGATTAAACAAAAATTCAAAATTCAAAACATAGAAAATATTAGGGAATGAAAAAAGCCTGAAAAAACAGTGCTAATTTTAGAAAATTAAAATGAAAATTTTTATAGGCTTTATTTGAAACCAAACTGTCAACTCGTTCTATGCAAATATCCGCATGATAGTCAGACTTGTAAATTAAAAATCAGTTCTTGTAAGTTTTTTCTCTTAAATTCTTAGATAGTATGCCATCAAAATTTGAGTAAACTATCACGATTATTATTAGTGGTCATTAGATAGCTTAACCAATGAAAAAAAAATTACGCATGATCGCATCCACCTTCGTTCAAACACCACCTGTATTAATAATGTTATCACAGAGCGTCGCCTTCGCTGGTTAGGGAACGTTCTCCGTCGTCCACCACAGGAATTGACGCATATTTCGTTACTTGTTAAACCCTGTGATTCTTATCCTGAAAAGCGAGGATGACCAGTGAAAACCTGGACTGATAGTCAGGAAAGATTTTGAACGTATAGGTGGACAAGCAATATATGGACTTAGACGATGGAAAAACGAATGGCTTCTATTACTGTCGACGATAGCATCAGATTGCTCCGCTTAGAAGCGTTTTACTCTTGTAGCCGTTTGGAGCCAGCCTAACCAGTAATGGTGAGGGCTGTTAGAAGAAGAAGAAGAAGAAGCTTAACCAATATACTGCACAATATATATATATATATATACTTCCTTAATATTTGCAGTTGGATTTGGACAAGATTTAGTTAGATTACATTGGTTCGATGAAATCGATGATGCGATTAAGATGAACAAAAAGGTGAAATTGCCCGAATTATATATCGTCGGTTATACAAAACACATCTGTAATGGTATGCGGAAATCAGGTTAAATATTTTGCTGATTTGCTGATCAAATAAGCAAAATGGTTGAGTGATAAATTATTTTTGAGCTAATAGCGAGAAAACAAAGCAAGAAATCCGACTCCTGAAATGACTCACACAGTACTGAAAACGTGTGGTACTAATATTGAAACTTAATTAGTTATTAAGTATCATCCACTCATCATTTTACGAATGAATGACGGCGGCAAAACTTAGCTTTACATATGATTAATTAACTTTTAAAATGAAATATTTAATATATTTATTTACTTATATTTAATATATTTATTTAATATATTTTTTTGCTTATAGGAAATTTTTCTTGCCTCGAAGAAATATTTAATATATTTTTTTGCTTATAGGAAATTTTTCTTGCCTCGAAGCACGTTTTCATATGAAACGAACTATCAGTTATCATTTATCACATACCTATATTCCAACAGCAATGTGCGTCATATTTTCATGGATTAGCGTATGGCTTCCAGAAGAATTTGTCGAAGGACGCGTTTTTCTATCATTAACTGTATTTCTAACTTTAAGTGCTGAAAGTGGTTCTACAAAAGAAATTCTTCCTAAAGTTTCATACATGAAGGTACTCCTTTTTCTCTTTTAAAAAAAATATTTCTAATTTTCCCACTAATGATTTTATTACTAAATTTTTGGTTAAATATAAATTAAAAATAGATTTAAGATTGAATTTTTTTAATTTCTATTTTTATTTTTTTCATTCGCTTGAAAACATATCGAAATTCAGGCAATTGATATTTGGTATGGATTTACAACAGCATTTGTTTTTGCAACAATGCTTCAGTCACTTTTCGTTATCTCATTGGAACATAATGGAAAAGAATTGGTTAGTAAAAAAATCCATTTTATACTTATAATCTTATAGTTATTCTTAAAATAAATTAAAGAGATTTCAGCGAAAAAAAATAGAAAGCAATGAAATGCATATACCACATTATAAGCTATTAATGCTTTATCAAAAGGCAAAATTACGTTCCACGCTTGCTCGAATGTTAGATAAATATTGCAAAGTTCTCTATCCGGTTATTTTCATCATTTTTGTTATTATATATATTTTTGTAATAACAGATGGCGAAGAAAATAAATGTATTAGATAAATGTTAAAATAAAATTTAAAAAATTAATCATTGATAATAAATAACTCAAATAAATCAATCACTGAACAAATAAAAATTAATAAAACAAAACTAATATTAGATTATTAGAACATTAGAATTAGAAAATTAGAATTTAAAAAAATGTTGAATATAATAAAGCAATCAAGAAATAACAAAACAAAAAGAGAAAAATATCTAATTCAAAATCTCCATTATATTCAGAATGGGTAATCTCGTGGTGTTTTTTTTATCGGTGCTGTCTTTGCTCCATAAGGAATATTGCTATATGGATATTCTCTGAAAAAAATGCATATGAAATATGATTTTTTTTTTTTTTACAAATTATTTAATATAGGATCACTACACCAATTTTTATCTAACGCTAATTTATGAATGTGAAACTACGAAAAAAAAGGTTAAGTGTTTCAGAAGAATAATGATAAAAAATCAATCCATTGATTCATGGGCTATAAGAGAATCACCCAGGGAAATTATAACATTATTTCGAATTTCTGTTCTTAATAGGAAAAAATCATGCTAATCAAACGTGCAATCCGAATGGTTGCTGAAAACATGTTTTTATTTCTCATATGATTATATAATTTACTCTATCTATCAGCTAAATAAACCATAAATACAAATAAATAAGAAATGTTGTCGATGATTAAAAGCAAAAAAATATAGGAAATAATAATACCTTTTTCTAGGCAGAGATGGCAAATCAGCGTTTGTATCTTGTTGATATTTATCACTGCTATTCATTGATTCATTCGACAATAAATATTTCAAATTTCCCCGAGGAAAGAGAGAACTTGAATTTTTTGTTTCAGTTTCGTCCGAAAAAATTATTATATTAATACAAGTACAATATTAGTACAAGAAATGGTAGAAAAAAATGATCATATGATGATATAAGAACTAACAGATTTCTTAACGGACGATGCTCGAAACTTGAATAAGGACGATATTTTTGCATCTTCTATCTAAAACGAATATTCTAGCAAGTTTTCAAGTGACTAAAAAATCAAGCATCATAAGTTCAAATCTATATCAGAAGTAAACTTATCGTTAGGAGGGAAATTCCAGTTTAACTTTTCAAGTGTTTTTTTTCCAGCTTTAATCATTTTGCATAAAAGAAATCTAAAAAAATAAATATTTTCATCTATACTTGTTTTTTGAGATGACTTGAATCGTCTATCGGCGTTACAATCTGAGACGAGTTCAACACCTAAAATTATCGCAATATTTGATGCTTGTATTAAAAAAGAGTGCTATAGCGAATTGAGTGCAAATATAGAAAAAAAAAATTCATTGTGGATTCTTACCATAGATTCACACATGGAGATATTATCACTATGGTCTGACACAGTATCTTTGTGATTTAAAAATGGTGACTGATGCACTGAAACGAAATTTTTCGGTTAATGTTGGGTTAAAAGCAAGATATTTCAATAATATATTATGCCATCTATATATAAATTGAATCAAATAGCTATAAGCTTGTCATTTTTGGGAAAAATAAAAAAAATAATTTATATCAAAAGCATTTACAAAAAACATCTATTGCAAAAAAGAAAAAATGAAAAAGAAAAATTAATGAAAAAAAATTTGATGCTATGAATAAAATTCATTTTCAGTGCTGACCTGAAATTGGAGTGGTCATATTTGGTAACTTTCTGTTCATGTCCCTACAAATAATAGATTAATAAAGTACAAATTTTCTTTTTCTCACAACTCTCACCATTACTGATTAGACTCAAGCTGTTCAATATTACAAAGTATGAATTATGCGAATAAAATTTTAGAATTATTCCGAGGAAAAGAGGAATCGGTTCCATATCAACATTTGAAACCAAAAGAAATATATGAGTGAGAAAAACTGGAAAAGCTTAATGGCAATTTCATAAAATGGCATTACTGAGATTGAAGTTTAGAAATTTCATCATCTTTCTTCAATTTTTCTTTATTATAAAATACTCGCATAACGGTCAACTGCCTGAAGTTTTAAATTGGATTAGTAAACAGAAAAAAAAGAAGGCTATAAAGAAATAAGAATTTTTCGAATTGTAAAAAACAACTCAAGAAAACTCGAACTCGAAATTTTCGTAATCTGGAAAACACTTAAATATAATTGATAACTGAAATTTAGCAGGGGTCGCTAATATACAATCACATAGAAGCATGGTCGGTGGATTATTGCCGAAGACAGCAAGCAACATGCATTCGACTTCTGGATAGTAGAGCCGACTAATTTATATAATTGTATTTCAGTTTTCAAGTGATTATTTTGCGAAAAACTATCATTCTGTGTGTCATTCTCGTAGCGCGATTAGGCAAGGCGAAATAGTACTGACAAAAATTTAAAAAAAGAACTATAACAGCATATAATAGAATTAACATACTTTTCGAGGATAGCCTTCTTCTTCAGAATATTAGAACAATATTCTCGTAACTTCTCATGGGTACCCTTCTGAAATATTCGTCACAATCTTAAATGATTAAAAAATTCACCATAATTAAAAATCAGACCAACTCAATAAAATGTTTAAGAAGATTAATGCATTGTCCGTTTTGGAATTGCATCACCATACTTAATTCTTTAACAGCTTCAGCCAAAATCTCGTTTGGAGGACGAAAAAATGAAATTACCTAGAAAGTTATTCAGTAGCATATAATAAACAATAGAATTTCTGCAAAAATAAAATGAATAAAACAATTAATTCAAATAAAATAAAACAGTAAATATTGATGAAAAATAAATAATAAAATAATAAATTCCGACGAAAATAAAATGGAATAAATTAATAAACATAAAAATTAATCTGAATAATTTGAATAAAAATATTTATATAGAAAATTTATATATTAATATAATCAATAAAAATAAAAATCTAAAAACAATATTCAACGAGAAATGTTAAAAATGAAAAGAAAAAAAGAAAAAAATTTAATAATGCGATGAATATTCCCTATTTCTGGTTTGTTCTTCTGGCTTCTCACAGCTTTGAATGGTGAATCACCACCTATTATGATCTTTAATAATATTTCTATCCATGATCCATAGTAACATTTTTTAGCATTATCAATAACATTTGTATTTGTTAATTTATTATTTTTATTTATATTTCCTTTATCCACTGCGAGGAATAGAAGCTCGGCTTCGACGCTCCAAATTTAGCAGCGCAGGAATAAATCTGTACAAAAACCCGGATGATGCTGGTGACTCACCTGTATTTCTATCACCAAAGGGACTCCCTGGCATATTGCCCAATGCGAAAAGCGAGTGGAGCGAGTTTAACCAGTAATGATGAAGACTTTTAAAGAAAAAAAATATACAAATAATGATATGCATTATTAAATTTTTCGAATGTTTTCTGATAATAATAATGGATATCTTAAAATAATAAAAGTAAATAATAATGTAAATAAAAAATAGAAAAAAAACAGAAGAAAACGAACAGATTCTTCCATTTTATTGGAGATTTGCTGCAGTTTAACAGTTTTTTTGCAAATCCTACAAATGGTTAAATCTTGCTCGGGCAGTTGTCGATTTTCTGGAAAAAAATATTAGTGAGGAATTCAACTTTTATGTGAAAAAGCAAGAACAATAAGGCAAATTTTAAAAAAAAGTAAAGAAAGTGGAAAGTTTTTTTACACAGCCACATAAATATATCAAAAACTGAAATATAACAAAATAAAAATATATCTATATATATATGTAAAAAAAACTAAAAACTAAAATATACCGAGAAATATACCGAGACATATAGAACAACTATAAACAACTATACTATAAATGAGAGAGCTATAAGTGAGTACCCAGAAGAGATTTCATTCTTAAAGATAGATACAGCAACTAACAGGAATCGAATTAAAAACAATGGATCATTTATTATCTCAACCCTTTCAATTTTTATGAAATTTTTATGAAATTAAAAGAAAAATTCAACCTGTCCCTTCTAAAAAATTCTCGACACATTTTCTGCAATAAATATGACCACATTTACCAAAATAAAACTGATAATATGCAATCGCTGTACGACAACATATATTGCAAGCAATCCAACTTTTACCCGGAAAATCGACATCATTCGTATCCATCTAAAAAATCTTAGAAATATTTATTATTCATTATATAAAATTTCAATAAATAGCCATCAAAATAGCAAATAAATTCGAAGTACAAACCAAATGACAATTTACCCGAAAAATGAAATTAATTTGTAAAATTTTATATAATTTATATTTTTTATATTTTTAATTATATAATTTTGTGCAAATTTTTATATAACTTATTATATAATTCTTTATGGAAAAAAAACCAAAATTAGATAAAAAATAAGAAAAAAAATAAAATTTTAACAACTAATTACAATAAAAATTCAAAAACGCTCTTATAACTTAAAAAAAATATAATTTATATAAAATTATATATGGAAAACTAATCGAATGTTTCTCATTAATTACAATTACATACATTAATTTTTATTTATTCAAATAAATTTATAAAAAATTTTGTAATATAAATTTTAAAATTTTAAATCAAATAGAAAACTTATATTATTTAATAAAAAATATAAAAAATAAAAAAATAAAAATAAAAAATAAAAAAATATATAATAAAAATATAAAAAAATAAATAATAAATATGTTAAAAAATAATAAATAAACTTATATTAATAAAATCCAAACAAAATAAATAAAAATGAAGAAAAATAACCACGTAAACCACTCAGTGATAAACAAATGACGAAACACTTTCTTCAGAATTTGTGGAAATAAGTTAAGCTTCGGCTTAGTACTAAAGTGCGGATGATTCAATTGTTAACGAGCGATTGAATAGCTGAAGGTTTTGCTCCACCCGTTTGGGTTCGTTTATCGCTGTAATTGGAATCTAAAAATATGGTGTAAATGGTGTAAATTTTTTGCAATATTTAAGTTAAAGTATAATTTAATATCGACATCAATATGGAAAAATAGAATATGTGCTAAAACGCGGCCGCAACTTATGCTAAAGTGCAGTTCCTTCGCGTATTTCACGCACGTGAATGCTGCTCTCAGACTACAACAACAACAACAACAACGTGAGATGTAACAGTTAGACTCGCTAGCGAAGCGACCTCGAGTCTTAACAAGGATGGAGTTTTACGAGAGATTTTAGCCAATATTTGCTAATATTTATTAAATAAGAAATATAAATACTTTTTAAAAATTAAAAAATTAAAAAATAATTTAAGAATTAAAAATGAATATTTTAATAAAATAGAATCTTTTGCAGTAATAAAATAAAATTGATTTCATTTAAATTTATAAATAAAATTACAAAATTAATTTACAAAATTACAAAATTACAAATTATAAAATTACAAAAATTACAAAATTCATGAAATTGATTTTGGAAAATACCGCAGTGTCGTCGCTTTTGTCGCTTTAAACAAGAACGTCTGGCGTTGAGCGTTCTATGCGTTTGGTGAATTTGGTGACTGCGTTTTTTTCTTTGTTCTTTCTTAGCGGTGAAAACTGCCGATTCATTTTGAGACTATAACAGTTTATAAACTATAACATTAAAAATTTAAAGCGGATAAACTGTATAAATTGTATAGTGAATGGTGAATAGTAATGGATAGTGGTAACAATAACAATAACTTCAAGAAGTCGTCCTCACTGAAAAAATCACCTAAGATTGCACCCATTTAAGAAATTTCCTATGGATCTTTATGGGATCCATGTCGATTCTCAAAGGATAGAAACCTAATTCCTGCATATTCCTATTTTTTTAAACTGGTAATCAAATTATTTTTAATGATTATTTTGTGCAGTTTATTTTATACTTTATATTTATTATTTTATATTCAGTGTATAGAAATATTGCAATTTTTTAAATGGAAAATTTTAATAAATATTAAAAATTTCAATATTTTCCATCCAAAATTATTCCACTGGGAGATCCATGAACATAGTAAATTTCTCAATTTGCTGCCAATCTTTGTTTGATATTAATATTCTCTTGATATATGAATTACTCGTCTACTGATATCTGCATGACCAATATACGATATTAGACATTGATTTTTATGGTATCATCTAGGGGATTCATGGAAAAAATTTTAGAAAAAACTGGCGCATAGGCTTAGGTCTTGCTAATCTCAAAAGGAATTGAAGCATCAGTGGCTTCATTAATCTTCATACCAATGCATCTGAACCTGAAATATGGTTGTCCTAAGGAAGTATTTTTGTATATTTGTTGCCATTCGTATTTTATCTTGCCATAAATCTTCTAACAGCTCACCATTGTAAGGGTGAGAAATCTCTAAGCTATTCGATCAGACGCCATCGCTAATAGTAATAAAGGCAGCCATTGCTTTCACCATCATCCAAGTCCATAAATCACTCGTCCACTTCTACATCTTTCCTGACTGTGCCAATCGAGGCCAATCTTTTTTGACGCTAAGGTTTTATTGAGCAACAAGTAACTGTCAAAAGTAACGTGTCAACTCGTGTGAACTGAGCGATGAAGAACTCCCTAACTAGCAAAAATGACGTTCTGTGGACAGTATTGTTAATGCAACTGGTATTTGAGCGAAGGTTGATGCAATAATTTGCAACTTTATCCGCTCAGCTGACCCGCATTTGCCATAAACCAACGTGAAATAATTAATAACACTAGCAGTTTGGTTTGGTAGTTTAGTTCCTATGGAAAAAAAAAAAATACTATTTTCGCCTCCTAAAATCTGATATATTTTAAGAATTATTCTATGATGCTCAGCTAATACCTTAACCCCTCAAAAATTCCTATATTTTGCTTTGATCCGTTGATCTTTCTCCATCTTTGCACCACTGAGAAAATCTACTTATGTCACTGCAGTTTTTTAAACCATCGCCATTCTTCCCTAACAGTTTCCCCGCGATCTATTAAATCATCGAAAACTTCCCACAAACCAGTTGTATTCACTTAACGCTCCCATATCTCAATTGCCTTCAGGCTTGTTACTAAAAACGGAATGTGTAGCTCCTGCTAAACCGTGGCGTGATGGATGGCGTCAAAAGCGAGGTGGGCTGAGCAAGACTTAGACTGATAAGATCAAAAGAGATTTTGAACGTATAGGTGGACCAACGATATATGGACTTAGACGATGGAGAAAGGAATGGCTTCTAGTACTGTCGACGATGGCATCAGACCGCGCCGCTTGGAAAAGTCTTACCCTTGTAGCCGTTGGAGCCAGCCTAACCAGTAATGGTGAGAGCTGTTAGAAGAAGAAGAAGAATGTGTAGCTAGCTCAAGTCAATCCTCGAGTGATCCTTATAGCCAATAGCTCTCATCATATATCAAACGAGCCAAATCTGCCAACTAAACCGACAAATGGTAAAGCACCACAAGGGAGAAACAAAGGCTTCTGAAAGAATATTTCATTAAGAATCGATAATTTCTCTCCCTCTTGAAAATAAAACTGTTCCCAATTAATCTCAGTTTTCCTCCTTCATAGGTCGTCAAATTTATGTCTCCTCATCCATTTCCGTTTGCTGCCTAAGATATTTTTCTAATCTGCATCCGACAAATACTAATCGTCGCATGGACAGCTAAAGTCATGCAAAGGGACAAATTAAAAGGCGCCAACTACAAAATTTATTCAGTTTTATTTTTAATTATTATTATTATTTTTTAATGGAATTGACTGTGGTCGTTGGGATTCAATTTGCGCGGTGGTCCTGCGGTGGACTTGTTTTACACGTTTTAGTCTAATGAATTTATTCCATATGATCGTAAGAAATACGTTTTACGTGATCTTTTAAAGCGCTTATTATTTGATAAAATATAAATAAATTTTGATAAATTTGTCATTTGATAAAATATTTATGGTTCTTCGACACCTATTTTGCGTATTTTTTTTAGAATGCGAGATAAGCGATATTCTATGGATTCTTTTCGAGATGACTTGGATTGTTTTAGCGTAAAAAGAGTCGAAGCTATTGTCGATCCTATTGTTCATTCGGAATGGGCTGAAAAAAGATATGTCTGGGCACCCGATCGTAACGAAGGTTTTCTGCTCGCTTCGCTTATCGAAGTTTGTTTCTTTTTCGAGAATATTTGCTTAAAAAAGAAATTTTTTTTCGATGATTTCCTTTTTTTCATATTTTTTTATTTTTTTTTTCGCAATATTGAAATCATTAAATATTTTTATTAAGGAAATTTTAAAAAATATTAAGGAAATTTCGGTTAAAATTTTGAAAAAAAAAACTTTCAAAAATTAAAGATTTATGAGATTTTTTTTTTAAAGCAAATAAAGCGAATTTATAAGAAAAATGCAATAATGCTTCTAATAAATTAAAATTTTTGTGGGTGCAAATCGAAATGAATATTTTTTTGAATCGAAACTCGTGAAACTAAAATTAAATGTATATATTATTTCGCGCAATTTGTTGCATACATTCGCAAACTGTCAAAAAGAAAAATTTTTAAAAATAAATATTCTAGAATTTTGAAATTTTAAAATATTAAAGAGGTACGGAAAAATTTGGCAATAAATATAATAATATAATTAGAATTAGCGCTTAAAAGAAATTTGAACTCGTAATTTTCTAAATTTTACTCTTATTTAAAGGATTTGCCAGAAGATTGCGCTAAAATACGAATGGTACAAACAGGAAAAGAAGTGATTATCAATAAAGAAGATTTGCAATCTGTAAATCCACCTAAGTTTGAAAAAGTCGAAGATATGTCATCGTTATCTTATCTAAATGAGGCATCTGTATTGCATAATTTGCGGCAGCGTTATTATTCTTCACTTATTTATGTTAGAATTATTTTATGATTTTTTTTTTTTGATCCATTAGATTGTTGGATTTTCGTGGTATATATTTTGTTGTCTTTTTGCATTAGATGTTTTACACTTATTTATATGTTTTCGAGCATATTTTTCAAATCTATAGTATATTTTTTTCAGACATATTCGGGTCTTTTTTGCGTTGCAATTAATCCTTATAAAAAAATGCCGAATATTTATTCGGAAATTGTTATTGAAAGATATCGTGGTCGGCGAAGAAATCAACTTCCTCCTCATATTTTTGCAGTTGCGGAGGACGCATATCGAAAAATGCTTTATCGTTTGTTATTATTGGAATATTTTTTTTATAAAAAAAGTGATTTAAATTTGAATAAATTCAATGTGTTAACTACCGAGAATATAAAAAATAAAAATATTGCTGTAGTCTGAGTCTACCTGGCTGGATATGTTTCAATTTATATTCTATACAGTCCGATGGTATTCTGATGGTGAAAAATACCTAACCATACATTTTATTTCCAAGATAAGTGCCAGTAGATATAACGTATAACATGATCTAACTGCAACAGTAGACTGCATCTCTTTAGAAAAATTCAGGTATTTTAGAATGAATTCACAAGTTAGCGAATTTGGCATATATTTCCAAATAGATTTATTATTTTACAATGCATATTAAAAATGCATAAATTTCAAAAATTTAATGATTTTAGAACAGGAAAATCAATCGATCCTGTGCACAGGTGAATCTGGTGCTGGTAAGACAGAAAATACGAAAAAAGTTGTTCAATATTTAGTATATATTGCGGGATTAAGTCGTCATGTAGGAAATAATTTGAATCCGAATCGGCTTGATGTTATTAATTTTTCGATTTTTCCTTTTGTCTTATTTTGTTTTTATTAATTAAATGTTCATAAATTTATTTTAAAAGAAATAAAGAAATATTTTTGGTTCTACAGAAATATTAGTGTAAAATGATAATGAATATTTTCAGAACTCTTTCTGTTCATCGGTCAATTCAGGATCGGTAGTTAGTTTACATTCCTGATACTTTTTATTTTTTCGATTTGTTTTATTTGCTGATCTTAAAATATTTTCCAGTCAAAAAAATTTTTTAAAACTTCAATATAGTCGATTATTTAGGATCAGTTAGAAAAACAACTTCTGCAAGCGAATGCAATTCTAGAAGCATTCGGAAACAGCAAAACGATCAAAAACGATAATTCTTCTCGATTTGTTAGCAAAAAATTTTTCATTGTGGAACGTATCTTAAATAACTTACTCTTGTTTGTCAAAAGGTTGTATTTTATAGGGAAAATTAATTCGCATCAATTTTGATCAATCCGGTCTGATCTTAGGAGGAAATATTGAATATTATTTGCTAGAAAAATCTCGAATCGTTCGTCAAGCTCCCACTGAAAGATCATTCCACTTCTTTTACCAAATGCTTAAAGGCAACTTCGTTGACAAAAGTTAAAATTTCTTTTGGTTATTTTTATTCTGAATATAGAAATAGGGGTAATAAGAATATAAAATTTCAAAATTCAAATTTTTTTTGCAGAATCTCTTCTTATGGAGAATGATATAAATAATTATCGCTTTTTGTCAAATGGTGATATAAACATTATTGATATCAATGATTCGAATGAATTTAAAGTAACAATCAGTGCGATGCAAATCATGGGTTTTCAGTGCGATGAAATTTCAGGTGAATTTTTATTTTTCATTCTTAATATAGGAAAAAAGCTGTAAAAAAGTTGGAAAAATGGGAAAAATTAAACAAATTTTCAGTTAATTTAGTTAATTCTTAATTTTTTGGGAAAAATGATTCGTACATTTTCCTTACATTTTTCTAAATTTTTGAAATTTTTGGCTTTACAATTTGCTATATCTAAAATTTACTAAGTTTTCCCTCTTCAGCAATTATTCGTATGAGTAGTGCCGTCTTACTTCTTGGGAATGTAGTATTTTCCCAGCTTCAAAACTCGGATCAAGCCTTTTTGGAAGATGATACAGGTTAAATTTTACATTAATGTTTATCTTATAATATTTTATGGTGTTATAATGTTTGTTACAAGCTCTGATTATACTGAAATTTCAGTTATGCAGAAGGTATGTTGTCTTCTGGGTTTGCCTGTATCTGATTGTACGAAAGCCTTTCTCAAACCACGTATTAAGGTTATTTTCACTTTCTTTTTATGCCATCAACTTAATCTTTCCATTTAAAATTTTAAAACTTTATTTCTTTCATTGATTTACTGTTCATTTAAAATTTTTTATTACAATTTTTCAAATTTAGCACAATTTTTTCAGGTAGGTCGCGACTTCGTACATAAATCGCAAAATCAAGAACAAACGCAATACAATATCGAATCTATTGCAAAGGCTTGTTATGAAAAAATGTTTCACTGGTTAATCAGCCGCATTAATCGCTCGCTTGGCCGAAGTTCAAGGGGCATATCAACATTTGTTGGAATTCTGGACATCGCTGGGTTCGTTTTTCATTTTCTTTTTTTTATTATCATATAGAATCTCCACAATTTTCTTACATTTTTGCTTGATAGCACGATGCAATTCCTTCCTTATGTACAATTTATTATTATATTTAAATTCTTTTAGATTCGAGATTTTCGAACTGAATGGTTTTGAACAACTTTGCATTAATTATACGAACGAAAAACTGCAACAATTATTCAATAATACCATGTTTATCATAGAACAGGAAGAATATAGGATGGAAGGAATTGAATGGGATTTTATCGATTTTGGCCTCAATTTGCAACCCACTATTGATCTTATTGAGAAGGTAAATAACAACTGGTTCTTGCTATTTCTGGTTAGCTGTACTGGTTGTTAAGTTAAGTCGCAATCTTTTATTACGGCTTTGGCAATCCTAACTTTAGTAGCCAAGGCGATATTCTTTGCAGTAATAAATCGGCTATCCTGTTTCCATTGACTTCAGATTTAGACAATCTTTTTTCCTCAACTTGTTTTTAATAAGAAATTTACTTTTAGCCGATGGGGATATTAGCGCTTTTGGATGAGCAATGTTTATTTCCAAAGGCAACAGATAAATCTTTGGTTGAAAAGATATTCATTCATCAGTCCAAACATCCTAAGCTTATTAAGCCTGAAAGAAAGTCGAAATCTGATTTTGCCATAATTCATTATGCAGGTCGTGTTGACTACATTGCTGGTTTGTTTTTCCATTCATTTCTTTCTCAGCGCTTTAATTGTTTACTAAAATATTAGATGCTGTACGTTTTAGAACAGTGGTTAATGAAAAATATGGATCCGCTTAATGACAATGTCATTTATCTTTTGCAAAGTTCATCAGATCTGTTCATTAAAGAACTGTGGAAAAATGGTAGGTTTTTTTCGATAAGATTAATTTATAACTATTCGAACGCACTTTACATCGTTAAAATTTTTTTAATTCTGTGGATTATTTATTCGAATTAATTTACTGATTAATCTGTTAAGAAAGTCTGTTAATTAATAAATTTTTTCAGTAATATTTTTTTTAATAAATTAAGGATTTAGATTTAGTATATATATTCAGTTTGTGAATGAAAGTTATTTGTTTAAAATGTATCCAATATTGATTAGTCATCATCGTGGATTCGTCTTAACTTTCCATATATGCATCTATACATCTTATTAAAACCTGTTGCATTTACCCATTATCTCTTCTATTTTATATTTGCCATACCTTCTTTTTTTCGTTAGCATCTCAGCAGTCCCTGTAAATGTTCGTTTAATAGGCCGTTAGTGAACGCTCAATGGGCTTTCACTTTGAAGAATAATTATTTTATTTATTATTTATTTAAATATAAATCAAACGCGACATAGACCTATATGCTGGAGTTAGTGGTAACAGATGCGATTAGAGCAAAAAGTAATATAAGTAAATACAACAAAATGATAAAAATAGAACGAAAACGAAAAGAAAAATATTATTTTTAATTCTAAAAAAACAAGAAATTTTCAAATTTCAAATTTTCAAAAAAAATACTAAGAAATTTTCTTATATCAAATAACTGCATCATGCCATCCAGCTTTTTGACAATATTAATATTAAGATATTGAGGCTGCAAATTTTTTAAATTTAAATTTAATTTTAAATTTCTTTCAAAACTGGTGAGTTAGATGAAAAAAGAGTAAGTAATATGTAAATATCTTATGGTAGCATGGTAGTTGCAGGAAACAGTTCGATCGGAAAAATTATGAGACAGGTTATTGGCCCTATAAATAGGTTTGTGCATCTTAAATCTATTACTTCTGGTAGTTTAAAGTTCTGAGTGAGATATAATATTTAAAAAGTTAAGATATGGTTGAATAAAATCTTATAAGCAGTAATGAGATCTTGTGATCTTGTAATTGAAATTTAATATAAAATCACGTGAAGTTCAACTTAAATTGAAGCAAAAATTTTTCTTAGTAGAATCTCTTTATTTCTTCTTTCTTCATTCATCTAAAATAAACAGCCAACTTTGGCAGGAAATAACAGAAATTTTTCGACGGCTGGATAGATGTATTTTAGCCAAAGTAGTTCTAAAGAATTTTAAAAAAATGGATATGACGAAAGAATTGGACGAATTCTAACTTTTAATAATCAAAATTATATAACTTTAATTTGGACACATTATTATTCTTCTTCTAATAGCTCTCATCGTTACTGGTTAGGTTGGTTCCACTGGCTGCGAGGGCTAAGACATTTCCAAACTGCTCGGTCCGACGCCATGCCATCGCTAGTGATAATAGAAGCCATTTTTTTCCCATCGTTTATGTCCATATATCATTGGTCCATTGGTTCATTGATTCTTCTAACAGTTCTCATCGTTACTGGTTAGGCTGACTCTGCTGGCTACAATATATATATATATATATAAAGAGTATGACATCTCCAAGCCTCCCGGTCCGACGCCATCGCTAGTAATAGAAGCCATTCCTTTTTCCATTGTCTAAGTCCATAATCGCTGGTCTCCCTATAAATCTTTCTTTCCTGATGTTCAAAATCTTTCTGACTGCATCAGTCCAGGTTTTGACTGGTCATCCTCGCTTGTGACGCCAACCATCATAGGGTTTAGCAAATAACGAAATATGCGTCAATTCCTGTGGTGGACGACGGAGAACGTGTTCTAACTAGCGATGGCAACGCTCTGTGATAATATTTTTAATGCAGGTAGTATTTGAGCGAGGGTGGATAGAGTCATGTGTGATTTTGCTCGACGGATCAGTAGAATGTACCTCAGACATGTGTGGTCAAAGGTTAATAGTTTCTTCATATCCTTCACTCTCATTGGCATGTTTTGTAGTCATATAGCAAGATGGAACGAATGGCAACTATATGGACACGGATTTTCGTCTTTATGGTGATTTCGCGACGATTCCATAAAGATTTCATCAACTGGAAAATTCTAATTGCCGTTATCCGGGTTACGATTTAATCCTTTGCCTGGCCATTTGGAATTAGAGTGGACCCAAGATATTTAAAGTCCAGCACTTCTTCAATCGGCAGTGAATTGATAAAATAGGTATTTTATCAGCATCTTGTAATATGACGAAAATACTTTCGTTTTATTTGATTTTGAGTCCGATTTTTGCTTCAGTTGTTTACCATTATTTGCATTTCCTCATAGCTGTCAGCAAAAAGGACTACATCATTAGCGTATTCAAGGCTTGTGGTTCTATTCTCTGGACTGATTCGCATATTTTTCGAGTGACGACAAGCGATGCCCATTATCTAATTTATCGCATAATTGAATATTGTGGGGGAAAAAACCCTGACCCTAGCCCTGACGGATCAGTTCTTATTTTGAAGGAGTCTGTCAGCTCCCCATACACACAGACTTGCGCCAGGGTGTGTTGATAAAATACCATTATGAGCCGAATGATCTTCTCTGGATATCTTTACCGTCACTCCATCATTCCATCACTTTCCAGAGCGCTGCTTTATCAATCGAATCAATGGCAAAATCGATAAAGCAAGTGACGGTAAGTTGCTGGTATTTGAAGCGGTGTTCCAGTACCCTTCTTAGCTTAAATATGTTGTTACCCGATCTGAATCGAGTTAAGACGCATTTTGCTATCTCGTGTTGCCATGAGTCTATTTAGCAGAAGGGAAGCGAAAATAGCGAAATTTTTTCTGAAGTACGTCCTATTGCTTTTCTTAGGAATTGGAAACAAATCGCTTTGATCCATCTTTTGGTATTATTTCTTTTTGCCATACCAAAGAATAGATTTGTTGAAGGTAAATTATGAACGATGATGGAAAACATTTGAAGAGTTCGAAGACCATCTTCTACGGGAGTTTTATTGGCCTTAAGCTCATGGATTAGAGAGATTATTTCCTTTTTTGTTGGCGATTCATAAACATAAGGCTTGACGGGCAAATCAGTTGTATGCGGGACAACAGATGGTGCATCGTGGTTATGTTTGGCCTCAAAAAATTCTTTCCATTTTTTGAGGCGATCCTTAATAGCTTTAATAGGCGCCCCCATTAATATCCCGTATCATTTCACTGATCTCTTCTCAAGTTATAGTTGTTTTGTGAAGAAGGCGAAACAATTTCCTGTTATAATCTATGCGAGCCGCCGTCTCTATTCGCAACACCATATCTTTCCAATAGCGATTTTTGTCTCGCAGTGCTTGGACGGTTACTTCCGACACCAACTAGCGCATTTCTTATTGGTTTACCTTAGTGTGGAAGTGGCTTTTGTAGATATATCTTTAGTTGGGACCAGTATCAGTTCGCCTTCGCAAAGACTTCATTGACCTTCATTTTACTAAGGTATTTCAATAGTGCGGTATTCAATAATATTTGAAGTGCTCTTATCGTTCCCTGATCTTTTAGATAGTTGAAAGATCTTGGGATATGCTGTTTCTTACGACTAAACAATTTCCAAACGATCACTGTCCCTTTCTGAATAACGCGTGGATGTGGTCTGTTTGTCGGAAATCCGTCTTCCTCATATAGGCTCTCGAATAATTATTGAATACTAGTTCCGGGCAAAGATATTGGCTATATCACAATGGTGTCTTGGATAATTCGGGGCGCAATGGCGTAGCGATTGTCATGTCTGGAATAGCTCGATCCGCTTTGATTGAATGGAAGCCAGTAAATGACCATATGGCCTACCCCCGTTTCAAAAGAAAGTTCTGCAATATTTCGGTCATCAGTGCTCCAACTTTATGCGCAAATGACCACAATAAGGATAAGTTCTACGCGGAACATCAATTGTTAATCACAATCTTACCGAGAGGTGATAAGGTCATATTCGAAGGAGACTGGAATGCATAGGTCATGATGCCGTCTCGATAAACTGGTTAGTTTGCAAATATGGCATCGGGGCCGGTGCGCCAACGGAGAACACCTTCTTCGTTTTGCTGAAAAACATGAATTTATTAATATATTCGGAAGAAACATCTAGTCGCGTGGAACAACCTCCGGACAATATTCCAATCATATTCACTATATTAGTCAGTCACCGCTTGAAGAGTTCTGAGCCAAGATTCATATTCGTATAATTTGTATAAATAGAAGAGAGGTTAGGATTTAAGCGTCACGTAAAGTGTAGACCTTCGATAGAAGCGTAACCTAGTTACTTTGTTAAATCTGTAGTAGTCTAATAGTCTAGTAGTCTAGTAATCTGTGAGTGGGTGGTACTGCTTTAGACACTAAATGTGGGCGTTTTACATATTTTAATGAGGAAATTAGGAAATTGAAAAAGTGGGCATGACAAAAATGGACAATAAGTATAGAAAATTGGACGAGTGGAGGATGTTGAAGAATTTTAATTCATCCCCTGAGCTGTGATTTCGTTTCGTTATTTGTCATTTTATTATAAATATTAGATTCTGCTGGTGATGAGCGAAGTCAGTGCAGCGTATTTTTTTCCAAGCTTAGATAATAAAAAATACTATATTGGAAGCAAATTTATTTGAAAATTGCCGATGTCCAACAGAATAATTTGTTAAGAATAAAAAGTTTAAAAATATCATTATTATTATTATTATTTTGGCCATAAATTTTTTGAGAAAAAATTTTAGCTGAGTTCGCTAGCCTTAGTATTACGGAGACAGTGGGTGATATTTTTGGCACTCGAACGAAAAGAGGAATGTTTCGAACCACGGTACAATTATATAAAGAACAATTAGCCCAACTTATGGTTACACTTCAGAATACTAGCCCTCATTTTGTGCGATGCATTATTCCTAATTATGAAAAAAAGGTAAAAGATTTTGAATCTTGAAGAAAAATTGTTATTTTTTGAAATTATTTTTGAATTGTTATTTTTAGAAATCATTTTTTTGTACTTGAGAATTTAGTTTTTTTATAATCATTTATCAATATATATGAATAAGTTCCTTTTGCTTTGCTTACTTTTCTTATCTTTTAGGCTGGATATATTTGTGCTAACTTATTGCTCGAGCAGTTACGCTGCAATGGAGTGTTAGAAGGTATAAGAATTTGTCGTCAAGGCTTTCCAAATAGGATGCGGTTCCAAGAATTTCGGCAACGATATGAAATGCTTTTAGATCGTGAAATTCTTCCTATTGGCTATATGGATGGTAAAGAAGCCGTCAGGTTCATTTATGCACTTCATTTTGCTAAGTTCTTTCGCCTATATAATATTTCATAAGATTTCATTTAAAGTGTTAGCAAAATTATATACAAACTGATATTTGCCCTTTAGCCCAGGTGATGTAGACGACTTACCTGTAGTGTCAAATGAAAAGAAGAAAAAAGATTTGCACATTGGTAGGAATTTCTGATTTTATGATTCTATAATTACAGTCTTCATCATACAATATATTTTGGGGCTTTTTAGGAAAATTTTGTTCAGTTTGGGAATGGAAACAAATCTTTATCGTATTGGTCAGTCTAAAGTTTTTTTCCGAAGTGGAGTTGTGGCAGCATTGGAGGAAAATAGAGAAAAAAGGCTGTCACAGATTATAATCCATTTTCAAGCGATCTGTCGGGGTTTTATGGCTAGACAGATGTTCCAAAAAAGAGTCGAACAATCTAACGCTATCCGCATAATTCAACGAAATGGTCATGCATGGTTACGATTGAGAAATTGGCAGTGGTGGCGGTTATTTTCAAAGGTGAGATGCTATAGAAAATCTTTTCTTTTTTCTCCTCTTTAATTCTAAGTTTCTTTCTTATATTTTATAAATATAACAATGTTTTTAGATTAAGCCACTGTTGGAAATAACTAACAAAGAAGAAATAATTACAATAAAAGAAAATGAACTGAATGCATTACGTGGAATTTTGAAGCAGAAGGATAGTGAAATTAGTGAAGCCTTAAAACTCGCAGAAAAAGTATTTATTCAACAAATAATTCTTCGATAAGTTTAAATTCTTTTAGAAGCTAATCGACCATATCAAATTTTTTTTTGTTTCATGTAATTTGTATAAATGAATAACTGAAAATTTTAGTTTTTTTATTCCATTTATATTCAATACATTTTGTAGTACAAAGAAGAGCGAGTTCATTGCGAGAATTTGCTTTTGGCTGAATGTACAGAAAAGCAACAAATGGAGGAGCTGCGAGATGAATTGGTATCTAGAAATAAACAACTTGAAATGCGGTTGAAAGATGTTGGAAGACAACTTGAAGATGATGAAATAAAAATTGAAAAATTAATTAATATGCAGAAGATAATGGAGGTATGTTAGTCTGCTTAGATTATTGAATTTTAATTAATTCTATTACTTCATTTTTACTTATTTAACTTTATTACTTAATTTTTCGATCTTAAATTTGCCACTGCATTTTTAATCGCTCTTCAGCTTTATTTTCAAATTTCGTTTAGATAAATTATGTTTAGAAATTAACTGCTTCAATATTTGCATCTTTTAGCAGAAAATATTATTTTTCAAATTTTGTTGTTTTTGTTAAAAATTTCTCGAACTTTTTAATTTATATTCATTAGAACGGAATAGAAAATAGGGGCTTTTTTTTAAGGCAAATGCTGATGCTTTTAATGAAAAAATTGTTGCTATGAAAAATAGTAATGGAATTTTATCAACTGAAAAGAATGCAATCGAGGAAAAACTGAAAATAGTACTGGCGGAAAAGGATTATCTTGAGGAAATGATTAAAAAGGTAATTTCATCCATCAAAATTTGAAATTAAAGTTCATCTTATTGTGAAATTTCTTTGTATTCTTATTTCATTATTTTAAATTTTAAAAATGAATTTTAATAAAGGAACGATTAGTGATGGAAGAACAAACTATAGAATTACGAAAAAATCTTACTAATGAAGAAGAGCGGTGCCGGCATATTAATAAAAAATTATTAAAACTTGAAATACAGTTTGCTAATGTGGAAGAGGAGCTCATAGCTGAAAAAAAAGTGAGTTCATGATAAAATAAATAATCAAATGATTGATTTTTCATGAAAATGGTTTTGCTCAAAAATATTTTTTATTGCTAGGCTCATGAGGTGTCGGAAGCTGCAAAAAAGCAATCATTTGCACAAGAGCGGATTTTACTTGAATTAAACAACGATTTAACACAAAAAGTTGAACATTTAAATTGCTTATTGCAAAAAAATGAGGTGGAATTATGTAATTTAAAGCGGCGGTATGTTGTTACGGTATTATATTTATCGATACTTATTGAACGAAGAATTTATCAAAAATTATCAAAAATTAGAAAATAACATCTATGAAATAATTTTATTTATAGCAAAAAAGAATTTTTCATTCGAATAGAAAAGAGTCCGTGAAATAACTTTTTTTATTTTATTTCTATTTATGGTTCTAAGCTCAATAAGCACTTTATATACACTGATTATCCTATTTTCATCTGAATAGAAGAATTATTAATCTTTTTTTAGTTGTGAAGATGAACAAATGCAGAATCAACTCATTAGTAAGCAAAAAATCGAATTGATTAATGAATTACAAGAAGTGAAAGAAGATATGGAAAATGAAAGAGCACTGAGGTAACTGAATAACTCCAAGAATCTAAGAATTAAGGGAAAAAAAATATTATTTTATTTATTAAATGCGATTTGTGTTATTGATTTTCAATTCAAAAAAAACAATCTGAAAAAAATCCTATAAAATTATTTCTTTTTAATGAAGAATCAGATCTGAAAAAGCTAAACGAGATTATATGGAAGAATTAGAAGCAGTCAAACAGGAATTACTTGAATCTCTGGACAAAACTCAAATCAGTACTGAAATGAAGGAGGCTGGTGAGAGAAAATATATGGCTGTGAAGGTACCTTTAATTTTCTTATTTCTGCATCGAGTAATTTTACTGAGATCAAATCAGATTATAGGGTTTCTCCTTTCTTCACTTCTTTGATTTTCCAGTTTTAAACCCATTTTCCTAAGACGGGAGTAAATATGCCAATAAAAATGAAATTTAGATACTGTGGATCTTTATCTTGATTATATGAGAAAGTCCTAAAAGCTGATGAAGCTAGCGGATGCTATTAAGAAAATTTAAGATTTAAGTTAAAATTTAATTTAAGAAAATTATTCCTTGAAAGAGAACCCGAGAATGAAGAAGACCTAAGCTCCTCTCTATAAAAGGCCTGGGATTCTAGCAGTTTTTGTGGACATAAATCTCTGGCGTTATTCGTGGAATCTGTCGATGCTTCGTTGCTGCCACCATCATTAGGACCACTTTCGTTTTCCACATCTCTCTGGTTCCTTTTTCAGACTCTATTCATTTTTCTAATATTTTTCCTTCCTGATTTTCTTATCACTTGATTTAATATGGTACTTTCTGGTTCTTATCACGATATCTGGTTAATTGGCCACCACTTATTTGTCTGTCTGGATGGAGAAGTCCTACAGGATCTTGACCTTAACAAGTCCATGATTTTCTGTGGAATGTCCCATATGGTGTTGTAAAAAGGAGAGAATTCAGTCGATCACTAGACATTTCAGTGTATGCTATTCTAGCATGCATTTTACACCTGTATTGGCCAGTCTGACTTGTTTTTGCAGAATGCACCTTGATTTCTCATCTGATTTAATAGATCTCTACTATTTCTTGGTGCGCATTCTTATACTTTTTCCAATCGTTGGTAGAATTTTTCAATTGTTTCGTTGGTGTATCCCATGGAGGATTTACCATGACGTTCTGCTCTGCTTGATCTTTCTTCATTATCTTCTTCATTCTCTCAGAAATCTTTTGGTGATGTTTTCCTGTTATTATTGCCTCGGATTTCGCCTCGAAGATAGTGTTTTTGATACTCACTAAGCCCCGTGGATCTCTTTTCTGCAAACGTACAGTCATCTTCATCTTTGGATGTTAGACTTGAACTGGGAACTTCCGTGCATTGTGAGGAATTTGTCGGTCTTCACATCGGCAATCTCTATAGCTTTATTTGGCCATCTCACAATACCAGCTATCTGATTGGTGGCAGGAGATAAATGTGGCATAGCTTATTTTTCACATTTATATTCAGGATAGGTCTCATTCATTCTCACTTGAATGTTGCTCTCTTCCTTGCCTCATCATCGTGGTCCTTATGTGATTATATATCTGCTATCCATCTGGTAGGTCCATCCCCCGTTTTAACTTTTTCGTTCCTTGGTGAATAATACATTTATCTCTTTTCAGTCTTAAACTGCTCCTGATGGAATGAAGTTCTTGAATTTTTTCACCAATTATGTTGTCCTTAACCTCCGCATGCTCTTCTGTTCTGCGTTATATTCTGATCTTATTCTCTAGCCTCATTTTCTATTTCTGATATATATTACTATTCTTCTTGATTAGTTACCAAATTTTAGCCGCTATGAAGTATTCATTAATTCATTATCATTAGTTTTTGTTATGCTGGTGGTACGAATTGTTGTGAGGGTTCTATACGGATCAATTAATGTATTTCTTCTCCATTCAGCCTAGGTACTCACTCTCGAGGGGTGATTACAGCCAGTTCATTAGTGATTTTTTGTCTCATGTCATTTGTTCTGCTTTATAATGGAGATGTTAGAAAAGAATTTCAAAATTTTTTTAAATGTTCATTTCATTCGATTTGTCTTGGATATGAAACGCAGTACGGTTTATCTCAAGTTAAAATACTTTCTTTCTTTTTTCCTATGTTGCTGGAGCAACTAAGCAACTAGATATTTTCTCAATTAATGTGGATGGAGATCTTTTCTATTATCCATTCCTCCATATATTTCATACTTTCGTCTTCTATCATCATTACTGGTTAAGCTGGCTGGATACAAGGATATGACGTTTCCAAGGTGCCATGCCATCTGATCGATCTGATGCCATCACTTGAGAATCCAAACTTAACCATGAAGCGCCATCTGTTGCCCCTGATAAAACAAATATGTTCGGAGAACCATTGCAATTCCTCCGATAGAAGAAGAAATATCTGTTATCCATAAGATTAAAAAGACTTCGAGAGAAAATGGTCTTCGTACTGAACTCTTCAAATGTTGTCCATCTTCTTTCAACAAATACACTTTCTAGTACGGAAAAAAGAAATATTACCAGTTGATTGGAGCAAAGCAATTCCCAATTCTCAAGAAAGGTGATAGGACATACTGCATTTATCGAGGAATCACCATACTAGACGTCTCTGGGAAAATTTTTGCTTCTCTTTTATTCAACAGGCTTATGGAAGTAAGAGACAGCCTAATCAAGCTGGATTACTGAAACCAGGCGCGGTTGTGCTGATCAGATATTCACTTTAAGAAAGGTGTTAGAATCTCGCTTCAGATATTTGCAATCCACTGCTTCATCAATTTTCCGGTTGCCTTTGATTCAACTGATAGAAAGGCGCTGTGGAGGGTGATGGAATGCGATGGTGTTCCAGAAAAGATCATTCGACTCATAAAGGCATTTTATGAACGTACATCGGCGCAGATCTGTATATATGGGAACTTCCTTCGAAATAAGAAGTGTCCGTCAGGGCTGCGTCCTTTCCCCCACATTATTCAATTATGCGACAGATTGGATAATGGACATTGCTTGTCGGCACAACAGGTGTCCGAATTAGTCCAGAGCATCGTATCACAGATCTTGAATACGCCGATGATATCCTTTTTGCTGACAATTATGATGAAATGTAATACTAAATGTAATACTATTATGATGAAATGTAATAAGTAATACTAAATAGCGTGTCAGAAACTGCAGCAAGAGTAAGACTCAGGGTCAATGTTCACAAAACGAAAGTCTTTTCGTTTTATATGCAGAAGCTGATGAAATGCTTCTTTTTGTAAATTCATTGCCAGTCGAGGAAGAGCCCGATTCTTTCCATCTTATCCTTAATAAACTTAATACGCTCACTGTTACTATCTCGTATCTTATCATTGGTCGTTACCCGAGCTATAGTTGCTTTATGAAAAAGAATAGTTTTCTGTTATTGTCTAATCGAGCTGTCTTCTCCCTTTCCACTCCCATAATGATTTCTGTGCCCTTAAACTATTGTTGTCGTAATTGTTCGAAGTATCCATTAGTTTCTTATCGTTCATGCAAAGATTTGGCAGCCATTTCAGACAGCTGGACAGTTGCTTCCTATGCCCAACTAGACATTTCCTACTAGTATATCCAAGTGTGGAAGTGTGGAAGACTTTCCGGTTGCCTTTAGTTGGGACCAGTATTCATTCAAGTGATTTCATTGATATTCATTTCACTATGATACTTCAATAATTCGGTTTGAAATTTAAAATGCACTAGCTATCGTCGAATCTTTCAGTCTGAGATAATTGAAAGATCCTCTTGGGAGGCGCTTTTTCTTGCGTTTTGTCGGTTTTATTTGAATCTCGGCTCGAAATATAACATGATTGGTCCATTAAGATTCCTCGTTCCAGCCCCCAAATAGAAAGATATCTTCCATTATCTTCTAGTGATTAAAATAATCAACCTGATGTTGGTTATCTAGGGAGTTCTACATGATTAGATATCTTCTAATGCCGGAAATTAGTAACAAAAAGTTCGATAAAAAAGTTCATGCTCTTCGGCTGTCGAAGAAGGCGCTCCCATTGGACCACAGGCCCTGATGCCATATTTGCCAACGACTCGATTCGTCATGGATATGTCATGATACCTGCTCACATATTCCATTCTCCTTCGAATATAATCATGTTCGGTAGAGATGTTATTAATAGCTGAATTTCCGCTTGGAATTTGGAATTACGGTCATCTGCAAGCAATATTGGAGGATTGATAACGGAGATATTGCAGAATTTCCCCTTAAAACTGGCACAAGCCATACAATGCTTACCTCTCAATCAATCAAACCGGAATAGGTCTTTTGAGACATGACAATCATTTTGCTCTCAATTCGCAAGATACCACAATGATAAAGCTAGTCTGCTCAAAGCTGGATTTAACTGCTAATTAAAGTGCTGAAGACAGGCCTCCGACAAGCAGGCGACATCCACAAGTTATATAGAAAAAATGTGAACAGTAATCACTTGATTTGTAACTTCCATAAGTGTTCTGATGTTCCATATTCATCGAAGATAAAGTTAGAAAGTTCGATAAAAAAAAAATTAAAGAATCAGAAAAGAAAAGAATCAAAATCAAAACAAAAAATCAATTCAAAGAAAAAAGCTTTCATATATTTTTCATAGGTTCCTCAACATCTGGTGCCATCCCAGCTCACTTATAAATGGTCCTATTTGTCAATAAGTAACTAAGTATCTTTCTCATCATTATAATGAAGATATTCAGAAAGAACTGGATGAAGCAAATTTAAATTTCGAAAAAATATTGGAGGAGCTGAAGATGAAACATGGAGAACAAGTTGTCAGTCTTAACCAAGAATTATCTATTTTAATACAGCAGAAGCAGCAGGTTATTTCAGTGAAAATTTATCATCGAATGAACCAGCCTTATTAATTTATTTTTGCATATTTTTTTAATTTTAGGCTGAAAAATCCAGAGATATTCTGCAAGCGGAACTCGAAAAAACAAAAGTTATTGCAAATGAGAATAAAGATGCTCGAAGTGAAGCGGAGAGACGTCGAAAATCTGCTGAAAACGATTTATCAGTGTGGCAAGCCAAGTTTGAAGAATGTAATGTTAAGATTACTTCTTGTTTGTCTGATCTAAGCAAGGTTAATTTCTTTTATCATATGATATTTTTTTAAAGAGCACTCACCACTGCTGGTTAGACTTGTTGCATTGGCTTATTTGATTACAGAAATATACCATGAAGTTCCTTGGCGGAAGATCGTTAGCGCCATCCAGATTTTTGGATAGGTTTACTTCCATTGGGGCACCACCGGTGGCCAACGAAGCGTGGTGCGTCGATCGAACCCATGCTTCGAATGCTTCGATGATCGAACCCGTGCTTCGAATGCTTGTCATTGAGCCACTGATGTATAAATGGTGAAAAATTGTGTAGATGAATTTTTTCTTTCAGGCTCAATTAGAAATTCAAAATAAGAGTCGTCAACTTGAGGAAACTGAGGCAATGGCAACAAACTTTCAAGGCATTATCACGGATTTAAATCTACAAGTAAAAAATTTAAATTCTATGAAATTTATTTTAGAAATTCATTAGAACGCATCAATAAAGAATTATTTTCATAGTTGAGTGAAGCTCGAGAACTAATGAACTTTGAAAAGGACGAAAAAATTGCTGTGCAAACAAAATTAAAGGCGGTCGAAACACAACTGGAAAATGCTCTTTGCGAAATTGAAGAATATGAAAAGAACAAAATGAAACTTGAGAAGGTTTTGAATTCTCCATCATTTTTGCCGAAATTTTTTTCAAGACATGTCAAAAGTCCTCTCATTTGCTTATGATGATAGAAATGGTTTACGTCTTTTTCAGGATATTGCGAGTTTTAACCAAAAATTAATTAACGTTAGGAAAAAATATGACAATAGCCTAATGGAACAGGCTGAAGAGATACGTAGAAAATGGCAAAATGAATTAAACATAATAAAAATGCGTTTGGAATCGAGTGAAAACGTTTGTTCACGTGCTGAAAAAGCAAAAAAAAAATTAACACAAGAGGTCAAAATTTTTTTTGCTCTGAAGTAACAGAAACAAATATTTCCCAATTATCGAGGATTATTAAATTGCTATTTATTTACTTCATACTGGTTGGTTTCTAGTTATTTCTTATCTTTTTCGATATTTAGATCTTCTTCTTGTTTTTACAGCTCTTATCATTACTGGTTAGGCTGGCTCCAACGGTTACAAGGGTAAGACGTTTCCATACGGCACCGTCTGATGCCATCGTCGACAGTAATAGATGCTATTCTTTTTTCCATCGTCTAGGTCCATACATTGCTGGTCCACCTATACGTTCACAATCTTTCCTGACCGTATTAGTCCAGGTCTTGGATGGCCTACCTCGCTTTTGACCATTCATCGCACGGTTTAGTAAATAACGAAATATGCGACAACTCTTGTGGTGGGAACGCTCGATTTGGGTAGAACAACTAAATAAACCAACCGCTCAACGACAATTTTTTGAAAAATTTTCAATTTGATATTTAGAATGAAGATGCGATGAATGAATTGAGCACTCTTCGGTCTTATTGCAGTGAATTAGAAGCCAAGCAACGTAAATTTGACCAGCAGCTAGCTGAAGAAAAGAGTCTTATCTGCAAAGCTTACTTAGAACGTGATCAAATATCGCTAGAAGTAAAAATTTTCAATTTAATGGATTAAAAACTATTTTTATACTTTGATATAATTTCTAACATAATACACGTAATGGATATAGGTAAGAGAACGTGATACGAAAATTCTAACGCTCGGGAAAGAAATAATGCTTCTACAAGAAAAATTGGAGGCAGAAGAACGAAGCAGAATAGATCTACAATTAGAAATAGATCACTTGGTTAGTTTTCCAATTATTTTTTAAATTCCATTATAGAATAGTGAAATAGAATAGAATAGAATAAAAAAATCAATTTAGACCTCGGCCAAAGATGATTCTGGCAAGAATCTCCTTGAAATGGAGCGAGCAAAGCGAACTTTAGAACTTGAACTTCTTAATGCCAGGGATGAAATTACTGATTTGGAAGATGCATTGCAAAAATCTGAAGATGATCGTCTGCGACTTGAAGTCAATTTACAAAGCGTTAAAGCAGATTTGAATAGAATAGCTGCTCGAAAAGAATGCGATGATGATGAAAAAAATAGCACCATGCAAAGAAGGGTTAATTTTCCCCAATGTTCACTTTTTTTACCGTTATTTTGTTAAAATTTTGGTGTGAATTGATGCCGAAGTTTTATAGTTACGAGACTTGGAAGGCGAATTGGTATCCGAACGTCAGTCCAAGGCTAATTTAATCCAGCAAAAGAAAAAGATGCAATTTGAATTGTCCGAAATTACCGAAATGAAAGAACAAATCAGTTTTGAAAAGGATGAGATATCGAGACAGTTGCGAAAATCTATAAAGCTACAAAAAGATCTACAAAAAGAAGTCGAACAGTTACAAGCATCGAAAGAAGCAGCCTTTTTAACTTCGAAACAACTTCATAAAAAGTTATTTTTTTCAGTTTTGGATGTTGAAAAATGTATTCGCTTGAAGAGAGTACTCATCGAAACTTTTTTAATTTCAGATTGCAAATTGCAGAGAATGAAATATCTTTGTTGAATGAAACAAATGTTCAGTTGAAAAATGAAAAACGATTGATTGAACACGAATATGATGAATTAAAGGAATTATTAAAAGGGAAAGAAAATTCTAATCAAGAAGAGAGAAAAAGGCTCGCATCAAGAATTATTGAATTGCAAGATACAATTGATGAGGAACAGAATAAGAATGATATTGCCAATGATACGCTTAGAAGAACTCAAATACAGGTAATTTTCATTTTGTGTTATTGTTAGATTATGAAAGATTTTAGTTTATGAAGATAAGATGACCGTAATTTTCGCTATACTCAATCAATCTTTTATAAATCCTCGATTCTTCTGATTTTTTATAGATGGAAACGCTTACTACAGAACTAGCAGCTGAGCGATTATTAAATGAAAGACTAGAAAATGAGAAAAATTCGTTGGAGCGGAAAGCGAAAGAATTGGACTCTGAAGTACCACTTACTTTAGAAAGACTTATTTTGTTAATTTACTTATTAATTGTGATATGATAAAATAATTTGAAATAATTGAATGATTCGATGATGTGGCTAAAAGTAAGTGATCAGACATCACCATTTCTGATTAAGCTAGTTCGAAGTATTTCATTTTCATTTGGTTAGCATTAATGGCTTTATCACTTGAAATTATGATTAAATAGAGGTAAAAATTTTTGTCAGAGGCTTGGCGATAGAAATACAGAGATTGATCTCTTCTGCCACCCTAACTTTGATTTTTTACCACTCGACAGTTCTTGGCATTTGTGGCTGAAAATAGATAAAGCTATTGGAAATATTTGATAAATTTAAAATTATTAATCGTTAATTTAAAAGGATTATTATTTCTTTTAAGGTCACCGATCTTAGATCCAATTTGCAAGTAAAAAGTCATGCTCAAATAATGCAACTGGAAGCGAAAACTCAATATTTAGAAGATCAACTCGATCAAGAAATCCGAGAAAAAAAAGCCACCATTCGACAAGTAATTTCATATTAATTTGTTTTTTTCGAATTTATCATTTTTTCTACCGGTTTCTTAATATCAGTTTTTTGTATATTTATAATTTTTTTGGCCGTAGGTAAAGCGTTTGGATAAAAAGTTGAACGACACATTGGAATTGCTGGCTGATGAAAAGAACGAAAATGAAAAATTAAAAGATTCTGTATGTTTTTGTAGCATTTAAGCATTTATTTTTGTTTTTATTTCGTAATTTTTTTACTTTACCTTATCATTTACTCGATATTTTCTTAGAACAGTCGAACATTGGCTCGACAGCGACAACTTAAGGAGCGAATTGATCAACTCGAAAATGATTTTATGCTGGAGAGTGCTAAAACGCGTCAATTACAACGGCACTTAGACGAATTAAGTGAAGCTAATGATAGCCTAATACGCGAAAACATACAACTAAAAAGTATCGCTAATGATGCGCGTCGTTCGATAATACAGTATGCTGGCACTTCACGCTTTGGAAGTTTGTTTCTATGAAAAATTAAGATTGGAAATTGCAAACATTTCGAGCTTTCTTGCATATTTTAAATTTATTTTTAAATATTTGAGTGACTTGGCTGATTGGTTCTTTCTTTTATGCGAGAATATACTTTAAGGCTTTAGGCTCTTCGCTGTTGCAGGATAATTTATTTGCATCAGTTCCATTTCAGGTGAGAGAAGCTATTCACGGGGACTGCGAAGTAATGGAAGCAGTTCAGATCTTCTGCGACCTGGGTCTGCATCCACTGCTGATTCGGAATATGTAGAGGAAACCGATCTCGGCACGAGCTGATCATTTCTTTATCATTTATTTTTTATTTTCCAGTGAATCATTTTTAATCATACTGCTTTAAGTTTTGTTTTCCATCAAGCTCATTTTGATCTCACTCCTTTAATGCTTCTGTTCTGATTTTCATATTAAGGTTTTGATTAATAGGGTATATTTATTAGGGTATATTTAATCAATGATAATGAACAACGTTCTTTCGCTTTTTTCACTTTTTTCACTTTTTGCTTGGTTTTTCCACTTTTTTTCTCTTCTTTATCAATAATTTGTGAAAAACAAATTCAATTATTATATTTTCCTTATAAAATATTTCAAAATTTTCTCTCATTTAATAATAAAATTTCGAAATGAATATAAACTTGTGCAGATTATGAAATCTTCTGCATCAATGAGGCATAAACAAATTACCCCCAAAATAAATAAATAAACCAGAATAAATACCAGTATAAACCGTACATAACGAATGAAATATTATAGAATAAAAGTTCTAAGAGTTCAAGGATTGATAATTTATGGGAATCAGTGGACCAAACTGAAAGAAAAGAAGCCATTCGACTAAATTCGCTTTTAAATTTCTTCAGACCTTTGGTCCAAATAAAATTCCGAAAATAAAGATCTATGACCACGCAAAATTCTTAAACCTTAGTCTACCACAGGAAATATTAGTAATGAAAAATAAAACAAAGATTTTTTACTTTGATAATATTTGTATTCATCATTCTGAACCATAATTGAACTCAATAAACTCAATTCAGCACTACGGTATTGCGCAGCAAAAACAAGGTCAGGTCCAACTAAAAAATATTGAATTATTTGTAAATATAAATATTATAAATATTATTGAATTTGAACATTGAGCTACACTGAGAAACTTTCCAAGAACCAAATTTATAAAATTTTTTGGGCAGAATTTTTCACCATAAAAAACTAATACAAACACCACATATAACGGAGACGGAAACATTTACATCGATTGGTTCCATGAATCGATCGTTTAAATATTCTACAAGACTATATATAATTTAGATGATAAATGATAAATAAATAAGAAACAGAGAATATGAAAGATAAGAAATAGAAAATATTAAGGCACATAAACGTAAGAGGTCGTGAAAAATTTAAAAAATAAATAATCACTATAAATAAAATTCATAATAGCAATCAATTTGTGCGCAATAAAAACCATAAACCAATTATAAAATCACAGCTTTTGGAATGAGTTCCTTCACTGATTTTAGATGCTAAATCAAGTAATAACGAGTTTCAAAAAACAAGACCAATAAAAAAATCAATCCAGAATGAAGCGAAATAATAATGGGAAGCTACATGAAATTCGCTGTTTATTGGAAAAGAAAAATTTTTTATAAAAGAAACAACTGTTATCCAGTGGCCAAGATATTTAACAACATTCATCCATTATATAACATATAAAAATATTAGCGAAAACCTCAATAAAAAAATGGATTTTCCCAAATTTCCCAACACATAACTCCATTACTGATCATATTAAAAAAAAAAATTGGCATTCTTGAATCGAAAATAATTACAATTTTCACCGAAGAAGCGTCCATTTATAAAAAAGAAGAGAGATATTCCTAATAATAAATAAAATTAAAACAGTAATAACTGATATTAAAAATACATAATATATATTTGAATATTTAATGTATCACATTAGCGCGCAGTGCTCTGCTTCATTAATATTAATATGACTCACAACATGATTAGCTGAATACTCTTCGGCAGAATTATTCCCTGCATTTCCATTTTCTCGCGGAGGAGTAAACGTCTTAACCAACCTGGATACTGCACTTTGTGGTATGAATGGTCCGGACTTACCAGAATCCCCATTACCGTTTGAATCAACATCTAATCCTATAAAAAAATTTTTTTACTACTTATCTGCTAGCAATGACATCAAAACACAACTTCATCAATTGTCGGCCATAAAATAAAAACAATATGAAAGAGTATTAAAACTAAAAATAAAAGAATAAAATAAAATAAAATAACAGAATAAAATAAAAATATGGTGTCAAGATAAGGCGCTAAACATGCGTTAACCACAGTACTAGTCACTATAACTACTGGTACTACCACAACAAAAAAAAATAATATGATATATAACGAACCATTATCTGCACGATGATAATTATGTACAATAGAAGATTTTGGTGCTGCTCTAATTTCAGCTGAGTGAACGATCCCATTTACAGGTTGATTCATTAACTTCACGGTTTTTGCATCCGAAGAAATAGAAATGGAACGAATAAGATGTGGATTCGATTCAGATTCACCACATTTTTGCAGGACTCGCAATCGCTGATCAAATGCACAAATAATTGTCCGATATCCAAAACTAAAAGCAATTATAGGATTTATAGCATTTATAGGAAATTTACAAAATAATAATGGCGAAGAAGCATACCAACTATTATTCGCCCAATTTTTGAGTTCTTCAACACCTGTATGCAGCCTTTGAAGTGAATCACTGCCACATTTATTAAGAAATTCCATGTTGAAATATCGGTTGAAAAATACGAAGTCTCGACGAAGCAAACATAACTGCAAACAGTATTCCATTTGTATTTAGCTCAATTCCACAAAACTATTTAAAACTATTAGTCAGCATAGAAAAAGAAAATACCAAAAATGTCCAATCACTACAATGAGTTTCATACATGATATCTAACATGAATTTAAGCTCTATCTCACTCTCCTGAGATCCTCTAGCAGCTACTTCACCACAGATTTTTTCCAAGCCTGAAAAAATATACTACCAAACCAAATTGCTTTTATTTTAGATTATGTAGCCACTTTATAATATTTTCGAAAATAAAACATTGCATTAATCCTCAAAAAAGAACTATCTCGCTTTCTTTTCTTTTTCTTCAAACAAGTTCAAATGTAGATTTTCTTATCATATGATACATTACCTTAACATACAAGAAAAATAAGGATCTCAGAATCAGCTTTATTACCTTTATTGTTAAGATTTATCGTTATTAAAAACAGAAAAATTGCAACAATTCTACTAATTATTAAAATTTTTGAAGATATTTTAAAGATATAAAACAATTACCTTCCCAGTCACTTCCAGTGTTGGATATTGTTTCACAAGATGATGTATTTATCCATTTATAACTCGGAATTAAAACAGAGTCTGCAGCTTCTGAAAGTGTAGTGCGTTATAAATAAAGCAAATTGATATTTTATACATTATTACAAAAATATCGTTATTCTAAATGTTAAATAAATAAAATTCTTTCAAAAAAAATTTTTAATGAAATTGAGACAGAACTTGGCATCACATCTTATACAGATACTTTCAATTAATTTTTTGCAATTACAGAAGAGAAAAATTGATAAAATTGATAACAATTTTTGCTTAAATCATAACATAATAATTTTAAAATTGACTCTTAAATCACAAAATCTTATTATATCTGCCATTTTTTTTAAAGTTGTATGACTTGTTATATGCTAGCTGCGAATGGGGTCTGGGGAAATAACTTATTTGCAGAAATCTACCAAAATTCGAATCCTTCAAATCTTTCAAACGCTTCCTTACTTCCTTAGTAGTTTTCTCGGAAATTTGATTTCCTTAATGCTCAGTCAAATCTGCTTTTCTAGCATGTCCAATTAGTAATATACCATACTTTATATATTATATATTATGACCATAATCGAGATATTATTAAAGTTCCTTAATCAAGATACTATTATCCTTTAACTAAATTTCTAAGAATTTCCTCTTAAAATTCCATTATACCCTATCAAATTTCAGTGTGATCCTTTGCCAAGACTGGAAATAACCTTAAGCCTCATTAAAATGTATTATCGGAATGTATTATATATTCCTGAAGTTATTAAGTATATGGATCGCTGAAATGGACATGTAACCAATGATAAGCCATTAATTCCATCCGGCTTCCATGGCAGCTTATTGCAATATCAAAATCCCTATTTTCAATAAAAATTCTCTAATACCAATAAAACATGTATTATTCATATATATTGTAATACTAATAGTTCACCAAGTTTATTAGGAGAATTTTATGAAATCATATGATCTTTACTGCGAATTCGACAATTTTTTTTTTTAAAATGGAACAAGCAAATTTAAAAAAGCAAATAAATCACTGAATTCTACATTGCAATTTAAAATGTAATGAAAATATATACCGTGAGTCACAATTCCCTTGCGATTTTCACTTTCTTGATCCACATTTTTTTCAGATAAATTAAAATCTTTCTCTGGACTTCCTCCATTTTCGGAAAAAAAAGTTCCATTTTCGCTAACTGGAGACGAAATTTTGCTCGCATCAACTGCTAAAAAATTGTTTAGATATACTGCATAGATATATTCGCAGGTTCTAGCCGATGAATGCGACCTGTATCACTAATTTATTTAAAATATAAAATAAATGTAGAAAAAATAAAACAAACACTGAAAACTTAGCAATGAAGTGCAACTTTGAGAGATCTTGATTTTTTCAATTCTTTTTGCCAGCTGATCGACAACATTTTGACTCACAAGAGGATATGGCCAATTAAACTGCGCATGTAAACGCATCAGTGCAAGACCGAAATCATTTACTTTTGCCGAAGATTGATTTTTTGATAGCCACATTATTAAATCGAAATTTAAATAGGTTGCAAAAGCACCTGAAATCAACACTCGTAATTTCGAAACGAAAAACCAATCTTAAATTTTTTTCTCCTATATTTAATAAAATAAACACAAGAAAACATAGAAAATAAGAATTCTTTAATAAAAAAAAGCAAATTCTAACCCAAATCACGCACACTATAATCTTCAAGAAGATGAGAAGCATGACGATTCAAAATTTCTTGAAGATATGAATGCATTGATCCAGCTAAATCTGAAGGCGATGGAGGTGAATCCATGGAAGTCGTTTTGGATACTTTTTTTGCAATAGATGAAGCTCCCGAGTCTTTTCGATTTGCTGCATTATTAGATGATGTTCCATCACTAAGTGATAAGCGCGTTCTCGATTTGAGACCCAAAAAAAGTTTGAATAAACAACAAATATCGCTCGAACATTTTTGATTTTTTTCCAAACCAAAATAAATATATATATACCAAAATAAATATTAAAATAAATATACCATTGTTTCTCTTATCATTTATGGGATTCTGAAAACAACAAAAACAAAAAAATAATGCAAAATGAGATAAAATTAGATAAATACCTGGTGCCGCATAATTTCCAAAAACAAATGGATCAGTTTCATCAGTAACTTTTGACGAAACCAGAGCAGAACGCCGAGTGGCTGCACTTACATTTTGATGAGGTCGTTGGCATAAGGGCGTTCTTGGTGGACTATCGATGTCGGAAGGATGAATGGCCCGCAAAAATCGAACAATATCACTAGCTATCAGCCACTGACGTTTAACGAGTGCTTCTTCTAACAATAAAGCAGCATGCTGAAAAATAAAAAATAAAATTACAAAACTGGTTACAAGACCAAATTCTATAATTAAGATTCAGAAGAAAATTTAATTAAGAGGGAGTATATCAATAAAAAAATTAATTAGAAAACCGAAATAAAAGCAAGCATAATCCTATAATTTTTGAGGACTATTTATTAGGACAGAATCTTACTTATCTAAATAAACTAGACAAACAAATCATTCCATAAAGTACAAAAAAAAAGTTGAGAAAAAATGCACCAACAATAAGCGAATCATGAAAAAATTTTCAATCTGTCAATTCTCAAAATATCCTAGCCAGGTGAATTTTCCTGTACTGAACCAAATTAACTGAAAAAAATTAACTTCATATTAAATTAACCTCTCTACTAGCAACACTGCTTTCCATATTCTGCAGAACAATTAAATAGCTAGCCGCAGTTTCGAGCTGATCATCACGAATACATATTTCAAAAAGCTCTTTAGGATGACTGGTCACTGCAAAAAGAGCATGCCACAAGGCAAGTTCCGTCTTACGTGCACAATGCGCCACTGTTTGTAAAAAGTTTGGAAATTCACGTATGAAGGCAACCACTCTGGGAAGCAAAGGATCTATAATGCAGATTCAGTTATGCAAACTGAAAAAAAATCGAATAAAATATAGACAAAAATAAAAAAAATAAAAATAGGCAAAATACCTGGAATAGGTTCAGCTGAAGTCGCTTCCTCTTCTAAGACATTATGAAGAAGCAGTTCTAAAACATGGCCAAAATAGGGCAAATTAGTACAAGTTGCCGCTATTTCCAAGGCGTAAACTCCAAGATTGCGTTTAAGAAGTTGGCGCAAAATATGATGGAGAAATACCTGAGATTGTTTATCTAGTAATAGTTCTCTTTTGGTTAAATCTTTCCGTAAGAAGATTTCATGGGGTATGATCGAGCGTATTTATTCGAGCTTCTCATTTTCTTGTCTTTAGATACTATCATAGCACCTTTACAAGGTTCCTAAGGGTCAGTTATAATCTCCACATCTCTTTACCATCATATCAAACTTTTTAAAAGTGTATAGCAGTATTAGTATATAAAAGGAGAAATAAAATCCAGAAAAATAATTTAGAAATAAAAGGAGAAAATAAAATCCAGAAAAATAATTTTTTCAAAATCCAAATGAACCATTTTTTGATTAATAATTATTCAATGTCGGAAAAAACGACCACCTCGCTGTTGCGATGTAAGCTGTATAGTGGACAAAACGAACAAAACTTTGATAAAGCAGAACTACCACTGGTAAAGGATGGTATACTCTCTAATCCAACAGCCAAACAATCTCGACCACAAATCACTAAAAAATAGCAATGCAAATTCTAAACAATTAATAATTAATTTTTATAATCCTTTATAATTTTTATAATCCTTTAAAATATATTCCACTATGCAATAATCAAAATTAAATATGAGAATTTAATTAAAATTTGATACAAAATATGAGAAAAATACCTAAAGGGTGAATATCTAATTCGAAGGGTAGCATAATTCGCTTACTAATAAACGACCGACTTGAATCAAAAGCTCCAATATTGCCTCGATTAGCATCATTGATGAACAAAGGCATCCAGACCTGTAATAAACAGATGTACAACAAGATGCAGAAAAAATTTACGATCAAAAATACATAAATTTAAAGTAGAAATACAAAATATGAAAAATATAAGCGTTCAAAATTAAAAAGATTGAAAAATAAAATATATATAGTATTTCTTCAAGAAAAACAAAATGATTAAAACACCTTTAATCCCTTCGCACCACAATTAAGCCAAAGCGCTTGCGTTAAATGTGGTTTTTTGGGTACAGCTTCTTGATGAAAATGCCATAATTTTTCCACATAAGAAGCAATCAACATCGGTTGACTCAACTCAAAAATTAAATATAATGAGAATAGAATGCAAAAAAAAAAATATCTGAATACCAATTTAAAAAATATAAATTGAATTTTTTTGAAGAGAAGTAAAAAGTAAAAACATGAAAAGTTTTAATGGTAATTTGATGTTTCTTTTTTTCGAGAATAGTGGAACTGTACCTGAAATTGATCATCTTCTTCACTCGAAGCAGTGTCAGCATCTTTCTTTACTGGATTTAACATAATAAGTCTTCCGCAAACATTTACGAGAACTGTATCAACTGTATCACAAAATTGTGCGATAGCTAAATTTTTTTATTCTATCAATTTTTAAAAAAATTTTTTTCATATGAAACAAAGAATAGAAAAAAATACCTGTATCTTGGCTAAGCGATGCCAGATGAATAGATACAATGCAAGCTGGATGAGGCAGCAAATCCGATATGCGAATCTCCGCACATCTATTCGAAAATTTTATTTTTACTTTAAAAAATTTCGGAATTTGAAAGAAAAATTTGAAACCAAAATATGGCGGCCCAAATATTTCTTGTGAACAAAACGTTATAAGCTTTATTAGTAAAAAAAAGTGCATTAATAGATAACCTTTCAACCATGATACATTGTTTACCACTTTTAGAATTCATTTTCATAGACAATCCATATATAAAAATTCGACTATCCATATCAAGCGTTATTAATTTATTTCCTCTGAAAAAGAACTTAAAATAAATTGAAATGAAACAAAATTTAAAGAAAATATATGGAAAATATATGGCTAAAAATTCTAACCTTATACTAAATGTAAGTATACGTGAATCCGTAGGATGTTTCGTGCAAAAATGATTGTCCAATTGTTGATCAACCGGATAAAAACGTAATTCTTCCTTCGCTCGATCACTGTCATAGCAAGCAACCATAATGAAACCGTTCCAAATAGCTAATCCACCCGTTGTTATCAGATCTCTTTCCTACAAAAACCGTGAAATCAAGAATCTAATATTCATGATGCTATTAAACATATTTCTTATAATTAAAGGCCTATTAGCCTAATATGCGTTGGTAGTAGAATACTGGAGAGACTGATTTACAACAATTCAGTAAGTTATCTTGATGCCAATAATTTAATATCTCCCTATCACATTTTTGCTTGAAAAAATCCACTTCACAAGTATTGGCAAATATTTCCGATTGATCTCAATTATAGTGGAAAAACAGAATCAGTTGTCTGCCTTGACTTGGCCAAAGCCTTTGATACTGATGATGTATAAGCTAATCATCATCAATCGATGGTACAATTGAATATCAGATTATTTAAAAGACCGATACCAAGATGTACGTATTAACAATTCTCTTTCAGATTTTGCTCTAGTTAAATTTTTATTACATATTGGTGACCTCACTACGGTTGCGCTAAATTTTACCATTTATCTTTATGCTAATAACTGTACTGTCTAAAATTTATTGACGTCATGGAAGTTCGGATAACCTAAGCCCACTACAAGTTGACTTTAATAGGATTTCCAACTGGTTATGATCGTCAAATCATTCTTTCCATTCAAAAGTGTATGACATATTGAAAGAATTCGATTTCTATTTATTAATGGTAATATAATTCGACGAGTCACGAATATATCAGATCTTGGCTTAATCGTGGATGAAAATTTTGAATTCCTTCATTCCATAGTAAAGATTCTCTCTAGATTATTTTATTTTTAGGTCGTTTAAAAAAAGAAACCCTTTCCTCAAAATATACAAAGGCCTATTTTTGATTATAATGCGACTTCTTATTTCCTCAATTATCAAGTCAATTAACTGAAGATCTCCAAAAATATTTTATAACCATAAAAATTCTTCCACCACTCTCCTAATACCAGTCTCAGTTATAATGCACAACTTCAGGCTATAAAAAGTAGATTCACTCTCAATTCGTCGAGCAAGGTTTGATTTATACATATATAAAATTTTACATGATTTTGCCAAATCAGATTGTTCAACATATTATAATTTTAGGTTAAATTTGAACCCAACAAGATCTAATGGGCTAAAACCTAAATGCAATAATTAACAATACATGAAGAATACATGACTTTTTTATATGCACCATTAATTACTAGAATAAGCTACATAATTTGACGCAATTTGTATATCATCCTTACCTATTTTTAAAAAAAATTAAATATCATCCACGATATTATTTAAAAACTTTATATTATGTAGAAAATTTGAAATTTTTACCGTTTATCATTCGATTATTTGTAACTAAATTTAATTTAATTTAATTTGGTTTATTTTGTAATTTTCCTTTATTTGTATTATTTCTTATTAAATTAGCATTTGGTCTTATTCCTTTTGTCATTTATATCACAGTCAATAATTCTATTAATGATCTTATTTTATGCAATCACATGGCGCTTATCGCCTTAAATAAATGAATAGTGAAATTTTCACCAATTGTACCTTCTAAGAACCTCCGAAAGAGCCTGTAAAATTTACTGACCCTAGGCAAGCTCGCATAACCTATGCCCATGGAAATAAATAAAATGATGAAATAAGAACCTGGCATTCATTACCAAATATTCGCCACTTTCCTGTAGAGGTATTACAGTGAGCGAAACCACGGCTTCCGGCAGCTGCGATATAGCGACCATCTTCATTATCGATCGCTACCATCTAAAATATTTAAGAAAAAAAATAAAAAATTTAAACAATTTTAAAAAACAATAATACATTTTTAAAAATAAGATTTTCACAATATTTGCTTACGCGTAAAGGCCAATTTACAGATATATAATCATCAGGTAGATAAAAAATTCGCCAGACACTATGAGGTGCACTTGCAGACTGCTCTTTATTTCTCGCGGGACTCACATAAATTTTATTCGGTGAAAATAGAACGATTTTTTCAGAATTCACCTAAAAGATTAGCTTTTAAAATGGATAAAATTTATAAAAACAAATTAAAAGGATTTGAAAAAAATACCGAATAAGGACTGCTTGTACAAATTGAACGCGTAATGGGCAATACAGAAAATCCAGAATTACCAGCAAACCAGAGACTGAAACCTTCAGGTCCCCAATCAACCCAATGATAATTACGTAGGGACTTCAATTCCCTGAAAATGGAAAATGGTATAAAACAACGAAAGAAGAAAGGATAAAGATTATAGTTTGGCAAACTATATGAAAAAATGGATAATGAATATAGGAGAGCCGCTTAAATAGATAATATGAAATAAAGAATGGAAATATTGAGAAATATCCGAAATAGATAAAAAACTGAAGTGGAAGCCAAGATACTGACTGATCTGAACTGGATTCTAGCGAACACCAAAGCTGAGCACCAAAAGTACTAAATATAGCAGCAGCAGGAGGAATTATACCATTCTTTACACTGTCAGTAGAATTCGTTGACCAAACCACAGCAAAAGCTGATCCTTGGAAAAAACATTCTATATGATTTACTGCACCTACTCCATTTAGTAATTCTAAAATTGTGCAAATTAAATCAGTGATAACTGATCAGTGATAAATTAAATTAGAAGTAATCAATAAAATCAAAGTTAATATATTAGTAATATGCAAATTAAAAATATAAATAAAAATATAATAAAATCAAAATTTGACAGTTAGAATGCAATTAAATTTAAACCTGGTCCATCCCTAATATGAAGATTTATACAAAAGGTGCAGACAAGAGAACCATTTGTATCATCGAGATGAAATGCATTAACATCACCACTGCAATTAGGTCAAAAATTTAACCGAAATTTAACAGGAGGAAAAGATCCAATATTTCTCAATAAAAAATAATTTTCTACTTTAATAAAGAAAGTTTATCTTTATCATCATGATAGTATTTTAAAATGACCTTTTACAACCAATTAAGACTAGTCGAAACTTATGATTAGTAGAACAACATATTGCATCATTCACCTGCGAAGCCCATACACCAAGCAGTTGCTAAAAATACATGAATAAAATATTCTAAAATATATGTTCTAAAATATTAACATGAATGATCAGCGATTAAATGAATCATAATACTTAATATAATAAATAATAATAATAGTAATAATAAAAGTAATAAAAATAACAGAAATAATTATATATATATATATATATATAAGATTTATGGTTTAATATGAATCAAAAAGCAAATCACCTTAGGATGAAACCTGGGTGATGGTGAAGTCAATAAAGCTGCCTTACCATTTGAAAGAACAATGCAAAAGCCACCTATTAAAGGAGTATAAACAATATCGATAACATGAACTGATCGATCATGAACATGTTCAGCTGAAAATTCAACAGTATTAAGCAACTAAACATTGATTGATTCTTTGAAATATTAAAAAATTTTAAATTTTTTTGGTATCCTTTGAATTACCATTAAAAAAAATTTCTGTAAAATTAGTAAAAGCAGCCATAAAAAAAAGGTTTATTCTTCATTTTCTTCCATTTACTTTTAATTCGTAAAATTAAGCTAAAATTCTTATAAAAAAAAAGAAAGGTTCAATCAATTAAAATAACAATAACATACGCTTCGACTGTAATTGATCGACTGCGAATGGAATTTCCGGTAAACTGAAAGACAGATCTTCCTCCACTGATCCATCCCAAAGCAATCGATGCATCCATCCATTGGCAAGGCAAACAAATATTTCATCACGAAGAAGTACTACACTAAAAATATGTAAAAAAATTGAAGGCAACGTTTTCTGGACAACTAGTGGTTTCTGTTCAAATCATTTAATCATTTAATCTCAAATTATCTAAAACTACAAAGAAGTAATGAACATAGTTCCATCATAAAACTCCAAAAAAAAAACATTCAAAATAATATGAAAAAAAAACCAATAACCAAGTAGCAGGATTTTCAAGCCGCGCAACAACAGCAAGTGACAACATTAACCGAGGACGTTTTTCCTTGATGAATAATTCTTGCGAATTTCGCCTCAGATTTTCATTACGAGTTTCAATCAAATTGTAGCATTGTTTATCAAAAAGTATATTAACCCGATATATCAACAAATAATTTTTGGATGTCTGAAAATAAAAAATTTAATAAAATAGAACAAAAAGATATAATAAATCGGAAATTTTAAAAATAAAATAACTCAGAACAATCTGAATAAGTGATTTTAAATAACGCTGTACAAAATCATTTAAATAATCTGTCGCATGGCTTTTCGAAAATAATGGGCTTTAGGAAGAAAAAACTTAAGGAAAAAACAGTTTTGTTGTCAGTGAGCCATGAAATTTTGTAAAAGTGCTCTAAATTAATCAATATTTCCCTAATCCTCTTCCCCTCATAAATTTCTGTTGTTTTCATTTAATTAACAGACAATCTGTGCCCTTTTGCCCAAATCCACTGATAATAAATTCTTAACTCCGTTTCAAACCGTTTTCTTATAGTCTTTTACTAAATTTCATTAACTTTTATTACCTTTAACATCATTAAATATTATTTCAACCATCATTCTTCAAAAATTTCCACTCCTAAAACCCTCAACAGCTCGCTTAAGGCTTAAGGCATTTCCGGTTAAACCCCATTCCACCTCAGACTTAGCTGTACTATTTTGGTAATTGATTTTTTCGAAATCGGAAATGGTAGGATGACAGTGCCAGATTTTGTAGACAAAGTATATAAAAAAAGAGAGTAAGAATTATTAACATTTGGGGTGAAAATATTACAGTTCGAAATTATGTTGACAAATGAAAAAGCAGGAAGGTGATTCTGCTATCACCCACCTTATTTACTAGTTCACTAGGACACTATAAAATACTATATTTTTAGAAAACTCTATTCGATTCCCGTTAATACCACCTCACATTCCATTATTCTATTTTATTTTTTTATGATCCTCTCTACCTCTCTACTCTATTCTCTTTTGCTCATCATTCATTTGGATTCTTCAAATATACCCTACCGACTTCTTGAAAACCTTTTATATCCTTTTAATACTCTTCGAAACCAAATTAAGTTCTCTTAATGATTCATATCTCATTCATTAGCAAAATTGGCTTTTAAACTTTCTTGTCCTACTAGATATTAGAGCTTCACCTCCCAATCCCATCCAATCCCGTTCTCACCGCTATTATAATTCGAGACCATATTTAAAGTGTTCTAACATCAAATTTCGTTAATTCCTTTAATATTATCAAATGCGCCATATTCTTTCACTAAACAATTAAATTTTCGTGAACTGTTCACATGAAATATATTAAATTTCTGATATTCTGTCAAATCTCCTTAAAAAGAACTAATATTTTTTGTGAAAAATCTCAAATCTCGTTATTCCTTAATCCGAAGGCTTGCTCGATTTTTTCCATAACTTTTCCAAAACATTCATTTTAATATCATTTTAGAAACTTCTATGTCACTGTTTAATCAGATCCACTTGCAATTTATCAACAACATCCACTTTTTCCCTCTTAATGCCTCATAAGACGTGGCAAAGCACATTCGGCACGACACTTAAAAGATATAAAAATTGCAAAAGATAACATGATCTGGGTCGAGAAAGTAAAGGAATTTGCAGATGGAATAACAGAATTTGAAGGAGTTTTGAATGAATACAATTCTGAGGAGATACTCGAGAAGAAGAGATATGCTAGTGTTTAAAGAATGATGCCCTAAGGGCGGATATTACATACGTAATTTATAAAATGGATCAAGAAAGTGAATCGTTACGTTTTAAAAATTTAATAAAAGAGAGAATTCAGTCAACCATTCAGCAATCCTAGAAATCTGCAAAAAAAACGTACCGTAACGCAAACAGCACAAGAATCATGTCGCCAATAAAGCAAACGATATTCTCCTCTCTGCTCAACATCAGCAACCGATCTTTTAAATGAACATAATACTAATTGTGGCTATAAATAATAATAATCTTAGGTTAATTAAAGCATTTCTTTAAGAGAAATGAACTGAAATAAGATTATAAAGATTATAAATAAATAATTAGAAAATCGATTAATTATGAAAAAAATGAAAGCTATCAAAAAACCAAGAAAAACCAAGAGAAGAAAGCTAACATTTGATAAAAAAATATAAATAACTGATGAAGTAACAGCAGCATACAAAGTTCGATCTCTATTACCAACAATGCAGTATGCACATTCAAGCTGATCGGAATTCGATGTGCCTGCAGGAAGTCGAAGGCAATGTTCACTTCCATCCTTAAACAATTGCCATTAAACCTGATCGATAAAATATTAAAACAAAGTCACAAAATTAAGATATGAAATAATAAGGTCAGCAGATAAAATACCGTATCTAGAGGCTTGGAATACCTTAGAAATCGAGTAAGCATTGCAAAAAGCCAAACCAAAAATAATATACGCGATATTTTAATAGGTATCGCTAAGATTTAAATAATTATTAAAAGAAATAAAACTAAAGAAAACTAATTTAAATTATAAAATAAAAATACAGGCAAAAACATTATGCTGAATTATGACAAATATTCGCTTCGAAATATTCGCTGCTTTACAATTTCATCGTCGGTTTCATTCTCCAAAAAACTGAAATATAATAAAGCAGTTTGCAATAAATATTCTTATCACTTTATTATTAAATTCATAAATTCCACGAAATGGTTTGGCAGTGAAAATAGTCAAAAATTTAAATGCATAGGGTATACATCTTCAACTCGATTAACATAATTCTTAACATAACTCATAATTCTTAAAATAATTCTTTGAGATATTGCCAGTTCTATTTAACTTAATTTCTAATTTATTATTTTTATGAATATGCTAATTTTCAATTTAAAAGAATTATGAATATGCTGCGGCCAAATGGTGAAAGAAAAAAGTATTTTGAATTTTAGATTTGAACTACCAGTTTACCTTATCACAACTATCAGCTAACAAGGATCAAAAACGAATCGATAAATGAAGAAGTTGGTTATTAAGCCACTTATCATCACCCAAGGAAGTTCCATCGGATGCAAAGAATATAACGAAACAATAAAGGGACTTAAATAAGGCAGCGACTAAAGAAAGCAAAAAGAAAACCTGGATAAGATTAAATATGGTTAGAAGAAAACTTACGATGTTTTCAAGAGAAATATCCATTAAATTGCTAGAATTATAATAAGGATCACGCGGAAATTAAAATGCTATATCTTTATTGCTTGTAACGAAATTGACCCGATGAATCTTCCTCGATTTATGATAAAAATCTTGCGAATAAGCCATCAACACTAATTCTTATATGACAAACATTTAACCTCTTTTATTAGTCGATCCTTTAATGATCCTTAACATTTGCTGATAATAGTTGATAAGATAAATGGTTATTTCGAAAATTCTCTTCTGTTTTTCTCATTTTGCAACACGGCATGCATTATAAACTCGGAATTTACATGAACAACAATGGAAGTATCATCAAAAATACCCATTAAATTGCTAAAATACGAATGGAAAGAAGTCTTTCTGCAAAACTTGGAAAAAAAAGGACAAAAAATTAAAGAAAAATTTAAATATTGGTAAAATAACGAATGAAAAAAAAATTTTTAAATGATTATTATTTTTTAAAATTAAATTTTCCTTTTTTATAAAATTTTATAGATAAAATTAAAAATTTAATTTATCAAATTTATTATAAAATTTATCAAAATTTATAAATTTATTGATAAATTAGTTAAAATTTGATTAAATTGAAATTAAAAAATTCAAAATTTTTTCAAATAAAGAATTCGAATAATTCGAAATCACTTAAATCATTTTTATCACCATATCACTATATTTATCACTATAATATAATGGCAGGCTTAATGGATTAGACAAATCCTAGACAGGAGGCGATAGAAATTGTGGCCAAACAAGTAGCTAGGAGTACTGCGATTTCTAAAGAACCAATTTACCTATGTGGAACCTAAGACGTGGAACTTAGGAGCACTTTAACGACCAAAATCACTTATTTTTAAATAAATATTAATAAAACTTCGTGTCCCCCACGTACGCTCTTCAAACTCTCGTTATTTCTTGGTAATTCTCCAATAAATCAACTTATTCGATAAAAGTTCGGTAGATCAGAAATTCGGTATTATATTAAGAATGATGCGCTGCGAATAAATAAGAGTCAAATTGATGTAATTAGCTCGCGAACAAATGATGCTTGGGACCTGGAGGTGATTAAAACCTAAACCTAGGTGGAACACTCAATTTGGGAGAAACAATTTTGATGTGAGGGAGGGAAATTCATGTAAAAATGCATCCTCCTATTTCCTTCGCATTACCCCTTCCTCCCCCTTCCCACCACCCCTCTCCCCTCCTCCCTCCCCCGTTCCCCTTTAGTTTAGTTAATTATATTTAGCTGCGATATGCTCTTCAATTTTTTCAGTGAAATTTTTTATTATTTACAGTATTTGCTTCAGTTAATTTTTAAATAAATATACTTCCCACTTGCAAATCAGCGACGATGCAATGAATGGTACTAATTTTTCAAAAAAATCAGGCATTTCTGTTGAACCAGAAGCAAGAGGAACGTGGTGATTGAGATTTTCCCTCAAATTCTTTTATCCTGTGCAGCAAATCTTTTATTATAAAGCGAAATTCGAATATTAAAGGTCCATTTCACCTATTATCAGGCTAATCAATTCGGGCTTATCACAACCATTTTTATCTCTCTATTTTCAATTGATTTCCTAGCAGAATATTTCCACTTATATAATCCGTTAAAATAGACCATTTATGCACCATTAAAACACCGAATATCAAATATCATTTGAACCATAGCGAATATAAAAAATGACGCAAATTTTTAGTTTATTAACCATTTTCGGTAAAAAAAACATCTGAAAATAGCGTAGCACAACGAATGAACGAATGGCTATAACGAAATAATCCATTCTAATTCGTTGGAACATGATTAATGATTAATAGATTTAATTGTTATGCTTAAACGAACGGCATTCCTCGTTGCTATTAGTAACCAGCAAAAGCCAACCAGCCAGCCATCCAGCAAATCAGCCAGGCAAGCATGCAAGCAACCAGACAAATCGGTTATAGACCCATCGCTAAAACTAAATTTTGACAAGCGATGATATGTTTTATAAAAAAATTATTATTATTATTATTCGATCATTTGAGCCAATTTTGCCATTTTTTTCTTTCCTTTATAATAATTTTAAATCATTTCATTATAATTTTTTAAATTATTGAAATAATCGTTTAAATTTTTATTTTCAATGATTGAATAAGAATTTTATGAATTAATTAAATTAATTAATTGAATTTGTATTTTATTATTATTATTATTAATATTTATATTTATAGTTTTTTAATTTCAATGAATTTAGCGAAATTTTAAATTAAATTTTTTATTTGAATTATTTTTTAATAACAAATTTAAATGACTAATTTCTTATTTTTTATTAGTTTAGTAAAAAAATTTTGGTGAAATTTTAAAGAAATCCAAAAATTTGTGAAATTTTTCATTTTATTTTAAGCTTTAAATTTAAATATTTTAAATTTTTTAAAATTTTAAATTTTCGCCTTTTTTTTAAAAAAAAATATTCATCATTGGTTGATTTGGCTCGCTTTATTGATGAACTACGAAGAATTGAGTTGGCTCATCCATTCGGAATTCATGAGGCAATTTGAGAATTTCATTCAAGGATAGTGGTGAGGATAGTGGTGCAAATTGGACCAAAATTCATTTTTTTCTCATTTTTTCATGATATCTCTCCAGAAAATTAAAATTAAATAGTCTTCACACTACTATTTAGTCGACGCACAACATGCAATAACGACTCTATTTTTGCGTTTCTTTTTTTTATTAATTTGGTGAGATTTTCATGACACAAATTTCATGATATGCATATATTTTGATAGTTTTTGATAATTGAAAGCGCATTAATGATAAACAATTAAAATTACATAATTTATAAAAAATTATAAAAAATTATAAAATTTTATTAATTATAAAATATAAATTATAAATTGTAAAATTATAAATTATAAAATTATAAATTATAAAATTTATAAATTTATTTATAAATTCATTTATATTTATTTTTTTTTATAAAATTATAAAAAAATTTAATAATTTCAAAAAAATAGTCGTAATTCATTACGATCGCGCTTCCTCTTGGCGAATCTTATTCCATACTTGTTGCTAATTTATTTCAGAATTTTATTTTATTCAGTTATTTTTCTAAGAAATCGATTTATTATTATTATTTTATTATTATTATTTATTATTTTGGCTAAAAATTATAAATAAATTAAATATTAAATATATTCTTCTACTAGTAAAATTTTTCAAATGCTTCGACGCTATCGTGCGAATGGCCTACAAACAATTATCTTATCACAGCGTTCAATGACAATTGGCTCGTGTGATTGCGATATTATTATACCAGTTAGTTTATTACTTTAAATATTTTTAAATAATTCATAATAAATAAATTCAAAAAATTAAAGAAAAAATATTTATTTGATTTATATATTATATTTGCCACAATAATTCATTGAAATTTCGTTTTTTTTTAGGATGAACGTTTGTCACCTAAGCATGCGACAATTGAATATGATTCTTCTTCGAAAGCGTATTGGGTGCGCGATTTAGGTAGCTTAGCGGGCACTTCATGTAATGGAGAAGCGGTATTCAATAAAAAGAAACTCATTCATGGAGATACGATTCGATTCGGCTTTGGACCAGAGTTTATTTTTGAAATTACACCGCAACGAATCGTTATGAAAAAAGTTAATTTTGATATTTTCAAATAAGTACCATGCTACCTTGTAATAATATCATTAATATTGCTATAAGATAATTCTACTGATAATGAAATTTGCTACTGATATTCTCTTTTTAATAACGCTTTTATCACGTAAAATAAGTATAATAGTGGTATTTTAATGGAAACTATTAGGATGGGACCATTGATATTCTCTTTTCGGTTAATTCCTCAAGATAAGTACCACTGAAGTGAATATTCTCTTTGAGACGAGGCCATTGTTATCTCTCCTTCAGTATCACTTAAAGTAATACTGCCTTGCCTTGATGTTACTCATAATTTTCTTTTTTTCAGAATCAGAACAATATTTCGTGTTTGGCTTGTAAAAAAAAATCTTCCCTACCGGTTGTTACGGTATTTTTTTCCGAAATCCTTTCAATATTAGATTGAAAGAATTTAAAAATCTAAAAAAATACTACTTTGTACTATTTTTACAATTTAAAGAAAATATGCCAATATTATCGATAATGCAGATAAAGAAAAGAAAATTGCAGAAACGAGCTGCATCACTGATAACTGATAACAGTAAACAGGATTTATTAGGTATTGACCAAAACCCTTCGACAATATTACAAGGACGGAAAATACGTTTAGAGCCGCCAACTTTTGCTCACGATTCAAAATCGTTTGTTGTCGAAAATCAACAACCCTCATTTGCAAAACCGCGTAATTCAAAACCTTTTTAAATTTTATTTTTCAAGAAAGATTTTAATTTATACCTTTATAAATATATTCATCAAGAAAATATCAACCTTTTGCATATGGTCTTTTCATTTATATCTCTTAGAAAATTTCCTATTTCCGAAGTTTATTTTATTTGCCCGGTAAATTTATGTAATTGAATCTTAAAAATTTTGAATAAATAAATAATTCATTATTTCATTTAACTAAAAGATACTCGTTGATATCTGATGTTTCTTAGAATTACTTGATAAGCAACAGCAAACGAACATTTCATCACCAAGTTCGTCAAATCATGAAGAGAATTTTGATTTACATAAGCAAGAATTATCGAATAACATTGCATCCTATCGAGGTTAAAAAAAAGAATATTATCTACAAATTTTTACTAATAAAATTTAATCATGAAAATAAAATTTAAATTAAAAATTAAATTAGAAAAAATAAAAATTTTTCTTAAAATTTGAAATTTATCATATCTAAATTTGTTTTAACTAATAAATTGATAAGTGATAATGATTATCTCAAAAGATTGCCGAAATTTAGAGATTTTTTAATATACTTTTGATCTTAATTTTTAACCTTATATTATAATTTTAGGCTTAATAAATAAAGAATTTACGAAAAATAGCGATTTATTTGAAAGGATAATTTTTACTGAAATCGAATTACTGCGTAAAGAAGAAGAAATTCGCCATCTAAAGAAACAAATTTCAAGTAACAAAATTTTGAATTCTAATTAATCTTCAATTAACTATAATTTACTAGTTACAGGAGCTTCAAATAGAAGTTATAAGCGATTTACTGCACCGAATTTCAGAATTGCCAAGGTTGGACAATTACTCAACTATCTTTTACATTGATTAACTTTCACATTGACAATTTGATAATTTAAAAAATAAAGCTAAGATAAATTCTGAATAATTCTCAATAACTTAGCTCTCATCGTTCATTTTGAATTTTCGCTCATTTTTTCTAATCCCCAAAATGGATCCTTTATCAAACAAATGATATATGTAGTCCGCAAGTTCTTAGATCTCTGGTACAGGGCCCAAGGTTGAGGGGATGTTTAGAAAAGATTTATATAATTATTATATTGCATATATATATTTAATACTTGAGATAGCCTACTTTTAACAATTAATTCGACCAAGCTTAGCCGTGAACACTAATTAGTATTGGTGTTAATTATTATTGTCTATCGTATAATTTATATGGCAGCCAAGAGCGATTAATTCTCTCGAGCTAATTTGCATCTTTTGGTGCTAAATTTGGTGCAGACCGAGCCTTATCTCGCTTAAAACCTTCTAGAGATATGGTATTGGTGCACCACAAAAAATACAGAACTGAGTGTTCTCTTTTTATAGAAAAATGCGAATCACTTCGGAATAAATGAACACGACCTAGTTGAAATCGACTAAGTTAATGATTAAGTCGAAATTAGTAGCGTCTCATATGATAAAGAAATTAAATTACAGAAAAATTCTCTACGAACAGATCGACAGTTACCGACGATAACCGATGCTGAGATATGTCAAACATTTTTTGAGGTTATTTGAAATAATTTTTGTTATATGACCATCATTCGGTGTTCATATTTTTTGATCTACGATTCAATCTTAAAATACTTGGATTATTTCTAGATTAAATTTAAGAAATATGGCGCCAGGTCATATTTGATTTTTATCACCCGCAATATATCTTTGCGAACCGTCTTCTTTAATAACCGTCCTTAATGATATTCTAAACAGTAATTTTATATATCTTTACGTGTACAATGGCACATGTACGTGAGATAAGGCACGTGTGCGTGAGATAAGGCACGTGTACGTGTACAAGAGAATAATGATATAATTAAAAATGAAATCTGCATAGGTCATGAGCGTCTATATATTTCTATCTAAGAAGAGTAATCTCTATTAGTTAGCCTTGTGCCCATATCATTACTGGTTAGACTTGCTCCATTGGCTTATCGTACAAGGCAAATATGCCTCAGCGATAGAAGTGCAGGTGAGTCACTAGAGTCATCCGGATTTTTGGACAAGTTTACTCTTGCTGGGCACCGAATTGGGTAATTCTATCTTCTATTACCCAGTGGAAGCTACGAAATCAGAATTGTTTATTTATGTTTTTCTTTTAAATTATATTTCTTACCTACCTACTAAAATTACAATGAGATATATTGATCATTTATTAAGGTAATCCTTCATGAACTAATTTCACTAAATTATCAGCTAAAGAATTGTTCAAAGAAAGAATTATTCGGTATTATAGCGATGATTCTTGACAAATCGCTAAATGTTTATTTTGAGGTGAATATTTTAAGCTAAAAATTTTGAAAGTTAAGATTTCTAAAAGGTGAATGTTAATCGCCATTTTCCGCATAATTATTTATTTAAAAAAATTATATTTATATTTTAAATATATTTATTTTAATATCGAACTATTTTAATACCGATTTTCAATTAGAATTTTTGGAAATAGCATCAAAAAAAAAATTGATTAAAATTAAATTAAATTAAATTAAATTAAAAAATAATAAAATAATATTTTTAAATTATACTTTTTTTTAAAAAAACATACGAGTTATATAAAAAACTATATTTTCTAGAATCTAAAAAAGATTTGTAAGCAAATAATAGAAAGAAAAGGAATCGCCACTGAACGGCAAGAAGGAATTAGTACCATAATGGAAGAAAAAGAATTCGCTAATGAACAGCGAGAAAGAAATGGTACCATAAAGGAAGAAAACCAATTCGCTAATGAACAGCGAGAAACAATTGAAATATTTTTCCAAAATTCATTGAATGACACTATTAAGGCGATTGTTTTTATCACTTTTTTTTAATCCTTTAAATAAAATTATATTATTTTTATATTATATTAAATTATTTTTTTGGCTTAAAAATATGAAAAAATTAATAATATATGGTGTCAAAAGTTTTTTTAACTTATTAATTATATTTTATTAATTAAATTTTAATTATTATTTCATTATAACAAACGTAAATATATCTTTAAATATCTGAAATTCACGGCCTGTCTTATGCAAAATAACTTAATTCTCATAAAATTTCCCGATTCATTGATAATTATCTGTTAAAGCTTATCTCTTTATCATAATTTTCGAAATCCGTTCAGTTGATAGGCATAAATTTCTTCCTTTCGTTCTATCGTTGTTATTGCGTAATTAAGGTTTCAGTAAGAGTGGAATGATTTAGCGGTTTGTTGCGTGCATTTCATTGCTAAGATTTTACTCGAACCATAAACAATCGTGTCTATCAAAGTTCCGGATAGTTCCGGATTGGCGAGCGATCATTATACTTCTATCGCTAAGTGATTCGTCTCTCTGGAAAATTTATCTGATCTGATAGGCTAGCAAAGTCATCTTAACCAGAAATTATGAGTACTGAGTAATTTCTCCATTAATTCATTAATCTTTATTTGAATAATATTCCAAAATAGGTTATTAATCATTTCTTTCGAGAGTTTCTGGATAGAAGAAAAATTCACAGAATCTTATAATTGTCAGATTATATTTTTCCTTGCGATATAAGACTACTGAAGGCTTAATCAGATAGTCATTTAAGGATTGATTAATTGCACCCAAATACCATTTAAATACCACTTGCATTTATAGATCGTCGCTTTCACTCATTCTCATAGGGCTCATTCTTCGTCGCTCCACAAGAGGACACAAAAGTTTATTTCGTTAATTGCTAAATCCTATGATGAGCAACCAAAAATGAAAGTCAAAAGTGAGATGGACCAGCAAAGACCTGGACTAATACAGTCAGAAAAAATTTTGGCCCCTATCATTCTATCAAAGATGGCATTGGATAGAACAAGTCTGCAAGCATCCTATCCTTGTAGCCAGCGAAGCCAGTCTAACAAGTAATGGTGGAAACTATTAGGAAAAAAAAATTGATTTTTGGATTGGGCTAATAAATGTGAAATACTTCACTGAATAGAAATTGTCATTTGTGGTTTACCTGGCTTTATTAGCCACTAAAATTGATCTTATACTGACTGATTTTATCACTTAGTGATTTTCGACACACTGTTGGAAATTATCATTTGTTCTAATGCTCAACTATTTCAAATTATTCAATTATTTTTCCTAATGAATAATCTAAAAATTTTTAAAATTTTGAATAAAGAATTATGATAAACTGACTATAAACTAACTACTACTTAAAAAGAAATGCCACTAAATCGCGTTTGGCTTGATCTTCGATGCAATATGCTTCATCTGATGGCAGTTCCAGTGGCAGTTTCAAATGGAGTAGATTATCTCAGTTGGGAGTTGAGTTGAGAGTTTGGATACTAAGTTTCTAAGCCAAGGAATTTGTCCTTCAAAAATCCTCGTGATGATGGCGACTTTGTAATAATAAATTAATAAGGATTTTCAAATATTTGATGCCAATAAATGAGATGTTCTTTTAATCATTAAGAAACTTTCTTCTTGTTCTTAACAACGAATAATTACAATAAAAGAATATTATTGATGAACTGGCGATTATAGTTCAATAATAGCTCAATTTTTTATGAAAAATTTTATTTTTTAAAATTTAATTTAAATTTATAAAAATTTCAAAAAATTAATGAACAATTCATCAATGCACAAAAAAATAACTCAAATTAACCGCTCTGAGATTCTAAAAGTTAAAGAAAATTAAAAAATATTTTAATTAAATTAAAATGAAATAATTTGATTATTTGATTCAATTATTAAAATAGAATAAAATTTATAACATTTAAAATGATATTTGCTGTCTTTGATAATTCGTTTTAGGTATTAAGGAAATTTAATTTAATTTTATTTATTTTATTTATAATTTTAAAAAAAATTTAGGCTATTTTTGAAGAAATTAAGCAGCTTCAGCCAATAATTCGCGATGGTATAGTGATAGCAGGCGAATCGACTCTTATTCATGATATTTTCGTTTCGTGGTTACGTGAATTTGAAGTAATTTGATTATTTTAGCAAAATTTTAGTGAATCTATGATATATACTCTATGATATATGATATATGATTGTACTCATTATCTATTTATCTATATAGGTGAGCGACTCGCTTGATTGCCTATCATCACAAAATACAAAATGCATTGTTGCCCTTGGGGCAGTGTGGTCGAAATTTTGCCCTTCTCTTTCTTTTCCCTTCTTTGTATTATAATAATAAAGATTTATTCGGCTACGGAAAAAAATTAGAAAGATTTTAAAGAATTGTTGAATGGTACTACAACGAAATGCAAGATTGTGGGATTTTTTTTTAAATAGCACTGTTTATAGTTGAGTTTTCTTCTGCAATTAACCAGAAAAATTTTGTTAGGGAGTCATTTGGCTGGAAATAGGTTACCATCTGAGATCACCTTTATTTATTTATTAATTTCAGTGCTAAAATTCTTCTGCGAAAATAAGGATAAGTGGTCATTGTTGGTTCATCTTTGCTATAAATAATTCGAATTTAATTCCATTAAAAATTTCTATCGCTTTAAGAAATATGCCATTAACTCGACCTCAAATATAGAATATAAAGTAATAACTCCTTCAAAAGTGATTTATTTTAAATTTTAGTTAGAAAATATTAAATTTTAGGATGAAATACGTAATAATGGTTTAACATCGAGAAAAGTTCTAGAATACGCCGATGAACTCAATAAAAGATTCAGTGAAAAGCATTTTGGCAATCATTGGCTTCCACTTTCTATAATTCCATTACTTCATATTTCTGCCAGTAAATTTCAAGAATATTTCGAAGAAAAATTAAATCATGAAATATCTACCAGCACAGGTTTTTGTTTGATTTAAAATTTTTGAAAACTTTCCCAAGTTCCATTTCAAATTTTCACCACAATTTCGGCACCACAAATTGCCGATATCCTTCATTTTAAATTTCATCTAACAATATTCTCACCTATTAATCGAATATATTTTGCCATACCATTACCCAAAAATCAGACGCATTTAATCATATTATGGCTTATCATCTGATAAAATATATCAAAAATAAATAATAAATTAAGTCAAAACTGATATTTCTTTGGACTTTTCATGATTTGCACTATATTTTTTGTGAATTCGAAGTTAATATTCCCATTACTTCATAAATCTTTTAGAAATGGAAGCTGACTTACATGATTCGAATCCACAAAATGAAGAAGCAATAAGTGAATCGCAAATAAGGGTCATTAATTTATAAATTTTAAAATTTTCACCTTAAAAATTAAACCTTCTTAGATTTTAATATTTTTTCTAATAAAGATTATAATTTCACTTTTAGTTTTTTAATCTTTTAAGCAGCAATTTTTTTGCTTTATTTTATTATATCATAAGAAATAAACCATCTTAACTTAGTGAAATTCTACTGTACTTTTTGCTAATTATTAAAATTTCTTTTCTAATATTATTTCTAATATTATTATTCAATAAAATATTATTAATTATAATTGTATTATTGGTTAAAATATTAATTATACGATAATTATATATATATATATATAAATATGTAATAATTATCATAATTATAGAATAATGATAATGATTCTTGATTATTATATAATAATAATTTAATAAACTTGTTACTTAAAATTTTATTCTTAGAATATAAGGTTTAAATTCAAAATTTAAAATAATAAGTATCCGTAAATATACCAAAGCATAACTTTGGAAAAGAGGTTCATGTAATATTTAAAAATTTGAGATGAATTTATTTATCGTGAAAATTCAGGATAAAGAGTCGGGAAAACGTCAAATTTCTACAATCTTTCGTAAAAGTAATCATTATTAATGAAAATTTTTTTCATATATACCATAAGAGAATTTACTATTATTACAGAAATTTTAATTCGAGCTTATAGTTCAAAACAATTTAGCTGAATTCCATACTATTTTTAGTTAGATTTTGAGAATTTTTATTTAAAATTTCGTCAAATTATTAAAAAAAATAAAAAAAATTAAGGAAGAAAAAGTTCAGTGAAAGAATTCAGCACAAATGATTCGAAAGAATCTGCTGAATCTACTAATATTTCAGGTAATATTTTTATTTTCATAATAATCCTACAATGAATTATTTCCTATTTGTAAATGCAGCTAAACTTACATATTAGCCAAGTTCAAATTAATTTCAGATGCATCATACAACACCGTTACTGGAATTGCAGAAAATTTACATAAAACGTCTGAAGCGAAATTAAGCTTAGAAAAGGCATCTTTCATAGAATCAGTCAAGTCTGCCGATGGCTTAAATCAATCAAATTTTTCCACTGGATTAAATCCTCCAGAATTCGAACCGATTCAAGAAATAACGCATAACATTCCGATTCATGCTGAAGAATCCCAATTTTCCGACAATTCAATTCCTGCAAATATGGAAGAAATACCCCTAAATGAAAATGAAATGATTGATTCTTCCGAAAAAAATTCATGTACCGAAAAACGAGATTCTGATGGACAAAGCTCTATAGACGAAGAAGAAGAAAAAGACCGAGCCAACAGCATTATAGAGACTGAAAAAACATTATCACCATGTGAATTTCACAATAATAATAATAATATATGTGTACCAAAATCACCAAATAATTTTGAAAAATCCCCAATAGACACCAAATCTGTGGTTGATTCAAATCCCACAAAATCAAATAATGAATTGAATAATAACGAAAATCAAAGTGAATCACTGGCAACTGAAAAATTAATACCCACCATCAATCTGCCAGATCATTCCTCTTCGCCACTCGATAAAATGAAAGGAAATTCGCAAGAGAAAATTCGTAAACCTTCTGAAAAAGAATCTATACAATCAGAAAGAATAAATGAAGATCAGTTAAACATTGGTGAACAATCTAGCAGGCAAAATGAAAGTGCGAATGAAAGCGATCAACGTCAATCTGAATATGAAAACGATGGAAGATCAGACCAGGTTTTGTACATTTTACCTTTTCAATTCAAAAGATTTACAGCAAAGATGGATACCAATTTTTTAAATTTAATTGTATAAATACTGATAAATTTCGTGGTAATAAATGATAAAAACGCAAAGTGATAAGTGGTGATAAATGATAATAATGACAAATTAAAGAAAAAAATTTGCAGCTTTTCATGGCAATTGAAAAAATTCTTAAAGAATTAGGAATACATAAATCGCAACAACTAAACAAATCAGAGGATTCAAGGCAATCATATAAAAATAAAATCAAAATTTTATTATCATTAATAGCCGAAGGAATTGGCAATGACATCTGCTTTGAATGCAAGCAATCGTAAGTCAATAAATTTTTATCCAAAAAAATAGAATTTAAAAAAAAAAATTTAGAATAATAATAATATAATGAGAAATTCAGATGTAGAAAGAACAGACGATTGAGTACGAGTACGACAGATTTAAAGGTGAGTGAAATTTGAAAATTTCTTATCATTTTTATCATTTCATTTCAACTAATCATTTCATGAAAATTCGTAATTAAAGAAGTATTTCGCATTATTCCGCTCAAACTTTTAAGTTTAGTCATGCAATCACAGAGCACATTGTGAAAGAATACAGTCTCAAAGACCACTGGAGCTATTATCTACTAAAAAGCAAATAAGCAATCGCAAGCGATGGATAATTTGACAATTGGATAGTCTAATGATAATGCAAAACAGATAGTCGATAATTCACCGATTCGTAAGATAAACCAGAAAAATTGAAGGATTATAAAATTGCGATATAAATTTTATGATAAAATTTTCCAATTGCCAATTCGTCATTTGTTCATAGATCATTTGAGAACTGATTTTTGAACTGACGAAAGATTGCCATCTTGGCAATGTCGACTTCTTTTTTAACGAGAAGATTTGCCCGTATCCTGGCAGTATAAAAGTAGGATTCCTGCCTCATATTAAGGAGTTATTCCTTCAAAAAAGTTGTTGTTACGCAACTTTAAGCAAATTTTTTGAAGATTATTATTTTTAGAATATAGATTTAAAGCGTTATTGTTATTATATATATTATTACTATAATATTGTTATTATAAATTATTGTGAATATTTACAAATCTTTTAAAGATGGTGCTGTTTATGTTCTTCAAATTTTAAAAAAATAGTATTTTTTTTTATTAAATTTGTTTATTGAATCATTTATTGCTAAAGAAGTTCATTTCTATTTGAACTTGAGCTGAAATAAAGTTTTCGGTACACTCGGTTACCCTATTCATTGTTATGAAATTTATAAGAAACAAGTAAGTTGAAAGGCACTTTCCCCTTGGTTAGGTTGTCCTTCCTATGTTGTGAAAAAACGACTCAAAATGTTGTTGAAAATTATGAATTTATTATTTAAATTATCAAATATCAATTAACTAATAAATTTTAAATAAATTTTGGAATTTATATTTTTTCTTGCAAATATCTTTTTATTGTTTTTTTACGAAAAAAACGAAAGAAAAAAAATAATGTTTGGCAAAAATTAGTAATTAGTATTATCATTAAATGCATTTTAACCCTACTATATTTATTTTTATTTATTTTTATTCATTGTAATTTTAAAAAATTTCAATATAATTTCTTTTTTATAAGATCATTTTAATGCAATTCAAATTTTCAAATTTCAAATTTCAAATTTTTAATGCAATTTTTATTAAATCTAATATTTATCATCTAGTATTATTAAATTCATCTAGTATTTTTTTAATTTATTAATAAATATAATTATAAGAAAATTATAACAAAATGGAATAATAAAATTGTTGTGCAATTAGATTCTTCCAATACCATCAAAAAAATCCCTTTCTCAGCCTTTGCTCGGGTCCTTTAGTGGAGGCCTCCAGAAGATTGAGGGTTTTGTACAGTGCCTTAGTTGTTGCTTGCAGTGCGCTCTTCTGGAAATAGATCTCTGATATTGTTCCCGGAATGTTTTTGGAGGCACTTTTTATTATCACTTGGACTATTTTGGCCCTTCATTTTCCACATCTTCTCTAGTTTCTCTGGTTGAATGGCACTGAATTATTGCAGATATATTCGCTCAAATAATAGATTTCATAGATTTTATGAACCAAGAAAAAATTAGTATATGGTAATTAGTCAAATTCGCTGGTTACAAATTAGTTAATTTTTGTCGAAAGTCTTTCACTATTCGAGGCAATATGAAAAGAAAAGTTTTCCAAGAAGCAATGAATTTATTTAAATTAAATTGGAAAATTTAAAATTTTTTAAAAAAAAAAAAGAAGAAAAGCTGAAACTGGTATTCGTTAAGAATTATTGAGACAATAGTTAAGAAACAGTTGGCTAAACTGAAACTGATTCACAATCAGTTTACAATTATAAAATGCACAAGGAGAGTTTGGTGAATGCTTATTTCATCAGCTGTTTTCTTCTTTCCACTTTCTTTTTAATTTTATGATTGAATCATTTGGCCAATAAATCTAATGTTTCCTTATCCACTAGTTGACATATATTAGAAATAATGATCGGTATAAATTAACTAAGAAATATGAAAAAAAAGGACCAATTTGTTGATATTTGTATTGAAATGAATCAATAATATATTAAAAAGTGTTATCACTTGACAATATATGTCACTGATATGATAAAAAAGGACTTAAAGTGCTAAAATAAATAACTCACTACAAAAATTAATATTTATTTCTTATCCAACAAATATATCTCATAATTCTTTTCATTGTCATAAGTTAGCTCAATTTTATATTGCCTCTTCCTTCTGAATGCACCATTTTCTTCTTGCCTGATTCCATTAGTTGGTATAATGAGAGCCTTGCGGCAAATAATCACTGTGAGATTGAATAAAGAGGAATCCATTATTTTTAATAGTTTGATAAAATTAATAGATTTATTATTATCGAAAATCTTCTTCATCTAATAATTCTCACCATTACTGATTTGGCTGGCTCCAACGGCTACAAGAGTTAGACGCTTCCAAGCAGCGCGGTCTGATGCCATGGTTGACAGTAATAGAAGCCATTCCTTTTTCCATCGTCTAAGTCCATATATTGCTCGTCCACCTATATATTCAAAATCTTTTCTCATCGTATCAGTCCAAGTTTTCATTGGCCCATCTCGATTTCGATGCAACCCATCACACGGTTTAGCAAGCAACGAAATATGCGTCGACTCCTGTGGTGGACGATGGAGAACGTGGCCTAACCAGCGAAGGAGACGCTTTTTGATGGTACTATTAAAGCAAATGGAATTTGAACGAAAGTTGATACGATCATGTGAGATTTTATCTGGCGAATCCGTAAAATGTACCTTAGACAAGAGTGGTCAAAGGCAGATAAATTTTTAATATCTTCCACTCTCATTGGCCATGTCTCAGAGCCATATAGCAAGATCGAACGAATCACTGCTATATAGACGTGGACTTTCATTTTTATGGTGATTTAGCAACGACTTCACAAGGATTTTGTCAACAGAAAGAATACGTTTCTAACTGCCGTCATCCGGAATGCAATATCGTCTTTTACATATATCGGGCAGTTCCTTATGAGAAATCATCTAGTTTGAATTCATCTTCATCTACTATTGGTTCAGAAGCTTATTGAGAATCTGGAATATTAATCTTTAATCTTGAACATTTGCTAATAATTCTGAATTTTTTATAGAGTTGTTTAGTAGTATAATTTTATCTTTTCTTTTTCCACTAAAAGATTATAAAAATTTGATTATAATTATGAAAATGAATTTTTAATCATTCTAAGAATTGATTTTTCTACTGAAAATAATCATAAAATTTTTATACAGGAAAGATGAATCAAGAAACTATGAAATTTTCTTAGAATTTCTTTGATTTTCTCGAAATTTTCGAGATTTTTTTTTATGTCTTCAAAATTCCCATGAAATTTGTGGTTTTCTTCATAATTCGATGAAAGAGAATTTATAAAATTCATACAGATCATATATATATATTTATATAATGAAGAATATTTTAAAAAGCTTAAATCGATTTCATTTGAATTCGATCCATTAAAATGGCTAAATGAAGGAGGAAATTCAGTTTCAGCTTTCAGCTATCACAAAAGTTTTATTACAATTTGAACCTTACAATTTGAAAGGTTCAAATTGTAATTGCAAAAACGATTCATTGCAGCTCAGATTGCACTAAAGAGTTTAGTTCTTCTGTTAACCAACATTTTAATTTTTATCATTTTTATCATTTTTCAAAAATTTTAGTAAATTTTTAAATTTATTTAATGTTTTGCAGTTTTATTTCAATGTTTTTCGCAATTTTCCTGATCATTTTTATCTCGAACATATGCTCTGACAAATTGCTTTTTGTTCAAATTGTAAGGTTCAAATTGTAATTGCAATTATTCTAAATCTTCCTTTATAATTATATGCAATTTAGTTATTTTAAATAGATTAGTGATAAAGAATTATCACAGAATATTCAGATTTAGAATTTAGATTTACAGATTCTGAAATTATTGCTACTAATTGAAAGTAAATAGTATTCACCACATTATTGAAGCATATGAACCATGAATTCAAGAATTCAAGAAGATAATGTATAGTTAATAATTAATAATTAATAACCTTAATGCATTTATTCTAAATATTTCATTTTTTCAAAAAAAGGCCATTGACTGAAGATGATTGAAAAAAAATTTGGAAAAATTTTGAGGCTTGGAGACATGGAGACCGAGCACCAATAACAATTTATCCGACCGATGTTCATCAGGAAGACGCTTGGCCGAATGGCCTCGGTGAATTGACTCAAGTATATGATTTCTGATTTCTTATATGATTTCTTCATTTCATTAGTATTTTATTTTTATTTGATTAATCTTTTAAACTCCTTTTTAGAGAGGTATTGTGCAGCAGTATATGCTTGGGAAACATATTCGAGAACGCTATGTCGAACATTTTGCACCTTTTTTATCACCAACTTATAATCATAAAGAAGTTCGTTTTTAAGCATTCAATGGCCTAATCAGCTTAAAGCCATATATTTTTAATAATAATTAATAATTTTTAATAACTAACTTTTATCAACTTCAATAACTGAATATGTTGCAATTACCAATAACTTTGGTCTATTTCTCACACAGTCAGTTTTCTCCATGGCCGACTGTTGGTGCGGTTAAAAAATTTAATCTCTTCTTCTCGATCTTCTCGGTGCAAGTGGTTCGCAAACTCTACCTGGATTTTTTAACAATAAATTTTCTCCTATTAATTTTCTCTTAATTTCTCTTTTCTCTTTAAGAAATGGAAATACAGTTTATTTTATTTAAATTTTTCTTGCAGATATATATAAGGAGCACAGATGTTAATCGGACTTTAATAAGTGCAATGGCCAATGTTGCTGGAATGTTTTCCAGTGATCCCTATAACCGAGACAGGAATATGTCGAACCTTATGTGGACACCAGTACCAATTCATACTGTAGAACTGTCGACTGATTATGTAAATTTAACGATAATTTAAAAACAAATACCATAAAGATTTTGCGAAAAATATTAAAGTTTTGAAGAGTGCAACTAATTCATTATAAAATTCATTCATTATACTAATTCATTATAATTCATTATAAAAAATTAGTATAAAATATTAATAAATTTTTAAAAATTTTGATGAATAAATTTTATCATGAAAACGGTACAAAAGACAGGAAAAATTTGTATGAATTAATAAAAATGACAAAATTTATTCGAGCGTTTGAACAGAAATTATATCAATACTTTATCAATTATATCAATACCAAAATCAATATTTTCGTCTTCTTCTAATAGCTCCCTCCATTAGTGGTTAAGTTAATTTTGCTGACTACAAGCAAGTACCGCACAAGTAAGACATTTTCAAGGAGTTCGGATGCAGAAAATAAGTAACACAAGTCATTCCTCTTTCAATCGAGTAAGTCCATATATAGCTGGGTCACCTATATTTTCAAAATCTTTTCGGACTGTCGGTATCAGTCGGTATCAGTGGTCTTAATATTGACTAGTCCTTATCGCATTTGATGCCATCGACCACATTGCTTAATAAATAACGAGATATGCGTTAATTTCTATAGCGAGCGGTAAAGCACTAGAGATAAAGTAAATTGATAAAAAAGTAGGTATATGTATTTATTCATTAATCAGCAGCCTCATTACAGATTGGCAATCCAGAAGCAAGCTGTAAACGTGTTGATCAGATATTTGATAAGATTCAAAAAAGTGACGAGTATAAAAAAGTGGAATTCGATAACAAGGTATTTCCAGTTCATCCTCTTTTCATTAATTAATTGTATGGTAGTAGCTAAAGCAGGATAGCCGAATAATTGTTGCTCAGATTGCTATCCTGATAGGTAAGCATTCGAACCCTGCCTGTGAATATGAAAAAACTGGAAGATATCTACAACTCATATGCATTTCCATCGCAAATAATTTCACAGCATTATAAAGATCCACGAATCTAATCCTACCGGAAACAGCAAGTACAAATCTCAGTTTCTCGCCCCATAAAATCTACTGTCATAAAATCCATAAAATCAACTGAGAAGATTAAAAATTGGACTAAAATTAAAATTTTTAGCGAATGTGAATTTTAACTAATCCTACTAATTATCAATTTCATTTTTTTATCAGTTTATCATTTTTTTTATCGCAAATATAATTTTCATGGCTATTCGAAACATCTTATTGTTTATGATTTCAGGAGTTTCTGGAATTTTTGAGTAACAAAACGGGAATGAAAATTCTCTTTTCGCAAATATCTATCATTCACGATGTCTACGAAACAGAGGCATCTTATACAGCTGTTTTTTAACATATTAATACCATATATTATATTATATTATATTATCATTGCTCTAAATCCCGTAAGCCACCATAATCATATTTTTTAGCTTTATCACGACATGGAGCAGCCAGCATGGCTAAATGACGAAGTTGCAAGCAAGATTCATCAATTATCGCTCGCTTATTTCGCATTTGCTTTTGGATATAAAAAGCCAAAAAACATCGAGCTCATTCGATTAAGAGGAGGTACATAAATTCATAAATTTTAGTTTTTGCCCATAATCAATGTAAACTATCGAGTTGTCTTTTTAGCAACTGTTGAATAGAAAAAAAAAACAAAACACGTCGAACACAACCTTATTGGTACTAGCAAGAAAACCTTATCCTTGGCCAGCCTAGTCAATGGTCGCTCCAAAATGCTAAATTCAACTGTAGATTGTAAAATTATAATTTTAAGGTAATTTAAGGTAATTTACTCAAGAATTTGATCGAAAATATGGAAGCAAAGCTGGAATGCTTAGCGAATCTAAACGAACCAAATTGCGAATGGATGCAACATCGCAAATACCAAGCGTATTCTGTAGTAAGTTAAAATTTGAAATACTTTTTTCTTTGTGGACACTTATTTATTACTTCGCTTAATTCCAATATTTGCAAGGATATGAGCATTTTACTAAAGAGTAATTAAACAGAAAATGCAGTTTAGTTCCTGACAATCTCATGGATTTACCTTTTGATGACAAGTTCACTTCCTTCAAGGTTTAAACACATACTAATTGTCGTCAGCTGATGCTGAGGCTCTTCTCGTAAACTTTGCTTAATTGGTCTTTTTTTTAGATTTATTCCACTTTTAAAAATAATTTTTTAAATATATTTTATTATTTTAATTTGTAAAAAATCTTATCAAATAAATTTAAGCATGATTCAACCATTGCATCGCTACTCGCTTCGTTGAATCTCGAAAATGAATTATCAAAAAACTTTCCTACCTATAATTCAGCAATTGCATTTGAAACATGGAATAGAACTGCTGAAGGCATTGCTATACAAGTAAATTTTGTAGATTTCTGTTCTTTTTAGAAACTATCCAGGAAGATTTCGCTACCATCGTGGTACTATTTAAATTTCACAAAAATATTCCTCTTGCAAATGAATATATTCTATATTTCAGGTTCTATACAGGAGATCTGATAATGATGTATTTGAATCGGTCACTCATATGATCGACGGTTGTTCAAATTTCAGCGAATATTGTCCGCTCAAATTTTTCCAAAAACGCTCTAAAATATTTTTGCCTCATGATATAAGGAAAGAATGTAAGATGAGATAAATTATAAAATTTCTAAAAAATTCCATGGTTAAAAATTTGTTATCAATATAAATAAAAAATAAATAAAAATATTATGAAAATATAAAATTTTGCATTCATAATTTAACAAAATAGAATTTATTTTAACAGAAATAATAATAATTTTGGCCATAATAATTTTTAATTTTAACGATAGTCTGCTCGGTTGGTTTCGATGATTCGTTCGATTGGCCCTCTTTAGATCCAAGTAATATGCAAATTTTTGAACAATTAAAAGCCAAAAGATAGTGAAATATTTTAACTTGCTTGATAACAAAATGAATTTTGAATTAAGACTACATCAAATGATCAATGATCAATATCAATTTCGTTCTAGCTTTCCTTAAAGCGATTTTCCTTTAAGGGGATGCACTATAGATCATATCTTTGAATATTACTTCCTAAAGTTTCTATAATTCACTGTACGAATGAAGATTAGCTGTTCCTAGCGGTTTTCTGTCTAGAAATCTCGGGTGTTGTTTCTGGTGCCACTTTTCTAGTTTAGGCATTGTAGGCGTCTATTACTAATGCTCTAGCCTTACTTTGGAGCCTTCACTTTCCACATCTTTTCTAGTTCACCTTATAATTTGTATTGACTTATCAGTTGCAAATAGCTTCTAAAATTTCGAATTTATCTTGTTATATTAGATTTTCAAGACAAATTATTTTAACTATGGGAGTGGGAAGATGTGCAATATTTTGAGGTATTCTCAACTGAGTTGAAGTTCGAGTGTTAAGATATTTAGCATGGTACTTTCTGCTGCACGACCTAAAATCCTTGCCTCTTGATAATGGCCAAATTGTTAATGCTGACAATTTTAAAGATTCAAGACTTAATTAATTTGAAATGAATTCCTTTAATATTCTACTATAAATACTAATTATGTTAATATATCTACAATTAGGGTTTTTTTTTTTTTTAAATGATTAGTTTCGTATAAAATAACTTTCAAATTTTTGGATTTTAACGATTGGCCAAGAAATAATCGATCGATCTGATTCGAATTTGATATTCCAGTTTTATGCGATTAGTTGTGTCCTCTCATGCTGAAAAGCAAAAAAAAGTCCATGCTTTTCACCAATGCAAAGAAGATCTTCTCTGTTGGTACACTCCGATAATATAATTGTCAGCCAATGTGACTTACACACTCATCCTAACTTATCTTCGGATAACTTATAGCTTTTTGTCACCTTTTTTTCGCTTACTGAAATTTATTCTAAAGTCATAAATGTTCAACAGGCAGTTGGAAATTGGCATTCGTTCCCTGAATGTTCGAATACGATAAATTCACCATAAAATTTATATGTGTCTGAAAAAATAAAAAAAAAATATATAGAAAAGTTAAAAATATAAAAGTAAATAGAGTAATGATGGCGTAAAAACTGTAAAAGTATAATAGAGTATAATAGAAAAAAAAATTTAGTTTTTGCTATATTTAAATGGTGAAACATGCAAATTCACTTAAAAATTCTCGTAAAATATAATATTTGCAAATAATTTATAATATTTTGAAAAATATTTAATATATTTAAAAAATAATAAATATATTTATAAATAAATAATTTAATATATTTGCAAATATATTACAAATATATTAATAAATATATTTCAGACAAAAAAAACAATGTATATTCATTTTGAAATGTCAATAAAAGACCGAAAAATTTCTTCAAAATTCAAAAAATTATTTCAAAAATCTGATTTAAATCTTTTTTTATAAAATCATTCAAATTCAATAAAAATATTTTAATTTAAACATAAATTATGGTAATTTATTAATAAATAAAATAATTAAAGTAATAAAAAGATTTTTTAAAAAAATTTTTAACAAAATTTAAATTATGAATAGGAATTTTGCTATAATTATTCCAATGCTGCAATGCTGCAATCTAGGATTATCCTCAACCACGAATCATTTACGAGAGGCTTTGGAGATTGAGGGTTTTGCATAATCATTTTAACCGTTCCGAGCAAATGTACTCTTCCGGACAAAATATCTGATATTGTTTCTGGAATTTGTTGAGGCCACTTTTCTAATTTAGATTCTGTTGCTCCTTAATTTTTTAATCTTATTTTAGCCTTCATTTTCTACAGCTTCTACAGCTTGTTTATTTTCCCTTTCAGTCTCTGGTATTTTTGTATTTCTCCAGCATTTCTCTCCGGTATTTCTCTAGCTTTTCAAATACCTTCCCATATTCATCATCATCGATGGTATCTGGTTGATTAGCCAATATTTCTTTATCTATTTCCCATAAAGAGGTTCTTGGCCGTATTATTCGGTTTTCTGAGGAATTTCCCATTCAGTCTTGGGATCTATACTGACCAAATACCGACTACTTGGTCATGCCTTTTAGTGAATGCTTTTCTTATTTGCATTTTGCATCTCGTCACTGTGTGTTGGATTGTTTCTAGGTTTTTGAACAATCTTAAGCCTTGTCTGGTGTGCATATCTTTGTTTTGATAGATCTGGTGCTTAGTACCTGCTAACATTGATGCCTCAATACCTTTTAATCCAATTTTTTCCAATCTTCGATTTCTTATTGCAATCCAGACCCATGCTTTACCATGGCACTTCTCTTGCTTGGTTTTTTCCAATGTCTGTGGATTCTCTGGGCAGCTCATCCTTTGGTACCATCGTACTGATAAATTTCTGAATGGTTCGAGATTAGCTTAAGATGATAGAACTTACATAGCTCTACTTGCTTTCTTTATGGTTGGTGAACAGTCTAGCCACTATTAAACAATCTGATTTGTTGTTGCTTTTGTGGTTTAAAAATCGCAGCTCCTACTACCACTGAGAACTTTGGCCTTCCATTTCAGTGATAATATGAACTAGATTTTCTAAAATAGTTTTATTTCATATCACCAAATATGAAAATGTCCTAATTCATTTGTTAATAGTATTGTTTAGCATAAAATTTTTTTTTAAAGCAGTGAGTTACGAATCAAAAATATTTGTAAAATTTAGATTGGGAAAAAAGAGGAAATGCAAGTAGAAAACATATATTCATTAATGATTATCAATAATTATCAAGTAGTAATTAATATACCAAAAACAGCTATTCAAACTAAATCGAATTATCAATTTTATATATAATCAATTTATTTGATACAATTATATAAAAGCACAAAAATAGTTTGGTTAGTGATCGCTTAGCGATTTTAGCATCTTCGCTTTTTATAAAATTATTTTGCTAAACCATAGGCCAATAAAATTAATTTTTCTACTAGCTAATAAATATTAGAAATTAATAAAATATGAAATATAAAAAATGAATAATAACTAATTTTTATTTGTAATGAAATGAATTAATAAAAATAGTATGAACATTATCATAAATATAATTAATCGCTGATCAACGAGGTGATATGATAAAGTCTCAATTAGATTTTATGAAATGATTACTAATAACTATTAAATGATAGTTCATCATAATCGTATTCCAAATATATCACATATTTCTTTGCTTCACACCAGATGTCATCCCAATATTACTCCATGAAGAACTTTATATTTGGCGGATTCCACTACTTGTTGCAGTGATAGCAAATTAGCGATAGAAAAGAAAACCATTCTACCTGAAATTCGCTGGAATTGTTAACAGTTTAAATAACTCTTGTCAAAAAATGAATTTAATATAATTTCATTCGTTCTTCGTTCATTTCTTATTCAAGAGGAGGCTATTAGCCTAAAATTTCTTATAGAATTTGAATTGATTAATTGACAATTTCATTTATTTTTTATGAGAATTTTTAAAAATTTGACAATAAAATGACGAAATGAAAAAAAAATGGCTTAAGTAGAAAATAATTTCTGCGATTTTTCATATTTCTTAAATACGAAAAAATATGAAAAAATGTTCAAAAATACTTAATTTTTCTAATAAATTTTCTTTCTCAATTTTTCCAAAATTTCGATAAGGTTGCGATGTGTTTTTCATAATTCAATGAAAGAGGACTTACAGTTTCACAAAAAATTTAACAGTTTTAGCAATTAAAATTTATAATTTACTTTTTATGCGAAATATTACCGCTGAAAGGATAGTTGTTTTTTTTTTTTTTTAATTAGCAGCCATTCTAATTCTTTCATTTTCATTTTTTTATAATTTTAAATAATTTTTAAATTAATTTGATATTTTGCAGTTTTACTTCAATGTTTTTCGCAACCTTCCTGATTATTTTTATCGCGAACGTATGCTCTGATAAATTGCTTTTCGTTCAAATTGTAAGGCTAAACATCCTTTCAATCATCTATGATTGATAAAGATTTTAAATAGATTAGTGATAAAGAATTATCATAGAACTTGAAATTTTATTTTTGTGGTTGATAACAAATCCTCTTCTTCCATTATTAAACCAAATTAATAAAAAGCTCATTAATTTATAATTATTTGTAATGAAAGGATGAATTTTCAGTTAGTTAAAAAGTATAGTTAAAACTCAACGCAATTCTAAATATTTCATTTAAATATATATATACATTGAAAATAATTGAAAAAAAATTTTTTTTGAGGCTTGGAGACATGGAGACCGAGCACCAATAACAATTTATCCGACCGATGTTCATCAGGAAGACGCTTGGCCGAATGGCCTCGGTGAATTGACTCAAGTATATGATTTCTGATTTCTTATATGATTTCTTCATTTCATTAGTATTTTATTTTTATTTGATTAATCTTTTAAACTCCTTTTTAGAGAGGTATTGTGCAGCAGTATATGCTTGGGAAACATATTCGAGAACGCTATGTCGAACATTTTGCACCTTTTTTATCACCAACTTATAATCATAAAGAAGTTCGTTTTTAAGCATTCAATGGCCCAATCAGCTTAAAACCATATATTTTTAATAATAATTAATAATTTTTAATAACTAACTTTTTTTATCAACTTCAATAACTGAATATGTTGCAATTACCAATAACTTTGGTCTATTTCTCACACAGTCAGTTTTCTCCATGGCCGACTGTTGGTGCGGTTAAAAAATTTAATCTCTTCTTCTCGATCTTCTCGGTGCAAGTGGTTCGCAAACTCTACCTGGATTTTTTAACAACAAATTTTCTCCTATTAATTTTCTCTTATTTTCTCTTTTCTCTTTAAGAAATGGAAATACAGTTTATTTTATTTAAATTTTTCTTGTAGATATATATAAGGAGCACAGATGTTAATCGGACTTTAATAAGTGCAATGGCCAATGTTGCTGGAATGTTTTCCAGTGATCCCTATAACCGAGACAGGAATATGTCGAACCTTATGTGGACACCAGTACCAATTCATACTGTAGAACTGTCGACTGATTATGTAAATTTAACGATAATTTAATTTAAAAATACCATAAAGATTTTGCGAAAAATATTGAAGTTTTGGAGAGATCAACTAATTCACTATTTTATTATTTTTTTATTTTATTATTTATTTAAATTATTTAAAAATATCGATGCGAAAGCAAATTTTATTGCAAAAAACGAAAAACTGGCAAAATTTTAAAGGATAAAAAACTATAAATTTTGCAGAAATCTTATAAAAATTAGGCGAAAAAAATAAAAAATATTTCTAAAATTATATGTTCTGCTTTCATTTAAAATTATTTTCGAAATTATTTTAATAGAGAAAATATTAGTTCAAATTTTTATTGATACTGATTTATTTTTATTGATATTTTTCAAAACTTTTTAATTGAAAATTAACGATTATACAATTAAATTCTTAGATAGAATAATAAAAGGTAAAAAAGAAATCAAATCTAATTGGAACTAACAATCTTGAAGAAAAGTGAGCATAATGAGGCGATTGTTGATTCTACTTAATATTCTCTACTTCTTAATTTGATGCAATAGGGAGGTAGGATAGCCTCTGTGGGTTATTTCCAAATTTAAAGCGTCGATGCTGATTTTCCCCGGAAGAATAAACCTGTGCGAAAATCCGGGGATTCACTGGCGACTAGCCTGTATTTCTATCGTCAAGAAACTCCCTGGAATATTGCCCAAGGCGAAAGCCAATGGAATTACTAATTTAACTAGTAAAGGTGAGGGATCTTAAAAAAAAAAAAATTTGATGCAATAATTAAAAGAATAACGAATTTGGAGAGGGAACTAACAGAGGTTATAAAATTTACAGTGACGTGTTATCAGCATTTGTGATTCGTTCGACTTTTAAACTTAAAGGATTTTTTAAACGCTCATAAATGTTTAAAATGAATTCACAGATAAAACGAATTTATACAAGAATGAACCGAAAAAGATATCTAAGGATTAAAATTTCTACAAGGTGTATATCTACTGATTAATCAATATCCTTATCACAGATTGGCTATTATCAAGCGAATTGTAAACGTGCTGATCAGTTATTCGACAATATTCGAATAAGTGATGAGTTCAAAAGAATGGTGTCAGATAACAAAGTATTTGCTATTTTTTATCAGTTAAAATATTAGTAAAATATTAAAATATAACCATAAGGTGTAATAATCAAGAGAATGAAGTGATTGCCTCCAAAATTATCTTAAGGATTGGGAACCCAGAAAATCTTATCACCGATTAGAGGAAACTTTTTTATTCTTTTGTATTAAAAATACGGACGATGCTGACAAACCGCCTTTATTGGTAGATTCCTAGTAGAAATTTTTCACCACACTATATCATAGAACTAACCTATCAGAAATACTGAACGAAGACCACAGTAATAAATATGATTAGCTGGCTCCATATTTTGTAAAATCCCCGCAAGAATAAACCTATGCAAAAACCCGGGCATATTGCCCGAGGCGACAAACCAATGGAACTAGTTTAACTAGTAATGGTGAGGGCTCTTAAAAAAAAAATAAAAAATTAAAAATAATAAAAACAAAAATAATAAAAATAAAAAGAATTAAAATTTTACTCTTAAAAAGGTGAATTTTTCGATAAATATTTTGATTTAGATGTTTGTGCACTTTTTCCTGAATTTATTTGAAACACACTTGTTAAATACTGATAATTTCAGGAGTTCGTGGAGTTTTTAACTAATAAAACTGGAATGAAAGTTGATTTTTCACAAATACCTATCATTTACGATATCTATAAAACAGAGGTATGCAGATGTTTTTTGAGATATTGCTCAAAAACTTTTTAGTAAGCGACTATAGTTTTTTGTGCACTCTGGTAAATAGACGAATTAATATTAGCATAATTTTTTAGATTACTCATGGTATGCAGCAACCAGCATGGCTAAATGATAAAGTTGTAAGCAGACTTTATCAATTAAGTCAGGAATATATTAGCTTTGCTTATGGATATAAAAAACCAAAAAATGTCGAGCTCATTCGATTAAGAGGAGGTATAGCAATTAAGCAATAAATTTCCATAAATTTTAATTTTCACCCATAATAAATTTAAAATATCGAGTTGCCTCATCTTTTTTAGCAATTATTGTAAAAGCCTACTGCTATTGGAAAGAAAACTTTATTCTCGGCCAGCCTAGCCACTGGCCACTCAAAACTATTAAATTCACAACTCAATTGTAGATTGTAAAATTATAATTTTAAGGTAATTTACTCAAGAATTTGATCGAAAATATGGAAACAAAACTGGAATGCTTGGCGAATCCAAAGGAACCAAATTGCCAATGGATGAAATATCGTAAATATCAAGGCTTTTCTGTGGTTTTGTGGTTTTTAAATATTTTCTTTTTTCTTTTAAGCATTTCTCATTTCCTATTTGGTTGACAAATGAAAACGAACGCGAATATTTCACGAAAGAGGAATTGAGCAGAAGAAGTAGGGTTTCTAAAAATCTCTCGCATTGCCTTCAAATGGTAAGTTTTCTTCTCTCAAGAATAATTCCCACATGTAAATGAAACAATGATGGTCAACTGCCTTACTTTTAAACCTTAATTGGTACTTTTCGATACTCTTTTATAGTATTTAGCAAATCTCATCGAATAAGTTTAAGCATGATTCCACCATGATCTTACTATTCGCTTCATTGAATCTCGAAGATGAAACTTCGAAAGATTTTTCTATCTATAATTCGGCAATTGCATTTGAAACTTGGAATAGAACTATTGATGGCCTTGCTGTGCGGGTAAATTTTCCATATGCTGATAATATTCTGCATTGCTGATAAAATATCGAAGAAAGGATTTTCTAATTGCCGCGATACTAAATTTGATAATTAGCAAAATTACTATTCGTTCTTACGAAATTTCAAATTCGTTTTTTTTTTTTCTTGTAAATGAATATTTCCGTTTTATATTTCAGGTTTTATATAAAAGGTCGAATAATAATATGTTTGAATCAGTCACTCATAAAATCGATGGATGTTCACATTCTAGCAAATATTGCCCGTTGAAAGTTTTCATGAGACGTTCCAAAATATTTCTGCCAAATGATATAAATAAAGAATGTAAAACAAAATAAATTATGATTTAATGTGAAAATTTTGATAAATTTCATGATTAAAATTTTCCTGTTATCTTATAAATAAAAAATAACAAAAATTTGTATTTATTATTCAAAATTATATAAAAAATTCATTTGAATATAAATAATATTTGGTTATTATGCAAGGGTGTCCGAGAACGATGATTGCCAACAAGAAACTGCTCGAATTTCTAGTTGGGCCAACGTACCCACGCTTAGTTAAGGTGCAAAGGAAGTAGGTGCCTCAGTGATTTATATCACCAAGTGTATCTCTGGTAAAATTCGCTTGATTTGATAGAAACCTAGTGGAACTTAATCAGTATTGAGTGAATATTAAAAAAAATATTTGATCATAATCATAATAAATCTTTATTTCTATATACCATAATTTAATGATGAATAAAGTATCTCAGCACTATTGCATATATACTTAGGATGCTTTTTGTGCACTTATTTTAGAAATGTAGAATAAAATGCTGAAATAATGAGATTTAAGAAATAATATAAATGGCCTAAACGATCGAAATTATCATTTTTAAATATTGATGTCATTGTCAGTGGAAGTGGTTATGATAATGATAATCAATGTAATTATTACAATGTATTATCACTATATGAAATATTAAGATAACATAGATCAAGAAAAAAATTTTTTAATCACTACAAATTTTTCCTTATTCTTTTCAGCAATTAAAAAATTCCTTAAATTGGAGTTTATTCGATTGGCCATTTCCAGATCCAAGCAGTATGGAAATTTTTGGAAATAAAAAAGCAAAACACTGTAAAATATAAGTCAGAATTGATAATGAATGAATTTTAATTAAGACACTATATATTTTCTAAATTATTTTATTTTGGTTTTTATCTTTCTTTAAATTTATGACGGTGCATTATAGACCAAATCAAGAGGCATTCTTCTTCATCTTCTAACAGCTCTCACCATTACTGGTTAGGCTGGCTCCAACGGCTACAAGGGTAAGACGCTTCCAAGCGCCGCGATCTGATGCCATCGTCGACAGTAATGGAAGCTATTTCTTTTTCCATCGTCTAAGTCCATATATTGCTGGTCCACCTATACGTTCAAAATCTTTCCTGACCTTGTCATTCAGGGTATTGATTGGCCCACTTCGCTTTTGACGCCAACCATCACACGGTTTAGCAAATAACGAAATATGTGTCAACCCTATTAAGTTCAAAAAATTTATTGAATTAAATTTTTCCATCGAAGACACTTGAATATAAAAATATAAAAATTTAATAATGATTTAATCATTAAAAATGATTTATTATTATTCGTATAAAAAAAACGATTAGAATTGTGAATTGAAATGGTACTCCCAGAGTATTCCTGAGAATCGCCATTAGTCCCAAAGGAGCCAATTTAACGACCATCTGCCTAGCTGATATAACAATTTCAACCTTGAATTATAATTAATTATATGCTTCATTTTCAATTGATTCGAGCGTTTTAATTTAATTTTTTTTTTTGAACAGCATTCACCACTGCTTGGTTAGACAGGTCTCACTGGCTTTGAGAAAGAGACAAATACCCGCGAAGTTCCTTCGACAGATATTGAATAATTCAATTCTCAATTAGTGCAACAAAATAGTCGCACAAGTCATATGTTATTAGAAACTAAAATTATCAAAAATTATTAAAAACCAAAGCAATAAAAATTGATAAAAATTCGTAAAATTGATAAAAATTGATAAAAAATTCGTAAAATTGATAAAAATTAATAAAATTAAAAATATTAATAATAAAAAATTAAGAATTTAAAAAACGAAGCAAAATTATTTACAAAGCTAATTATTTTCGTCAGTTCAATTCGACGCTGATTATCGATTAAAATCAATCGTTTTAAATTTATTTATTATAGGAAAAAGGTCAAATAGGTCAAATAAGAGTCACAGAAGGAGCATTTGGAGCTGTTTCCGGTTGAATTCGCTCCACTGGTGCTTCGGATCCAATAAATTTTATCAAAGAGTCTCAGTCATTTGACGATATAGAAGTACAAATGAGTTTTTAGGATCAACCGGATCAAGTTTTAGTTCTGCCGTGGATCCAAGGATCACCGAGCCATTCTAATCACCAAAAAATGAAGGGAAACGAAAAAATTTTGTGGATAAATCTTTCCAATCACCTATGATCATCCATTTGACAAATGTTTTTGTTATTACTAAATCTACCGTAATATCTTCGTCAACTGTGCTGTGAGATTAGCCGAAATTGACCGAGTTTTCTGTTTTTCAGTTTATAAGACGACCGACATTTATCTCCGAAATATATTGTGGAAGAATTTCGTGCGCTTGTGTGATGATATTCTGGAACGTACTGGAAGAATTTCGAAATGCTACGGTGGGTTAGGCGGTGACCTTTTGACCCTTTGAGGGGTTTTAACTTGAATGTCTCATTGGTACTATTATATTCGAGTCGACCATTTGAATAGATTTATATGTTAAATGAAACTACAAGTTATTTGGATATGGTTAGAAAATCAGTTGGCTTTTGTTTAAGGCTTTTCTCGTCGAGCCTCGTGGAACGTACTGGAAGAATCTCGGAATGAGACGGAGGGTCAGGCGGTGACCTTTTGACCTTTGTTCAAGCTTCCTTCTTGCTTTCTTTCTTTGGTCTTTAGAGTGGGATCATCCTAAATAGTCATCCACAATGGCGCACATTTCCTCTAAAATATCTCTCCCATAACTATTATAATTTCTCTTAGACTGGTTATCTTATATCCATATCTGGTTAAACGCACTCCACTGGCTTGTCGCAATTGGGCAATACGCCAGAGACGCTAGGGAGTTTCTGGCGATAGAAATACAAGTGAGTCGCCAGCATCATCCTGATTTTTGTACAAGTTTGCTTCTGCGGGGAATCGAACCTCAGCATCGGCGCTTGCAATTAAGCAACGACTCACTGAGCCATTCTATTCGCATATAAATATTTGAATAAGCATGTATAGTTTAGTAATGTATGCGAGCTCCATTTTCATTTCGCTTATGCGGAACAATTTTCTCCCTAATTTATATCGCATTTTATTTACAGAATTGCAGCATGGCTCCAAGACCTGGTGATTCAGTTAGTGGTGATTGCATAACTTATTCCGATCAATCGACAAGTAGTAGTGATACAGATGATGAAAAAAAAGAACTTTTTCCTGCGAAATGGGTGAGAACTAATTTTTTATTTATGATATTTTATAATTTTATTTCCTCAATTTTAATAATTTCGTCTTTTCAGTTGAATTATTTTATTTATTAAATATTTAATAATAGTAATTTTTTAATGGCTTTTATTTTTTTAAAAATTTAAAATTTTTGTTAAAGAATTTTTTTAAAATCGAAATATTCAAAGTTTTTTTTCTTATAAATTTTTAATAAAATATATTCTTAATTTTTCAACTTTTAAATTAATTTATAACGTTAAATGAACGAAAGAGATTGGTATGCGTTCATTATTTCTGGTTCATTACGCTGGCTATTAGAAATTTTTATCGATGATATCAATTCATCACTTTTTTATCATTTGGCGACAGTAGTATTCGGATTTTTTAACGAAATATTCACTATTGTGCAAGATTTTTTGTTGACTTGGTAGTCTGAAGCAATCCACTCATCTGATCAAAACAAACATAAATTTTATATATATATATAATAAAACAAACATTTTATTTGCTTAACATAATTATTTTATAATAATTTTATAATTTATATAATTTTAAATTTTATAATAATTATTTTGAGAAGAAGGCAAAATTGAGATCGATCAGATTTTCATAAACATATCAACAAATCTGCTTTGAGCTTTCGTGCAGGTCTCTGATCCTAATTTAGTAATTTGTCTTTTCGCAAAATAATAGCATTAAAAATCTTACAGGTAATAGTAAATAGGTTTGCTTTTACTGTTAAATTCTAAAGGATGTAAGTTTAGAAAATCTAAAAATCGGCGCTAGTTGAAGAAATAGTAGTGTTTTTCGAGGAACTCAATAGGGTTCATCTTTGAAAAACACTTTTCTCGATTTAACCAAAGTATTTTTAAGAAATGCCAGTTTAAAGTGAGTTGTCGTCCAAAATTTGATCTTCACAAGTGTTTAGGATGCCTTTTTAAATCCAAGCGAAGAGCCAAGTTTTAGAAAATTTCCTTACCCCCATTGATAAAGATTTCATAAGCCTTCGTAGGTTTCATATTAAATTTTTTTAGTCGTCGATATATTAATTATGCATTATTTTGAGCAAACAAAGCTTTTGATCCACTAATGAAAAAAGGGGTCTCAATTTATGCTGCTTTTTCCAATAGAATCATAATAAATCAAAAAAAATTTTCACCTTTTTTTTGAGAACATTTGAAAGTATTTATTACTTATTTTTTAATGCAATATGCCAAAAAGTTCGTTTATCTCTGACTTTTCAAGAGTATTAATAATTGATACCAAATGCAGAGTAATATTATATCGTGTCGGCGAATTCACAAAATTGAATTAAACCGAAGAAAAGGCACAAACCGAGGAATTGGTACGTCATAGAATTTAAGTTAGCTGCACTGTTTAGTGATTATTGTAGGAGTTTAAAATTCGTATAAATCAGAATACAAACTTTTCTAATGTTGAGATTAGAAATGAACAAGTTGAATTCATTAAAAAAGAAGTCTATTTAAACATTAATCTTTTGAGCAAAAATTCGCATATAATGGTAACAGCCTCAGAGGAATAGCATTTGATAAGCACATTTAGCAAGTAGGATAATCGTTGAACCACCGCGATTGCCATTTCTAAATATTCATAAATAAATAAAAACTATCATTCCTAAATATAATATTATTATCCACCAGTTCAATGTCACAAAAAGGATTTCATTATTGAGCGATTTTTCATAACAAAAGGGTGCTACTTATCGTCATGAAGTATAATCATAGGTCATTAGGACATTTAATTATATGCATTATATGATATCTAAGTTTAGTAGAAGCTTAGGCTTAAGTTTAGGAATTATTTCCTGTGGCAAAAATCTAATGAATTCACTGCACCGGCTAGCAGATATGTACTGTGAAAATAAAGAGTTGTTGATTTCATAATTTCAAAAGTGAGATCCTTGTCCACGAATTCCACCAAATTATTTAAAATCGTTTTTGGATAATTGTATTGCATTTAAATCGTTTATTTTAAAAGCCATAATTGTGCACTTCTTCACTTCATGGCTATTTAGATTCTATTAAAATGCAGATGAAACATTTGGATAGAATTTTAAAGACTTCCTTTGAAGTGCCTATTTGCAATTATTACGCGTGCCGTTACGGTGCTGTTATAATGATTGAAAGGAAAATTCCGAAATCCAAAATGAAATGAAGGATCAAAACGAAAACACGAATTGTTTGTGCTGAACTGATAATTTTTGGCATTATTATATTACAAAATTATTTTAGGAAGCAAAAATTATAAGACGAGTTGGTCGATATAAGAAATTAAGCGATGAATTAAAAGAAGCTGGTTGTCCGCTTTTTAACGGTCGAAATTGTGAATGGTTAACTGCTAAACTTAGGTAACGAGGTTTTTTTAAATTTTTTTAAATTTTACATTTTAATTTAGTCGAATAAGTTTTTTCATTTAAGTTTGTATAAGATTTTTTTATTTTTGATTTTATTTTATTCATTCTCAGAAGAAAAGCTGCTAAGCTTGATAATCAACTCGACAAAATGATATCGTTCACATCGACTGAAATGTCCGAAATTCAGCGAGATGAACTACGTTTATATATCGCACAAGGCGATACATGGCCGTGTTTTATTGAAAAAAGTATTAGATTTAGATTTTTTAAATTTTTCAAATCCTTGTTCGTTTGATATTCTGCTTTGTTTAGTTGCATTCCTCGTTTCATACTGTATTTCAAATTAATTGAAGGCATTCATTTTTTCTTCATACTTCCGTAGTTTTTGTGATGTTTTGCTTTTTTTTCTTTTTTTTACGAAAATGTTTCAGTGAAACTTTATGATTATTCATTAAAATGCAATGTTGTATGGCCAACAGATGCTATAGCTTATCGTTGCAATACATGCGCGCTCAATCCATGTTATTTTTTGCTTTTTTTTGCATTCAAGAATTAATTTTAAGAATTTTTCTAGGAATTTTTGCTCAAATTTCAAAACAAAAGAGAAAAATTTATGGTTTAAATTACTTCGTTCAAATTTTGTTGATTGAAATTTATTCGTTGACCAATGTTTTATTCATTTCGTTATTTTAATCGTTTTTTAAATCTATTTTAAGTGAGTTTAAGGTATGTCACTATGTGCGCAATGTTTCGAAGCTGGAAATCACGAAGGTCATGATTTTAGTCGCTTTTTTTCACAAGCTGGTGGCGCTTGTGATTGTGGAAATATGGATGTTCTTTCTCAAGCTGGGTAATTTTTCTAAGTGGTTGAATGAAATTATTCAATTTTCCTTGAAGTATTTTTCAGTATAATTCCTCTTTCTCATCCAGATATGGAATTTCGAATATTTTTTGACCATAAGAACCACCAACATTATATAAGAATAAGCAAACTTTGTTTATTATTTGTAGCATATATGCAAATAAACGAGATAAAAATACTTTTAGTTTTTGTAACCGACATGGTCCCGGCTCTGTTCAACCACAGGTGCCTCCTACAAATTTGGTTTCTTTAGCGGAGTTCATTATTCCAAAGTTGTTCGTTCGCTTATTTCTCGTTTTCCGTGGATGGGTTTGTTTTTTATCTAATTGCATAATAAGAAAAATTAAAAAATTTATTTATTTATTTAAATGGTTTACGGTTCATATTTATCATTGTCATAATAAAATTTAAAAAAAAAAAATGATATCTTGATTTTTTTAAAGCCATATTAAATACATCGCGAATAAATATCTCAACATTTTTTCACCACACTTTGTTAAACATATAATATGCCTCTTTAGTTATATCTGTGAGAAATTGCTATATGAAGTAGTTATTTATTTATCAGGAATTAAATATTTTTATTATAGAGGCGAAATTATCAGTTAATGATTCAAAATCGAACACGTGGCGTGGGTGCTTCCAAAGAATCTTTCTGTAATAGTTTGATCGAAAAAACAACTCGTATCGTCCATCTAATACAAGTTTCTTATTTTCCCTTATTTTAAATATATCACCATTTCACTACTATTTATAAATTTTCACATTTTTGCATTTGAGATGATAAGAGGAGAAAAGTTTATTGATGAGCAAAAAAGTTTGTTGCTGATGCTCAAATTGGTTACAAAACAAGGAATTTGACATTTTTTCTGAAAAATTTTATAAGACAAAAATCCATGAAGTAAATGTTGAAAGTGTTGATTAAATTTAAAATTATCGCGAAAAGGGAAATTTTCATTAACGTTGTTAATGACATCATTTTGATTGCGAGCTGAAATCGCAATATTCGCTCTCGAATATTAAGAGTATTGTACATGAACATGCAGGAACAATCAGTTCGGGGAAGGGTCGTTCATGATAAATGTTGGAAAAAATTAGTTTAAAAAGAAATTTAAAAAAGTTTTATTTTAGGATATGATTGATAGTGGCGCTCCATTACGCGATGCAGTTGCTGATATTCTACTTGATATTCAATTATACACATATCTGAGTGAAAGAAACGTAGAAGATGATTTAAGAGGTATAGGATTTGTTTAATTTTATTTCAGACATTTATAACTCTTGTTTGAAATTTAATTTATGTGATGATTACACAAATTTAATTCGTAGATAAAGACGGTCGAGTCGATTTTTCATTAGATTGGCGATCACGTGGCCTTCTTATGGAAGATTTTGAGAGTTTGGAGTTATCGAAAAATGGTGAAATTACAAAATTCTCTTTTGAATGTTTGTTGGATGAACTTATTTTTTGGACTGTGCGCTTGTTTTTCCCTCAGCATATTATTAATATGAGTCTTTGCTTGCTATCGCACATTGCCTATAGGGTAAGAGTTATTATTAAATTATTATTAAATTATCTTCAGCTTTTTTTAAAGGATAATCATTCCGACAATCAATTTGTTGCATCGAATTTTCAAGCTTTTATTTTATATTATTTCTCTTTAATTCAATATTTACTTCAGAATCGCTACGGGTGTCAATTTTTTGCGATATATCCTGGTATACCAGGAATAATGCACGATCTTTGTCGTTCAGAAAAGCCTCCTATTCTGCATGCTATTTCTAGTCGAGTTATTCATATATCTGTGCAGGTGGCATTTTGATTCTAATCTCTTTAATTTTTTATTTTATACTATTAAAAGAGGTTATAAGAATTTTTGAAATTCATTTGTTCATCTATTAAATTATAAGATTAGTTAAATAATTTAAGATTTTATCTGGTGATGCTTTATGCCTTGCGATTGATCAAAAAATCAATGTAAAACGCATTCTGCTAGAAAGTGTATGGAATCTTCTCAAATGTGGTACCACTTACTCTTTGGTAACTCAAGGTAAATTTTCATTTGTCAACTTCCTAAAATATATATAGCGATTCGTTTAATGATGCAAAGAATTCTAGATTTTTTTTGATTGGACCGATTTTCTGCCATTTCATCTGTTTGTTTGATTTTACAGCAAAATCAATTTTGGAATACTTGAATTGTAAATAATAATGTAATCAACATTAACAATAGGTGAAACAATTTTTTTTCCTCAAAATTTAAGCTTAACTTGATTTATTTAGCCCCAGAATATTTCGATTTGAATGTTCCACCTTTATCACCCAATGAAGCTATATTCTGTTGGCAAATTTATTCATTGGAAACAAATCAGTCGATACAGAAGCATGCTTATTGGTCCACTGTTAGTGATATGCAAAATCTATTCACCCATCCAAAGATCGTCGAACGTTTTCTCGATGATGATTCTTGCCTAGAAATTTACGCAAGGCTCGTGTCTTATTTACAAGGTCTTGTGAAATCTATCGAAATAACTTTTATTGAATTTATAGTCATTAAATTTATAGCCCTTTAGAGAAAAATGATAATTTATCCTGGCTGCATATAAAGTATAAGGTATAAAATTTCCTAATTCACAATATTCCTTTTAAATTTTATTTTTTTGATTTATTTTTTTAAAAATAACATTTTATTTAATTTGAATGAGTGCCAAAAAACAAAATATTTGTAGCAAACGTATTTATCAGTTCTGATATTTCCTAATTGATAACCTCGAGTAAACTCTGCCTCTCCATATACTCTTATGATGGTATAATGTCATATCTTTTACTGCATGAAATATTATAATGCTATCATAATTATGATATATTTTGGCTTAAAATTCGTTTGTCAACAGTAGCTCTATATTTATTTCAGGTCTAAATCTTAATTATCGAGTTGTAAGTGGCGATCATGTGGAATATGATATAGCAAAGCCATATCGAGTAGGTTACAGATAGATCTATAACCAATTTTTTTTTAGCATTTTCGTTTCTTTTCTTAGGAATAATGAAAAATCTTATAAATTTAAATTCAGTTAAAGAAATTAAGCTTTCATTTATGCTGGAATGGGAAATTTCTGCTGTTATGATGTTTAGCTGCGTAAAATCATTCACAGCTCAAACCGGTCATTCATATTTGAAAAATTATGTATCATTATGGATTGGAAAGTTAAAGGTATGAATTATTTTCATTTTTTCAATATTCTTTTCACTTATATATTTATATAGTTTACTGTGGGATAGAATGGCTCAATGGGTTATTATTCAATTCGGAATGCCAGTGCTGAGGTTACATTTCCTGCGAGAGTAAACTCGTCTTGACTACTCATATACTCATATCGCCAAGGTATCCCCAGGTGTATTTGTCCAGTGCGATAAGCCAATGGAACGAGTTTTAGAGAATAATGGTGAGAGTTTTTAGAAAAAAAATGGTTCACTGTAAGGTCGATTCAGTTACTTAGTTTTTTTTTGTTAATAGTTTGTTTATAGTCAGAAATACATTGTTGAAGATGTTAATCTTGTTTAGTGCTTTTAGGAATGGTTGCAAGCGATTGGGATGCTAAGTGAACAATTTAAAACTCCTCCATTCCAGCTTACCTATCATATACCACTTCACCGTCATTTTTCGGCTGTTGTAAATCGATGTATTGATATACCTGAATTGAATTATATCGCATATGAAGCAAGTGCTGATGAAGAATTTTTGAGCAAAATCCTTTTACATCCTCTTAAAATTCAGGTGAAAAAATTCGTTGTTTTACACCAGCATTATGGTTCTTGTCATTTTTTTTCTTTGCATTTCATTTAGATATCGTTTTTTTATAGATCTTTTCCATTTAAATGGCTTTGAAAATATAGGAAATTGAAAATTTGAAAAAAAATAAATTATTAAAATATTCAAATTTTTAGGTTATTTTATTCAAAATTTCATGAAATTTACCTATTCTAGGTCGGTCGCGCTGAAACTTCAGCTGGAATGTGGGCAAGAAATGGCAATTCTGCTCGCAATCAATCTTATATCTATGCTCAAGCTCATTATTGTAGTGCTTTTTTGGATTGCGATATTTCGTTAATCAAGTAATCAATTTATCTTTTTGATAGGAAATATTCACCTACAGTTTTTCAGAAGTGTATTTGAATAATAAGATTAATAAAATAAGGTATAATATTGGAATGTCTCTGGAAGTCTTCACCTACAGTTTCTTTTCTGTTTGTTGGCATTGATGACATTCAAAAGACATTTGTGATAAAGATAATCGATTATCTAATAAAATGCTGTAAGCCATCTAGTATATTTGTTGATTTTATAAATATATCCTAATAACCTAGTAAAATTTATATATTCTAAATGGTCTTTCAAAATCTTTTCTTATTGCATACACTACTTTTTTTCTCGAGAACTTCGTCTTTTGTTCATTCAGTATTTTTCCAACTTTCCGTTGTTAAAATATCATTTGTAGGTTTATTGCATCAAGAATCAATCCAGAAATATTTTTCCAGTCGCTGACTTCATCATTTCATCTTATCGAATGTTTAGCATATTTATTTTTCGAGAAAAGCGATAAAGCTTTGGTTATATCTAGATTGGAATGGATTACTCCTATTATCGATGGTGCTCTTAGGTTTCTTTAATTTCTTTTTTATGAAGCTTTAATTTTAGTTTTGATTATTTTTAAGGTAATGTATACAAAATTTATTAATATTAATAACTATTAATATTTTTAAAAATAAAATTTCTACATAAAAACGATATTATACAAATTTTAATTTTAATAATAACCAGGCGTTTAGATTATTATTAGAAATCGTCGTTATTCAATGGAGTCTTGATATTGGCGATAAATTCTCGATTCAGAATGAAATAGTAGCTGCATTAGCAATTAGTGATACTACTTATTCTAAATTGCGCTCAATTATTCCGGAACATGGTGGTCGTTCGTCCATAACTCCTGAAATTTTTGATGAAGTTCTTGATAAGGTTCAAAACTTGTTTTCCAACAAAGAAATTTTTTTATTGAAATATGTTTCTTCAATCTTTTTTATCGAGAAACGCTTAATTTAATATTATTCACTACAGGTGGCTAGCTACATTCAACCTGATCTTGGCGCTCATAATCAGCAGGGTGTCTATCGATTGCAACCTGAATCATGGGTGCATTTTTTCAATCCTGTATTTTGTCGTATGCGAGCTAGTGCTGCGCGAGATTATAATGATGCCATACTAAGAGCTGAAGAAGCGTACGTTTCATTCTTTCTTGCCTAAGAAAGTTAAAAAATTTGCATATTTCATAAAAGCAATTATTTTAAAAAAGGGAGCAAAGCATATTCCAGTGAGCGTGCAATTCTCAGTCGATCTTCAGAATTGCGTGTTAATGATCATATTTGGATCCCCTATCAGCTTCCGGGGAACAATGATAGTTGTAAACAGCAGCCATTTTTGTCAGGCATTAAAAATTTGTTGATTACTCCAACGTTCTTTGCTTTGATGCATGAGATTCTTCTTTTGGTGATTTTTTTATTTTTGATTTTTCAACCGTTTTTTTTAAAAATTTCTATTTTAAAATTTAAAAAATTTTTTTTTTAAAAATTTTTCTATTTTCATTACCATTTTTTCTATCTTTCATTTTTTTCAGTCGAATAGACTTTAGAAAGTTTTTCAGACTATAAAATATGAAAAACTGAATGATGCACCGCTTCAAGAAGTTATTTATTTACTGACATTAAGTGTTCAGTTTATTATCAGTGACGAATTTCATGGAAGTAATCATTCTAATATTATTAGAAATAATCAATATGCGTCAATCTCCTCTTTATATTGCGGCTATCACGAAAGAGCGAATAGTGAAACAATTGAGATGGATGATCGAACGTATTTATTGACCACATTTTTAGTGGATTGGTAAATTTTATTAAATGAAATAAATTGAATTTTTCGACTTATAATTTAACTTAAATAATAAATAATTTAACTTTTTATTATTTTCTAAAAATAATCCGAGGATTGTTGAAAAAATTTTTTGTCACTCAATTTTTTATTTTTTCATTTCATTTTATATTATTTTTTATTTTATCTTTTATCTTAATCTATAGACTTTTTCTAATACTTTAGGAGAAAATTTTCGTTCGTCGTACCTCCAACTCAGTCTTTAATAACTACATTACTTGCTCACATGGAAAGAGCAATTGGAGCGAAAGCGGAAGATCGTGATACAGCTCTTGCTCAGACTCTCAAAAAACAATTGGGGAAGGATCCCAGTAAACTAAATAGGATTTCTGGTTATGCTGTGGATTACATTGGTCGATTATTTTGCTTGCTATATCATAAGTATTTTTTATACTTAAATCTAAATTTTACATTGAATTTTTTGATTTCTTTCGATGATTTTCTAGTTGATTTTTTATGAAATTTAATATGCTTTAAGTACTTTTATTTGTGTATATTGGCTCAAAAAATCTGATAAATTTATGAAATTCAGTTGCAAGGCTATTCGTGATTTTTTTGATGATTTGATGAATAAAAGTATATGTGATATTCAAAATGAAGAAAATTCATCAGGAAGATCTGATTTATGCATGAATTCAAAAGATGAGAAAAGGCAAAAAGCCAAACGACGTCAAGAAGTAGTTTTCTATTCTTTTAATTACATTTTAAAAAATGTTTGCAAATATAAGTTTGTAAGATGCTTTTGCTGGTAGTAATCAAATTTGTCTAGAAGTCTCTCCGATTCTCCAATAAATAATCTTTTGTTGAGTCTATTTATATATAAAATAACTGAACAAATCGTTTGCATAATTTTAATAGGGTTAAAAAGATATAAAAGATATTTTATTTTTTATTCAAGGCGCTGTTGGCTGCTCAAAAGAGGAAAAACGCTCAGTTGATAAAAAAAATGATGGAATCTGAAGGACTTGATGAATCTCAAATGGAAGCGATGGATACAACCCATGTAATTTGGCTTATAATATCATAATGATATTTTGTGAAAGTAGATATTTCTATATTTTCTTTAAAAAATCGGAACGTACTATTTTTAAAAATTTTTTATTTATAGGGACCTTCAGATATAGATGAAGAGTATACTTGCACAATATGTAATGATTGCACATCTCTTGATTGGACCAAACCTATTGGACTTCTTGTAAATCTCAACTTTAATTACGGTGAGATAAAATTTCGAATCAGTTACTAATGGTATTTTATTGTGAGAATAATGCATATTGAATTTAGCTACTGAACAATCTTTACCAGCGGATGAGCCACATCTTACCTTAATTGAAGCACATCAAAAAATGGATGGTTGTCGAATGAATTTAAAAGCCCTTCAGTCTTTGAAGCATGAACTTCTTAGTTCGGTTAGTTTATTTGATCGCTTTATTTTGCTTAGCTCGTGCTTTCGAACTATGAGTTTTATGTGGTTTCAAAAATTTAAAGATTTTTTTTTTGGACTTTTTTAGTATATATAATGTGATGAAAATTTTCTTTATTAAATATTGTGAAACTTTATAAGTTACCATTTACAGAATTTCTTGATTTTAATTGTTTTTTTGGCTAAGCATTTTATTATTATTATTAGTTAAGAAAGATTTCATGGTACCATATTCAATTTTTTTTTTGCTATCAGTTCTCATAATGTTTATTCAGTTTATCTTCACGGCTTTTTTTTCAGGTAGCAGATGAGAAAGGTTTAAGTGATATTTATGATTTAGCAGGGTTGCAAGTTCGTTCTTGTGGACATTTTGCGCATTTGAGGTGTTTCATATCGTATATGGCATCCTTGAGAGTGGATTTTTTAATTTTTTTACTCTTATATTTTATTTTTGCATATATGTACACAAAATAAATTATGAGTTGTATACTACTAGAAGTTCGTTAGGAAATATATAATATACAGGTGAATTCGCATATAGTGCACACATAGCGTGCGACTTTTGCATAAAAAAGAGATAAAAGATATTTTGGAAAATTTTTTTAGTACATATTTAGAAGATCTATGAAATTTCTTTGATGTATTATTCACTTTGATTTATATGGATTCAGTCGGTTCAGTTTTTATTATTGCAGAAGCCTTCAAATAATTTTTGTATGGTTTGTTTAAACCTGAAAACTTTATAAACTAATTTGTGTAAAATAAGTAAAAAAAAAAATTCCAGCTTTATTTCTATTTTTTCATATTTAAAGGACATTCCTCTAGTATCGCGTCCCGATTTGATGTGTCCAATGTGTCGCACGAATGTTATCGCGATACTCCCAGTTTTGCCTGATGATGAAGGATTATTTATGAGGAAGTGGCTTGCTGATCAATCATCGATAAATCTGCTTAACAATTCGTAATTCTTCGCATTTTTATAAATTTTTTTCGAATTTTTAATTTCCATAATCACTTTTAATGTTTTTAAATGTATAATTTTTTGTCTCCTAAAATGTATTCCTTAATTATTTTTATAGTCTTTACAAATCGTAACCAATGATTGTAAAGGACTAAATATATTTTCGCAGTTTATATTATATCAATTAGATTATTAGAATTGCAAATTTCTAAATAACGAGTAAATCATATTATATTTGGTGATAAGATGATATTCGTTATTATTTTCAGTTGTATTTCGATGTTGACCGATCCTGCCAATCTGAATTTCAAAGATAAAATTAATGCTGTTAGTCATTGTTTTGCGAAGAATGAAGTTATAAATAAGGCCTGTTTTTTTCGCATTCAAATTTCTCATATCTTTGGTAAAATTATATATGTCATATATTGATGTAGTTTATTATTGTTATCGATATTATTAATTAATATCAAACGAATTGGAAGTTTTAACGGTTGAGTTGTGCGGCCAATGGGCCAATATGCTTTCTTCAAAATATCATATCAAATATCATATATTTTGAATATCATATATAAAAAAAAATCATAAAAATAAAAATGTAGAAAAATTTAACCCATTCTTTTTTATATGTTTGACTTAATTTTTCAGTGCGTGGAGTCTCCTGTTCTAGAACCATATATCCACGCCTACAAGCATTTTTCAACTAGTATTGGTGATGCTTGGATAAAGCTTCTTGAATATCATGATGTGACTAGCTGTTTGCTGACAATTTATAATTGCGATTTTGCGCTATCTCTAGCAAGGTATTTTACCATTTATTTGCCTAAAAATTCAGTTCGAATCACATTAGGTTGATATCAGCGGAAAATTTTTTATATCGATTTTATTTCTTTAATTATGTAATTTTTTACACTAAAATTAATATTTATTCTTCCTTATATCTTTATGAATTTCTTTTATTGGAATTTTTATGAGATTTTGTCTTTTGTATAAAAATTATAATAATAAAATCAATGATTATTTCAATAATTATCTTATTATAATTTTTTAACATTCAAGATCGACTTTAGATCCAACTGTGAACATGATGTTATGTTGTCTGAACTTAATAATACCACAAAAACTTTCAAAAGAAGTCCTACAGGTTTTTTTCAATAATTTTTTCAATACAATTTCAATATAATTTTTGATAAATTTTCACAATTAAACGAAATTTACAATATTTTAATGTATTTAAATAAAATCTCTTTTTTGTCCTAAATTTCTTTTATTGGAATTTTAAGCCTTCTTTGGCCGAAAAAAATTGTACGATTCTAATGTTATTTCAGTTAATTTCGTAATTCATTAAAATAGGACAAATGAAATTAAATGAAATCAAATAATGAATTTTAATCGCATAGAGCTCGTATATTGTAGAGCTTTTACTTCATCAAGTTCGTTTGATGGAGCATGCGCACATTAAAGGAACAGCGAAACTCTGGAAATGGCTAACTCTTGGTTTCGATTTTGATGATTTTGATCTGAATAGTTTGGAAAATACATTAATATTCAATACGAAAATAACAGATGATCAGCCGTGCAGTTCAACGACCTCAGCGCAAGAAGTCAATGCTATATCTTTTCCTTTTGCTTATTTCATTTCATAATCAGAGAAATTTTTTCTAGCGCATAATGATCGTATGATTTTTAAAAAATGTTTTTTTTTTAGCAAATGAATATACAAGATGAGGGTAGTCGTTTTCCATTTGTATTATTTGATGTGAAGGCCGCTTTAATTCGTATTTGCTTCTATATAATGCGCGACATTTGGTGTTCTTTTCAGGTAAAAAAAGGTTAGTGATTATTCGTTAATGTTAATAATTTAATGATAATAAAGTCGTTGATAAGCGAATCTATCTAAGGTTCAATAATTTCCACTGTTCATATAAACGTATTTAAATTTTCTTTGAACGTATTTAAGTTTTATGCAAAGTGGTGAAATTTATTTTAAAAATCTCACATTGCTCCTTTGAGTATAGCATTTGGTTAATATGCGACGGAATTTAATTCTGAGGGTATTTATGTCCATAATTTTTAAAAAAAGTTATCAATTTCAGAATTGTTTTCTATTGTTTACAAGATTTTGCTTTTTGTTGCTATAGTTCGTGCTTCAATATTTATCGCTGTTCGTCTCCCTTTACCTCAAGCAAAGTGTTTAATAAAAGTTGATCCGAAAAAATTTGCCTCAGGTGGTTGGAAAAATGTTAGTATTATTTTATGGTTTCGTCTTTCGGTAATATTTGCAGTATTAGTCTATATGTTCTTTTGTTAAAAATTATTTTTTCATGCAGAATTTTTTTTTTAATGAATATAAAAATTGTAAATATAGGGAAAAAAAGATTATCGATATTTATAGATATTTATAGATATTTTCTTTTGTGGCTATTTCTGTAATTCAGCGACTTTTCTCTCGTCCCCATGTTATAACAGAAGATCTTTTGATGCAAAATACGGTAATATATAGATTGATATATTTTTTTTTCTAAATTTACAATTTAAATTCGGATTATTTCATCTTAATATCTTCGTTTAATTTTCTGCAGGTCTCCATCATCTTCAGCATAAGTTATTTTAACAAATTTTTTTTTTTATTAAGATCTTCATCAAAGTGGATTTTTACATAAGTTTTCGCATTACAAATTTATTTCAAAGTTAGTAGCCTATGTTAAATTTATAAATCCATAAATTTATTTTTGAAAAAAAAGTATTTAAATGGTAGAAGTCCTTGAGAAAATTAGTTCATAGGTACTTTTGTTTTAGAATGAAATAAATATTTTGGATGCGATTGATGGTGTTTGTACAGATATTTCTCGATTTACTGCGCAGTTATGGCATGAATTTCGTATTAAAATACTTCCCACTGAAATGCAATTAGGCTGTACGAACTTTTTGGATATGCATTTCTTTCTTACGGGTATGTTTCATTTTTTTATGGTTCATTCTATAATAAAAATTTTATAAAGATTTTTAGTTCGTTAAGAATTGTCGATGAACTATCTGCCGGGTGATGCTGGCGACTCATCTGTACTTCTACCAAGCGATTCTCCTGGAATATATTTATCTAGTGCGAGAAGTTAGAGGAGCGAGTCTAACCGTGAGTATTCGCAGAAAAAAAAATGATTTTATGATTTTTAGGTAGTAAAGAATTGTCGATGAACTATTTGCCAGCATTTTCTATTGCACAATTTGTAGATAATGCCTCCAAATTTGTGCTCTCTCGATGTCACCGTGTTAGTCTTTTTGTTAATAATTTCGTACAAAATTTTCCTCATATTCAATGCATCAGTGAGAATTTTTTTTCTTTTTCAATCAAAGAAAGCCCCAAATTTTCTTTATACTACAACTTTTAACTTTATTAAACTTTTTTCAATAGTTTTTTAGTATAATTTTGTAATAAAGCTAGTTAAAAATTTTCATTACTTAATTCCAGAAGCAATAATTTCTAAATACGTTGTTTGACTAATTAATCTTTTTCGAACAGCCTGCGCTGTTATTGCTATTGAGGATAACTATGGAGGATTACTATTTTTTTAAATCTCTCAGTCTTCCTAAAATTGGCTGTCTTTCGGTATTAAATACTCATGGTTGTACACTATATTTCAGTTGATGATATGTGAACCGTTTAAATGGCAGCGCTTAATTCTCTTGGAATTACCGCCCAGCTATGATACAGTATTTAGCTATTTCTTTGGTCGAGCATGCATTCTTTGTTCTAGTGCTCCAAAAAATCCTATGGTTTGTATGCTGTGTGGGCGCCTTGTTTGCCTTGACCATTGTTGTACATCTATGACTCCTGGTAGAATATCTTACGAACATACAGAAGTTTTACGAGTTAGTTCTTATTTGCTTGAGAAAATTTTTATTACATATTCTACTTCCCAATGATTTAACATAGTTAACATAGTATAATTTTGAAGAAATCTGTTATTCCCAAGATCTAAATCAACATCTTCCATAGTTTTATCTTTTAACCTTTTTCGGCTGAAGATTTTGTATACATTTTGGATACTATACATTTTGGATTATTAATGAATACCACGATTCCAAAAAATTCTAATTAGTGCATCAATAAGAATATTTCATATGAATATTTAGTACATCAATAAGATCCACAACTTTTTTGCTTTTTAATACAAAAAATATTTTTATGTAAGGTTTTTTTAAGTAAATATTTCCTTAGCATGCTTACGAATGTGGATCCGGGAATTGTTGTTTTTTGTCAATCAGTACATCCCTAATAATTATTGTAAATCATGAGAAAACTGCGATTTGGGGTTCCGTTTACCTGGACAAACATGGTGAAGAGGATCGAAATTTGAAGTATTAATTTCTATTTTATTTTTTTTGTATTTATCTTTCAAATAATTAATTTTATTTGCATTAGAAATTTTATTTTAAATCTTATTTTTTTAATACTATTTCACACCATTTACACTTGAAATTAAGGCGTGGGAAACCATTATATTTGTCTCATCGTCGTTATGCTCGTCTTTGTGATGAATGGCTTCACCAAAGTTTTAATCATAGAAATTCGATTGTATTTTTTGGCAACGAACATTTAGCAGCATTTCTTCGTGATTCAAATGCAGTTGAATGATAAATATATTAATCGCTTCAATCCATAACTCATTCTCAAGTTTGAAATATTCTCTTGAGTTCTAGGTTGTCATTAGGCTGATTAATATTAATTACCTATTTAATAAGCATCTTATTCCAAATTAGAATGATTTCGTTAGATCTCTGTTAGATCATTTTAACTGTAGGCAATTATGCAGATTATTTCACTGTATATATATATTTCAAAGCTTTTTGTACGGATGCTTGAAAATTTGTGATAATACATAGATAATACTGGACTAATATTAAAAATGGAAATTCAAGGATATACGAAAAAATCATACAAGTGGAACTTCTTGGCTTATATATTATATATATATTACTTTAGTGGGCATTTTATATATATTGTAATGAAGCTTTTAAGTGGCGTCTTACTAGTTTTTTAAACTGATTATTTTTTTTAGTATCTTTCGAGAAATATAGCTATATGCATGCTAATGTTGTAAACGACAGGATTTCAGCTTTTATTTGATATATTTTGTAAACGGCTAAATGGGTTCACTGTTGTTATTTGCCTGAATGGAACTCCAAAAATGATCCAATACAATAGTGCAATAAAAGTATGAAAATTAGAAAATAGAAATGATTAATAAAAACAGAATCTTAATTGTAAACTTGAAGAATTTTTGGTCAATAAGTATCCACATTGAATTTAGTACGAAATTTGGTATGAAGGTCGAGATCGGAATCACTGTGATTTGATTGTCATACATTTTTGGTTTTCGGTAATCGTTTATAAATGCACAACCATCGAACAAATGCCACTAATATTAGGAAACCAACTACTCCCCAAATATAACGTTGGCCACTTGCAGTGAATGTTGGTCTAAATTATAAAAATTTATGGCAAAAATTGGTTGAAATAATTACAATAATTAGTTATGAGCGCATACGAAAATATCGAATTAAAATTTTTTATTTTACATTGTTTAATACATAGGATTTCGGTCTTCAAAAATTCTTCGAAGACCATTCATTGTTTCTGGTTCTGCTAGCATTATCGACTACAAGGAGAATATATATGGAATATATATGGTTTTGCAAGAGAACTGTTTAGCCAAAAGGAAGCCAACAGCCGTTTAGATTTCTATTTAACTGATAAGGATATTTTACTCTTGTAAAGGAAAATAATCAGTCGAAAATCCATTAGTCACATATGTCTCAAGTATCTAATAAAAAGGTTTCGACACGTTAAGATTAGATAAATAGTTTTGAGGTGTTTTTTTTATCATAATCTTCATCTTGTAGTTAGAAAAATTGAGAGAAAAATTTACGCGATAATAAGCGGTCCGAAGATATTGATAATGTCCATGCAGAGGAGAAAAATTCCTTGCATAGTTCCCTGAAAGAAGACAGTTTTATTCATATTTATTTATTGATAGTGAAAACCTTGAAATAAAATTCTAGTTGCTTCTTTTTTTTTTCCACAGTGGTAATATTCATTTTCATGAATTGGTTGTATCATTGCGATTTATAAAAAACTACTTGATCAATTGGTCCCAAAATTTTCGAGTATAGACTATCCGTGCTTATAGTTATGAACGTGATTGCAATTCCAAGAACAGCGATCGCAGAACCAATATATATTATAGGATTAACCGATAGAGTATTTAAGCACCAAGTATATACAAGCGGATCGCAACCAGTTGCATTATTTTCGTCTGAAAATTTCCTATCAATTATCAATTATCGACCATATCTCTATTTTCTCGACTAAATGCGTTAAAAAACCGGTGGACAAATAAAATATGAACAGGACAGCTCCTAGTGGAACTAATTCTTAGCCTATAAAAGAATTCAGGTTTATGGAATTGGAATTGGCAATTATCGTTTCCCTCATTGTTCTCTCATATATAATTTATAATTATACCTGTCTGAAATGGCAATCTTTTTCAAGAATATCAAATTTGGTGTAGGCCAAAAGATCCTATGAACATCTTTTTATTCAAAAGCAGTGTTTAACTTTAGGCTTTTTCAAACCTGTGGTCGGTTGGCGCCGGAGTGGTCCGATTCCACCTTGCGGGTGTTAGAGTCAACATTAACTCTTAACCGTCTTATATCTATACACCGTCTTAAATCCTTAAGGCACTATTTCTCTCGAGCGGAATCAATGTTGCCAAGAATTTCCTTAATCCTTTTAATATTTTAGCAAATTTACCGTATTCGTTATATCAGGATTATTTCTTGGTTTCTTCTAGGCCCATATTGCCCTACCATCCTTTCTTAATGTTTTCCAAAAACCCATCATACTGTTGCAAAATTCTGATCCACAGTTGAAACTCTTTATCTTCGTCATCATTTTCAGGAATTTCGGAATTGCAGAAACGAAAAAATAAGTGCGAAAAATCTCTCGAATTACTGATCCCTCAAATCCTCTCAAGTGCCCTCTTAGCTGCCCAAAAAACCCGCTATTCTCATTTTGCCACAACCCGCTGTTGATTATTTAAACTCTTTTCAACCCTCACAATGCTTTAACCCTTCCAAATCCTGTTTAAATCCATTCACACTTCAGGGAATCATTTCGCAACCACTTACAAGTTTAAAATCGCTGAAGCTATAATTATGGCGACGAATGGTGCAGAACGCATTTATAATAGGAATTTGGGGATTAAAACTATAAGGGTTTGGTTACTATCAAACCAATGCGTTAAAGATTCAATTGCATCAGCAAATTTTGAAGAAATATCGATGTTAAAAAAAAAATAACCGCTTTTTAGTGGAATCGTACTTCCAATAAAAGGCCAAGGATATGTTAATATAAAAAATACTCCAAAAAGAGCGAGTCCGATTAAGGCCGCACGTCTTTCGCTTAGACTGCAATAAGAATATATATCATAATTTGAAAAAAATTTTAAGTTTTGTGGTATACTTGTTAAGAAAATGTGTTGGCGAGATGATTTATAATTCCACATTATTTCAAAATTACGAAAAGTACCAAATAATGTAAATCATATAAAGTCAGACAACCGGATGGCATGATAAGATACAATGGAAATCATGATAAAATTTTATCAAAAAATACGAAAATAACATACATTTTCAATAGTTTTCCTGTTGCAAAGCCCGCAAAAATACACAAACTGAGTATTCCAACAATAACTTGAGTAACTGAACTCACTTTAACGGTGGCCGTATTTGACCATCCGAAAACGGACATCATTAAAGGGGCTGTTGTTCTAAAATAAGGCTTTTATTAGGTTTATTCGATTCTCCTCCACAAAATTTTAGTTGCTTATCGATATTCTGACAATTTTCAAAATATATCAACAATTCGCTGATAAATTTTTATATAATATAATATTTTATAAATGAATTTATATTATTTCAGCGAGAACTATAAGTAAGGAAACCTGAATTTTTTTTAAAATTTAAAAGGCTTAAATTTAATATTTATGATTTTCAAGTGATAAATTTTACGTATGTAAAGTTACAAGAGTGAGAAAGCCTGTCATCCGAATAAATATGCATGTAAATGCCAAGGAAAAACTGAACGTATGCATATCAGCAGTTAATGCAGCAATTGCTCGTGAAGTTTTTCGCCCATCTAAAAAGTTTCTTTTTGCAGAAAAAATTATTAAAAAAAGCCGGATGAGAGAGTTTTTTGGGGAGTTTCCGCAATTACCGTTAAATGAATTTCTGTAAAACCTTAAGCCATGATTCTCCTTGTGGTGCACAAAAATCGGCGAATCAAATAAATTCTGATTTGTTAAATTTCAAAATTCAATTTATAAATTTATGTACGTGCATAGTATTCATTATCACGTAGATTTTATCGAATGCAATTTTTCAATTTTTCAACAATTTTTCAGTACAATTTTTCAATTTTCCCTCTCCATCTATTTTCAATTTTCTTTTTTTCAATTACGAATTTTCTTATCAAATAAAAAATTTGCATAAAAATAAAATAAAACCATCATCTTGTCTTAAAATTTTTCTTTCAATTCGTTTCTCCTTGAAAACGATTATTATCAGAAGTAAGCCAACTATATTAGCGATAGTTGCAATATATATCGGTCCAGTATAAATATTTAAACGCAACTTATTTGGGATTAAATCGAATCCAGGATAAGACAGTGGTGCGAATAATAATTGAAAAACTAAAATTACATCTTAAAAAGAAATTATTTTTCTTACGATGTAAATTTTTTAACATATATTTTGCTACTATATATATATATATATATATACGCTTTTAAATCTAGGTGGCTGCTGTTTATACCCACAAGTAATATTCGTAAGCAATTCATTTTTTGTCGAAAAAATCACCAAAATGCCTTTTTCTAATAGTTATGGAAACTTAAAACAATAGTCAATATATTTCAGATGGCATTAACTATATTATATTTGTCATTAATTCAAGAGATTTTCTTATCATATCGTATATTACCATATATTATTTACAAACTTCTCATGATCATGAAATCATTTTCATGTTTAAAATTATCAGAAAAAGAAAAAAAAACAAAATCTATCTTACCTGGACCAATAGTTACAGCAAACATTGTGGCTAAGCCGAACATACTTACTGCGACAGCTCGGTCATCTGGAGCACTTATTTTCGCTATATAACCACGCATTACGCTTATAGAGCCTGTAATGCAACCAACCATACAACGTATAATAAATAAACTTTTGTTTTAAGACAAAGATTATGTCAAATTTCAAAATCTCTAACTCATTGAGATTCCAAAAATTGTATAACAAATAAGCATAACATATCGACGATTGTGCAAAAATAGTTCGACGCATAGGTAAATGATGCAGCCAACCATTGCAATTAAGCGTCCAGCAATTAAAGGTAACCTAAATAGAAAGGGGATTCAAAAAAAGTCGAGAAAAAATAATTCTGAAGCATTCTTCCTCAAAAAAAAGCACAGTTTTGAATGGACAGTAAATCTGATCAATTGGGACCCATAGAAAAAATTAGTATTCGATAAGAATATAGATTACTTAGTTTGTCCCGTCGCTGAGCTCCAATAACCCATTAGAGGTGCACAAATAGCGTGGCCAAGAGAGGATACGGACCCAACATAGCCAAAAAAATTTGATGTTGCTTCAGGATCAACCTGAAAAGAGATACACAATTTCATCTTTTATTTTATCGACGTTAAAATAGCCAATTTTTGTTTCAGCTAGCAATTAATGATTATAATAACTTTATAAAATTTTTATAATGATTAATATGGATTGTTGTTGGTACTTTATTACAGTAAGGGTTATTCTGTGTTCTTTATGGTTTGTAGAAGGCACGATTTGTCAAGGTTTGCTTATTTATAGCACTGGGCTTTTCCCTATTTTTAACTATGCATTATTCTTTTCTATGCAAATGTTTATCCATTATAAATCGTTAGGACAAATCATTGTATTATTGTTATTATTATTATTGTTATTATTATTATTATTATTATTATTATTATTATTAATACTATTACTATTGTTATTATCATTATCATTATTATTATTGTAGTATTGAAATATATTTTATTTTGCTTCTAAATTATTGTACTAAAATTACAATTACAAAGCCACATAATAATTCTAAACATTTTCGTAATCAAGCCAAATAAAATGGGAATACACAATTGTATATTAGCAAAATTTTGTAAAAATTCAAACCTCATGCATATAGGGCCATTCTGCCATTCCGATTACAAACATTTGTATAGCAGCGAGAAAAGCTATCACACAGATCAACCTTATACCAGGCCAATCTGTTTTTTGTTCTCAAAATGATTATTTTAAATTATTTGAGGAAAATTTAATAAAAACAATATTTTCTTTTTAAATGAGTTATTATAATTATTTTCTTAATAAATTTATTTTTTTAAAATATAATATCGAATTCTTTCGCCATTAAATTATTCGTCGTAATTATCGTCGATTATTTAATTTTTCTTACTTTTTGAACGAACCGGTTTTTTTTTTAACAGCCAACCAGAAAAAAATTTTGCTATTTATAAAAATACAATCCAATAAAATCCAATTGCGTAGATTGGAAGAAGTAGAAGAAATTTTCAGTATGGCAATATCAATTTCAAATAGCATATGATAAAGAGACCTGTGGCTCTCAGTAGTAGAAATTATATCTTCTATTTAACAAAATCCAAGTTAAACTAGTCAGTGGAACTAGCTGAAGCTGTGTTTTTTATTCCAAGGGCTCTCATCATTACCGGCTAGGCTGGTTCCGTTGACTTATCGCATTAGATAAATATGCCAGGGAATTCGCTGGAGATAGAAGCATAAAGTCGTGTCGTCAGCAACAACGTCGTCTTTCCGAATTGTGTACTCATTGAGCCATTTTATGCCCCCAAATAATATGTATACGATCCACTAGACTTTTTTAAATTCCTATTATTTAAGGACTTTCATTTAAATAAATTGCTAATAAATTTTATTAAAAAAAATTTTATAAATTTTGTAATTTTATTGTTTTTTTTTAAAGAAATCTTCAATCTTAGTCTAGCATTTTTTCCATTTCCTCGTATTATGGATGTATAGACCAACCTCATTGGAAAACCGCATTAATAATAATAGTTATCGACTTTTCTTAGGCTATTACAGAATTCAATACACTGAAATATATTACTACTCGGTGAAATTATATATTCTGTCCAGACAGTCGAAATAATTCCAATGGAAATTTTGGTAATAACGACTCAGACTTACCATTCTTATTGGTTTCATTCATTTTACTCATCTCCGTTGCGTTTCTTTTAATTATCTCCATTTTTTCCGTTTTTTTTTTCCGACCAAATCCCAATAACTTCGTTTAATAAAAATGCACGATTCTATCTGAATTTTTCGAAATTTTTCGAATTTTTGCAAAAATTCGAAAAGAATTAAAGTATTAATTAGTTAATAACAAAAAAAACAATGAATAACAAATCGGTTACTTGAAATGTATAATCGTTTTTAGTTGATATTTTTAGCGTTATAAAATGCTAAGAAATATGAAGAGTGGTAAGGAAAAAGAACGGCTAAGCAATAGTAATGTAAAAATTTCGCCTTACGCTAGCGACTCACTTATGCTTCAGTTGTCCAAGTGTTCCCTTGGCAAAATCTATCTAATCTAGTAATCAATTAGTGAAAATTAGCAAAAATAGTGAAAAAAATATCTTTAAAAAATATCTTTAAAATATATATTTGAAATTGAAAAGCATTACATAATTACATAAGTTTAGACAAATATTGAATCAAAATTATTATTGGTTGGTTGAAATATTTATTAGGGTTCCAATATCATTCAAAAAGATTAAAGTTCCAGTATTATATAAAAAGTAGCCGAAATGCTTTAATTTTGCTAAATACTAAGTTATTTTAGCATTAAAAAAGAAATCCCTTTCTCATACCCTTTGGGTGAATCAGCTTCAATCTGTATCGGTCCTGTACTAGAGACGTAGAAGTTTAAATGTTCCGCACAATATCTTAGCAGCTTTAAGCAGTACGCTCTTCTGAAATGAAATCTCTGATACTGAAATCTGCTAGAGCAACTTTTCGAGTTTAGAGCCCACATCCCTTACTCCAGTTACTCCTAGCTCCAGTTACCACTTGGATCTTTCTTCCACTTTCTATTTCGTCTCCAGTTTTTTTTAACTCTTGATATTTCTTTACCTTCTCATAATTCTTCTTTCTAATATTCTTGTAACTTGTTTTTGCTATTTTTCTTTTTTCATTCTAATCCTCGTAGGGTACAATCCATATGAAGGAATATTCCTGTAGGTAATGTTACATGGTTGTGCTTGTTTATGCCGTACTATCAGTGGCTGGACATCCTGCAGCCTAAATTGATCTTCTGATCTGGTAATTCCTCAATATAGCGCTTAATACCTGTGTTGTTATGACCAATGCCTCAGTGGTATCTTTCAGACGAGCCTTTTCCAACCAGTGATAGGGATTCTCAGCAACAGCTATTTGCAAACATAGTTATCTGTCGGCGGTATATTCTATAGAAGATGAGGGTCTTGCTTTGCTATGGCACCCTTTCTGACCTGACCTTTCTCCAATGTCTATTGATAATTTAGGTACTCTCAGTATTTCATCCTCTGGTTCCATCTATATATTTCTAAATATTCCTCATTTTTTTCAAGATAATGGTTTTGGCAGTTAATAAATTTCATTAGCCTTCTTTCGAGATGAAGTTTTTGAAGTTAGGCTCGGAGCGGAAATTTTTGTGCCTTGTAAGGATCGGTTACTCTATACCTTCTTTTGGCCATCTCATTATGGCAGCTGCGTATTTGATGACTGGTATAGTATGGCATGGATTTTGTTTTTTCTAAGCTCTTCAAGATCTATTTTTTGGATCCTTGGATACTGCTGTCTTCCTTGCCTCCCTATCATTCCATATGACTATTGGTTGTTTTATATATATATATATATATATACATCGCATTTTATTGATGGTTTAAAGTGGAAAATTAGTCGAGAAGATTGGTGGTTTAGAAGAATATTGCAAGATGCAAAGTTTCTTTACAAGATTTTTATTATAATAAAGAAAAATTAAAATCATCTTGAAAATTATAGCAAATTATTTAATATATATATATTATTTTTTTGATCAAAATGGTCGCGATTATGCATATTTTGTTGCTCACTTGGGTAAAAAATTATCTTATACCAAAGTTCGCAATTTTCACACCTTTCTAGCATTCTTCTTCTAACATCTCTCACCATTATTGTTGTTCAGGCTGGCTCCAACGGCTACAAGGCTAAGACGCTTCCAAGCGGCGCGGTCTGATAATATCGTCAAAGTAATAGAAACCATTCCTTTTTCCATCGTCTAAGTCCATATATTGCTGTTCCATCTATTCGTTCAAAATCTTTTCTCACTGTATCAGTCCAGGTCTTGATTGGCCCACCTCGCATTTGACACCAACCATCACACGGTTTAGCAAATAACGAAATATGCGTCAACTTCTATGGTGGACGACGAAGAAGTGTCCTAACCAGCGAAGGCGGCCTTCTGTGATAACATTATTTATGCAAGTGGTATTTGAACGAAGATGGATGCAATCATATGATACCTTATCCGCTCGACGGAGCCGTAAAATGTACCTTAGACAAGAGTGGTCAAAAGGCAGATAACTTTCTCCACTAATATTAATATTATCCTCTACTCTCATTGTTTCAGAACCATATAGCAAGATCGAACGGATCACGGATATAGATGCGGACTTTCGTTTTTATGGTGATTTCACGACTATTCCATAGAGGTTTTGTCAACTGGAAGAACGTATTTCTAAAAAATCTATGTAAAGCGCATTATAACACGAGTTGTACTATCATCTTTTACCTTTCCATTTGGTATTAGAGTGGACCCAAAGTATTTGAAATCAGGCACTTCCTCAATGAATTTATAAAAAGAGGCATTTTATCAGCTTCTTGCCAGCATATCACAAAAGTTTCAAGATTTGAAGTTTTTCAATGATGCATCAGTTATCAACATCAATTATCTTCTGCGATTTGTAATCATCTATGTAAAGCGCATTATAATACTAGTAAAATTATTATTATAAATTCGTAAATTCAAATAAGTATAACTTCATAAATATATTAACAAAATCATATTCATTTAAAATTTTTCGTTTATCTGGTGTCATTAAAATAAAGTAAAATCGCAAAATTGTGATTAGTTTTGTTAGGATACAACACAATAATATCTCCAATTTTTTCGCGAAAACTGTGAATAATCCATTTTTTATTATCTTTTATATCGAAAAATTTTATATCCCTTAATGAGAATCTATTATTTATAATTATTTATTTATAATTTTATATTTATATTTATTTGTAATTTTGAAAAAAATAACGGGGATAAGTCATTAAGTCATAATATCTATTTTAATGTATATCATTTAGAATTCACCAACCTGTTTTATAGATTTAAGATCATTAGAAACAATTATATTTCGGATTTATAAAGATCATCGCCAATTTAGAACGATATTTCACGCTATTTAAACAAAATTATTTTCATTAGGACAATTGAAATATAAAAAATTTCCTTTGAAATCTTTGATTTCAAATTAAACATCGCATTTTATTGATGGTGTAAAGTGGAAAATTAGTCGAGAAGATTGGTAGTTTAGAAGAATATTGCGAAGTGCAAAATTTCTTTACAAGATTTTTATTATAATAACGAAAAAATTAAAATCATCTTAAAAATTATAGCAAATTATTAAAAAGATTCGATTTCTGCGGGCAGCTTTATCTGTTTAATAGATATGACGGCGAAGACCAAAAATGCGGTGAGTGCTAACCAATTGGTTACTTATTAAAGTTTACTGAACGTTTGAAAAACTGATTTTATATGAAATAAGCTGAGGAAATAAACTAGGTTACTAGGTTACTATTACTTTAACACCTCTATCGAGAATTTTTCTTGCGGAAAACAAGAATTAATCAGCTATACGCGAAATAAATAAACTTAATAAGCCATGAGTTTGTAATGATGAAGCAAATTAATTTCTAATATTGATGACCATGGTGAACCATTAGGCTTAGAACTTAAAACCACTTCACAATCACTTCGTTTTCGTTTTTAACTTTGATTAGATAAATGATTTTGGGGCAAATTTCAAATTTTTGCAAAAAAAAGCATGGTGATATTGTTTTTCGAAACAATGTCGGTGTATTTACGCGACAATATAGTATGCTGATAATTATAAAGCAATGACCTACTTTTAAAGTAGCGTTTTAAAAGATATCTTTAAAAAAAAATCGGGCAGATTTCCTGAGAACATACTTCATATATAAATAACCCGGTTAATTGTTAGTCAATAGATATCATAAATTTTAAATTTTTAAATTTTATCATTTTAAACGAAGATTTATATGAAAATTTTCCTAAAAACATATAAAAAAATAGAATAAAAATCAAATAAAGAAGGGTTTCAAAAACTTAGAGTTTAAGAATAAAAATCTGTCGTAAATAATATTTTTATTTTAATAATAATAATAATAATAATATTTTCTTACATTAGTTTCTCAATGAATTTTTTGAATTATAAGTAGAATTATGAAATAAAAAAAATAGGCAAGCAAATAGGTTCTTTAAAAGTAGTCTCAACAATATAAAAATCCTGAAGAATTTTAGAAAACAATTTATTTATAGATGAAACTCCGGATTATAAGCATAGAAGCAGTACAAAACAATAATCAATTCAAATCAAGTTTTTATAAAACGGCTGTTTGCAGGAAAAGAGACCACAGTTCTAAGTGGGGCAAAATTTTATTTGACTGAAAAAGGAAATTCGATGAAAAATAGTTTCGATAAAATTTACAATAAAATTTGAGAATATTTTACGGATAAGCAAATAAGTAAGCGATTGTATTCAATCAAGTACAACTACAACTACTCAACAATCCTGTGGTGCAAGTCCAAAGGCGAAAAGGACCAATCAAGACCTGGATTGATATAATCAGGAAATATTTTGAAAGTATAGGTGCCCTACGGACAAATAGGTTTAGAAGACGAGTAAATGGCTTCTCAAACATGGCATCATATCAACAGGCCTGTCCTTCCACCTTAACCTTGTGGAGTTAATCTAGAATTATTTAACAGCCCAATTAAGTTTCTAAAAAAACGAAAAGATTGTGGATTGCTGACAAACATTGAAATAGTGCTTTTTAGTAGAGTTTGATATAATAAATGACAATATAGCGATACGAGTATGTACTTTGCCCAATGTT